GGTTCTGGCTGCACCACATTCCTCAAGACCATTGCCAACTGGCGCGCCGGCTACACTGGTGTCACTGGCGATGTGCTGTACGGAAAGTTCACAGCCGACGAGTTCAAGCAGTACCGAGGTGAAGCCGTTTACAACCAGGAGGACGACATCCACCACTCGACCCTCACCGTCGAGCAGACGCTGGGTTTTGCTCTCGACACAAAGGTCCCCGCCAAGCGCCCCGCCGGTATGTCCAAGAACGAGTTCAAGGAGCAGGTCATCTCCACCCTCCTCAAGATGTTCAACATTGAGCACACCCGCCACACTGTCGTCGGTGACGCTTTCGTGCGCGGTGTCTCTGGAGGAGAGAGAAAGCGTGTGTCGATCGCAGAAATGATGATCACCAACGCGTGTGTCCTCTCCTGGGACAACAGTACCCGTGGTCTGGACGCCAGTACGGCGCTCGACTTTGTCAAGTCCCTCCGTGTCCAGACGAACCTGTACCAGACCACCACATTTGTGTCTCTGTACCAGGCTTCCGAGAACATCTACAACCTCTTCGACAAGGTCCTGGTTATTGACGCCGGAAAGCAAGTCTACCTCGGCCCCGCCACCGAGGCTCGCGCCTACTTTGAGGGTCTCGGTTTCGCACCCCGCCCTAGACAGACCACCCCCGACTACGTTACCGGATGCACCGACGACTTCGAGCGCGAGTACGCCCCCGGTCGCTCACCCGAGAACGCGCCCCACAGTCCCGAGACCCTCGCCGAGGCCTTCAAGACGTCCAAGTTCCAGAAGCAGATCGACAGCGAGATGGAGGAGTACAAGGCGAGACTGGCCCAGGAGACGGAGAAGCACACCGACTTCCAGGTCGCCGTCAAGGAGGCCAAGCGCGGCTCCTCCAAGCGCTCCGTCTACGCCGTCGGTTTCCACCTTCAGGTCTACGCGCTCATGAAGCGCCAGTTCGTCCTGAAGCTCCAAGATCGTCTGTCTCTGTTCCTCTCCTGGTTCCGCTCCATCGTCATCGCCATCGTCCTCGGCACCCTCTTCTTCCGCCTCGGCTCAACCTCCGCCAGCGCCTTCAGCAAGGGTGGTCTCATGTTCATCTCGCTCCTGTTCAACGCCTTTGAAGCCTTCTCTGAGCTGGCGGGTATCATGACCGGGCGCGCGATTGTCAACAAGCACAAGGCCTACGCTTTCCATCGTCCGTCAGCATTGTGGATCGCTCAAATCATTGTCGATCAGGCCTTTGCAGCAAGTCGAATCATGGTCTTTTCGATCATTGTCTACTTCATGTCTGGGCTTGTCCGCGAGGCTGGGGCGTTCTTCACCTTCTACCTCATGATTCTCTCTGGAAACATCGCCATGACGCTTTTCTTCCGATGCATCGGCTCCATCAGTCCCGACTTTGATTACGCCATCAAGTTCGCTGTCGTCATCATCACCTTCTTCGTCACCACCTCTGGCTATCTCATTCAGTACCAGTCTGAGAAGGTCTGGATCCGCTGGATCTACTGGATCAACGCGTTGGGTCTTGCTTTCAGCGCCATGATGGAGAACGAGTTTAGCCGTCTGAAACTCACCTGCTCAAGCGAGTCACTCGTCCCCTCGGGCCCTGGCTATGGCGACATCAACCACCAGGTGTGTACGCTTGCTGGATCGACCGCAGGAACCACGCTCGTCGATGGCTCAGCGTACATTGCTGCTGGATACAACTACATCAAGGGCGATCTGTGGCGCAACTGGGGCATCATCTTGGTTCTCATCGTCTTCTTCCTCCTCATGAACGTCACTCTCGGTGAACTCATCAACTTTGGAAATGATGGCAGCTCGGCCAAGGTCTACCAGAAGCCCAACGCGGAGCGTAAGAAGCTCAACGATGCACTAATGGAGAAGAAGGCAGCCAAGCGCCGCGGCGACAAGCAGGAAGGCTCCGACTTGACTATCCACTCGGAAGCGGTCTTGACCTGGGAGGACCTCAACTACGATGTTCCCGTCGCCGGCGGAACCCGTCGCCTACTCAACAACGTTTATGGATACGTCAAGCCTGGCCAATTGACAGCTTTGATGGGTGCTTCCGGTGCCGGCAAGACCACTCTCCTCGATGTGCTCGCGTCTCGCAAGAACATTGGTGTCATCCACGGTGACGTCCTCGTCGACGGCATCAAGCCCGGAAAGCAGTTCCAGCGCAGTACCTCGTACGCCGAGCAGCTCGATCTTCACGACCCGACCCAAACCGTCCGCGAAGCCCTCCGCTTCTCCGCCCTTCTTCGCCAGCCTTACGACACCCCTATCCCCGAGCGCTATGAATACGTCGAGGAGATTATCGCCCTGCTGGAGATGGAGCACATTGCCGACTGCATCATTGGTTCCCCCGAGTTCGGCCTGACTGTCGAGCAGCGCAAGCGTGTCACGATCGGTGTCGAGTTGGCCGCCAAGCCCGAGCTCCTCCTCTTCCTCGACGAACCCACCTCCGGTCTCGACAGCCAGAGCGCCTTCAACATTGTCCGTTTCCTCAAGAAGCTGGCCGCTGCCGGACAGGCCATTCTCTGCACCATCCACCAGCCCAACGCCGCCCTGTTTGAGAACTTTGACCGTCTTCTGCTCCTCCAGAGAGGCGGCCGCACCGTGTACTTTGGAGATATCGGCCAGGACGCCGTCGTCCTGCGAGACTACCTCAAGCGCCACGGCGCCATCGCCAAGCCCACCGACAACGTCGCCGAGTACATGCTCGAGGCCATCGGAGCCGGATCCGCACCCCGCGTAGGAAACAAGGACTGGGCCGACATCTGGGACGACAGCGCCGAGCTCGCCAACGTCAAGGACACCATCAGCCAGCTCAAGGAGCAGCGCATGGCCGCCGGCCGGACCATCAACCACGACCTGGAGAAGGAGTACGCCAGCCCGCAGTTGCACCAGCTCAAGGTCGTCGTGAGACGCATGAACCTCAGCTTCTGGCGCAGCCCCAACTACCTCTTCACCCGCCTCTTCAACCACGTCGTCGTCGCCCTCATCACCGGTCTGACCTACCTCCAACTCGACTCCAGCCGCAGCTCGCTCCAGTACAAGGTGTTCGTCATGTTCCAGGTCACCGTCCTCCCCGCCCTCATCATCAGCCAGGTCGAGGTCATGTTCCACATCAAGCGCGCCCTCTTCTTCCGCGAGAGCTCCTCGAAAATGTACAACCCCGTCACCTTCGCCGCCGCAATCACCATCGCAGAGCTGCCCTACTCCATCATGTGCTCCGTCGCCTTCTTCCTCCCGCTCTACTACATGCCAGGCTTCCAATTCGACTCCTCCCGCGCCGGCTACCAATTCTTCATGATCCTCACCACCGAGCTCTTCTCCGTCTCCCTCGGCCAGGCCCTCGCCTCCCTGACGCCCAGCCCCTTCATCTCCTCGCAGTTCGACCCCTTCCTCATGATTACCTTTGCCCTCTTCTGCGGCGTCACCATCCCCGCCCCGCAGATGCCCGGCTTCTGGCGCGCCTGGCTCTACCAGCTCGACCCCTTCACGCGCCTCATTGGCGGCATGGTCGTCACCGCGCTGCACGATCTCAAGGTCGCCTGCTCCTCTGCCGAGTTCAACCCGTTTACTGCGCCGCCCGGCCAGACGTGCGGCGAGTACATGCAGCCGTTTTTCGATAACGGCGGCCCCGGGTACCTGGCCAACAACGACACCTCGAGCTGCGAGTACTGCGCGTACAAGGTCGGCGACGAGTTCTACACGCCGCTGGGGCTCAACTTTGATAACCGCTGGAGGGACCTCGGTATTTTCTTGGCCTTTGTTGGCAGCAACTTGATTGTCCTCGTCTTGGCGGTAAGCATTTTCTCCCCTCCCCCCTGCGTCTCCTGACGTGCATGTTATCTGAACAAGTTACTAACGTCTACAATAGAGCAAGTTCCTCAACTTCAACCGAAGATAATCGTTCCCCCAAGCCCGCTTCGCAGCGGCGCATTTACATTCTGCTTCGTTTCTTTTCCTACTGTCAGTTGATTTTACAGCATCAGCATCCTTGTCTCCCAGCAGTTCGTGCCTGGCCGCTATTTCGAGGCCAAGAACTCGTTTTAAAAATGGAGTCTTGAGGGATATCACACCAAAACTTGGGGGGGTTTCTGCGAATTCATGAGAGAGAGATAGAGAAAGCCTTCATTGCGCACAGTACACACACACACACACACACACACACACACACACATCACACATTGAGCCATGAGACGGCATGGTTTTGTGAAGAGTTGTAAGACAAAACGCACCTTAGCATAGAGCTTTTTACGTAATTTAATAGACACGGCCAAGAGACTGTATGTACCAATTGAGGATGAGGAATTTTCGTTAGAGTTGATGTGTATCAAGACCTCGCGAAACCTGGTAAATCGTGGCGGCTGGCTCGAGCAGCGGGTGGTTGCAATGTGTTGCTATGAAGTGCATGCGGTATGTACGGTACGGTAACCATGGGAAGAACATGGCCAATCGACCTTTGACATACATGATTGTTGTTGTTGGGCGTACCTATTTTATATACTGCGGCCGATACGATACTCTGTTCGCTCGACAGTAAGCCGCAGCATCTTCCGTAGCGGACCACCAGGGAACCCGAAAAGCTATCCTCGCTCAGCAACGCGAGACTCTTGACGGCCCACGCACCCGTGACGTACCTCAATTCGTTCGTTGAAACTGACAAATTCCCCTCCTCCCCGCACTCCCGTCGGTAACCCCGCCGCCGGCAGCTAAAACTCCAGACCCCACATCGGTCGACAGTCCTCCGCCAGCACCCCACCGCCGCACGGCGTCCTGTCACCCCCTCCTCCGGCGAACGACACCCCTTCAAAACCCGTCCGTACCGAACTCGCTCTACCCCTCAGCACTTAACAAACCGTCTCACAAATTCTCAAGATAGACACTTTCCCCAGGTACTCTCCCCGCCCCTGAATGAATCGCTTTAGTGCCCTTACTCAACATCACTACCTAAGTACCTACCTACCTACCTACCTTACACAAAACCCGCACCACCACCCAAAATGGCAGACCAAACCCCCCGAGCAGACCTCACAAAACGCCAAATCCCCTTCATGACCCTCGCAACAGGCGACACCTCCACCCTCCCAGGTGGTCCCTCCCGCATCGCCTCCGCCACCGACACAGCGCAATCCCGCTTCGCCCTCCCCGGCACAGCAATCCTAACAGGCGGCACCGGCGCCATCGCCCACGCCGTCGCGCGCGCAATGCTCCAGCACGGCCTCACAGGCCTCATGCTCCTCGACCTAGACGTCGAGTCCCCCGCCGCAAGCACCCAAATCTCGTCTCTCCGCGCAGAATTCCTCTCTACCAAGATTCTCGCGCGGAGCGTAGACGTCACGGACGAAGTCGCCGTCGCGGAGGCAATGGAGTTCGCCGCAAACGAGTTATCCGGGATCGATTACCTGGTCTGTTTCGCGGGCGTGGTAGGCTGCCACCACGCCCTCGACATGACCGCCGCGCAATTCCGTCGTATCTTGGACATCAACACCACCGGCGCCTTCATCTGCGCACAAGCCGCTGCGCGCATCTTTGTCCGCCAGAACCGCGGGGGTAGGATCGTGTTCACGGCGAGTATCTCTGCGCACAGGGTGAATTTCCCGCAGCCGCAGGCCGGGTATAATACGAGCAAGGGCGCGCTGCTGCAGTTGAAGAGTAGTCTTGCGGCGGAGTGGGCGAGGTATGGGATTACGGTGAATAGTGTGAGTCCTGGGTATATGGATACGGTGTTGAATGAGGGGGAGGGGCTGAGGGAGGCGAGGGAGTGTTGGGCGGGGAGGAATCCGATGGGGAGGATGGGGGGCGTGGATGAGGTTGGGGGGGTTGTGGTGATGTTGTGTAGTAGGGCGGGGAGTTATTTTAATGGGAGTGATTTGGTTGTTGATGGGGGTGGTGTTGTGTTTTAGGGTGATGGATTTTGTTTAGACGCTTAGAGTGTGGGAGGTGGAAGGGCGAGATGGGATAGACTAGAAGACAATCCACCATGGGTCTAGACGTATGGAAGCACATTCCTGAGATGATTACAATCGGCTGCCGGAAGAGACGTTGTCGCGGAGTTTGAACTATTGCTTTTGGGATGGACCTGTCAACGCATCGTGAGCCTCGATGAGTACTCGAGGCGTTTGGACGACCCATCTTGGTCATGGTGGCGGTTGAACATCTAGAAGCTCATGCCCAAAGGAGCTTCCCCCCTTCTCTACCCTCAGTCATAATCGAGCCTTCTGAGCCCTTCTAGTCAGTTCTTAGATGAGGGCCTCTCTCCTACCCACTGCTTACAACACCTCTTCCATGGCATGTCATATTGGTCCAGCGGTTGACAGACTGTGGTTTGGGCTTCAAGTCATGAGTGTATTTCGACATGAAGACGCACATGTCACAGCACACATACATGAGTCTATTATGCAAAGTCATAATAGCATAATGGGAGCCTGGAAGAGAACATCCCGCGTGCCTCATGTAGCAACGAGTGCCTTCTGGGTGTTCACCCGTCAGATAAATTGCGATACCAGGGCCCCGTTCCACTAACGCTGGAGCTAGGACCCGTAGCTTGGGGTATTTGACCCCGAAGTACTTTGTGCCCGAGGTGTACGTGATGCCGGTGATAAAATGCTCCCAGACACGACGTCAACAAGTTCAAGTTAAGTGTTGCCTCATGTCGTGTATCTTTACTACAGCCATGCTTCCCTAATCCGCATCCGTATTAGGAGGCTTTTTCATCGTGGTATATACTCTCGACGATGTGAGCGAAGCGTCGATGAAATTTCAATAATGATCGACATCGAAAGTATTCCAAAGAGTAAGAGGGTAAATACTCGGTCGCGCCCACCAACGATGAAGAACAGATCGCAGAAGAGGCCAGCTCGACAAGAAAAAAGAGCAAGATCATGCTCGGGCGCCAGTACATTGAAGACCTTGTTGCTTCCGACCCCTTCTGCGGTTTACTGTACATGTTCCGCCTATCTCGACGATCGGAGATGGTTATACAACACAGCCCTCCAGGGAACCCTCAGACAACTCAGCATTCGCCAGTGACGACATAAGGAGTTCACTATGGACGATACGAGAAGGTTACCTCTATCTTTTTTTGCTCGCCCAACACAGGACTCAGGAGGTGGTTCACCCTGATTTCAGGGGCACGGCCTCGCCGGACTGGCGCGAGTTCGTCCCGGATAGGCCAGCGTTCGCGAGCTCATGTTCTTCAACACATGAATCGCATACAACAAATCTTTTCTAATCCGGTGAAGCCTGTTGGTCAGGAAAAGCCACTTATGGTACTGGAAATTCACATTTCGGACAGTTTCACGGAGTCTGGGCCCCGCCTCTCATTCTCGGGGGCCTTGAATCACCGACTGTTAGGGTTGGGTCTTCCAAGCACTGGGTAAGCTGGCCAACTATGAAGTAATGCTCTCCCCAGGAATCATAGGCGCTGCAAGAGTGAGCGATGTGTTGCTTTAGTCCGTCTTAGCCGGAGACTGCCTAGTAAGGAGGCAGATGACTTAAGGTGAGGTTGGCTGGTGTGAGATGATCTTCAGGCTGCTTAGAGAATGCCCTATGTGTAGTTTGTTCTACATTACTACATGGATGTTGACTAGGAGAACAGATAAGTATCTACCTATTACTCAGTCAGGTTGGTCTAGGGTATAGGGCAGGAAGCTCGTATTAAAGTTGAGCGGCAACATAGGTAGCCAGGACCAGATGGTGCATGGCCAAGGGAAGCTGTGGACATCACTTTGACGGTGCGGGGAGCCTTTCATTGTTCAACAGACACTGCCTGCTTGAAGTTGTGATTGAAATCTGGCTGGCATCGGAGTTGAAGCCTTTCACAAGGAACTACAAAGACTCATGTCATTCACTTCTCCTGCTGCTGGCCATGTGAGTTTGCTCACTTGCACCTCCCAGAGTAACAATTTGTGGGACCGGACGGAAGCAGAAATTTGGATGCGATCGGCGATAAGAAAATAAGACGTCACCACCCACCCCGCCACCCACGACCGCCGTCACGTGCACGCTAGTGTTATCGATAATCACAGGGCAGGAATTCCCGACCTTGACGTCGACCGCCCGAATTTTCTCAACCGCTTAAGCTTCTCAACGCGTCAACACCAGGATCCACTGCACAACGCGACACCCACGATGAGCTCGTACAGACCATACCCGCCTCGAGGCAATGCTCGGGACGACCGCAATGGCGGTCGTTACGAATCCCGTCCATCAAACCATCAGCCCCCGCCACCTGGAGCAGGCGACAAATGGCGCAACCCATGGCCAGAGGACCGTGAGTACCGCCACCGCTCAAGATCGCGATCTCCACCGCGGCATTTCGACCGCTATGATTCTTACAGAGGAGACAACGATATAGGAAGAAGATCAGGGGGCTACGATGGCTACAGACCCGATGACCGACCGCCCCAGAGCGACTTCACCTTCCGGATGGATAAGCCCTCCGGCGTAGGCAATACCTCCAGAGGAGACTCATACCGCCCGGGCGCATATCAGGGCAACGATAGAAGAAGAGCCCCACGCGCTCGGGGAGGATCGTTTCGTGGCCGCGGTAGAGGCGCGTACTGGAAGATCATTCCAGCCGAGCGCGAGCTCTTGCGCACCCGCCGCGATGGAGTCGACGAGAACCTAGTCAACGAGGAGGGCGCTGGTGTAGTATACCGCGACATCAATGACCTATCGGACGACGAAGAGGCCGACATGGAGATCTCTGACAATTCTGACGACGAGGATGACGAGGATGACGAGGAATCTGGTGAGCCTTCCAGCAAGCGCGCCCGCCGCTCTGGCAACGACGAATCGGGCAACAGCGTCCCGAAATGGTCGAACCCAGATCCGTACACCGCCCTTCCCCCGCCTGATGCGGCCGATCGCAAGAAGAAGGACATGGTCAAGATGATTCGGAAGGCACGAGTCGACGAAACTGCCGCGGACAAGCTCAAGGCCAGCACAGAGGCCGAGGAATTCATTTCCTTCGACTTCGACGAACCTAATGACGAGGAAGAGATCATACTTCCTCCCTCCGAGCCACCCTCGCCTCCCCCTCCTCCCCCTCCTCCCCCTCCTGGTCCAGCACCTCCTTTGCAATCCTCGTCCATTGCTTCTAGAGTTACTCCCAGCGGTCCTCGTTCAGAACGTGGCAATCCGCCTACCTTCAGCGGATTATCACCCGCGGCAGCGCCATTCACGCCTAGCAAGCCTTCGACTTTGCCCCCCAAGCCCGCTGCGCTCAACGACGCTCTCGGCTCCCGGAAGCGCACTGCTGACGACCATATCAAGCCTCCTACTTACGCGCCGCTTAAGAAAGTCAACAAGATGCCCGTGGGTGGCGCGATCTTGTCCGAGTGGAAGGTGACCAAAGGCGAGGATCCCACGCCTTGGGTCGACGCGGACCATTCCAAGACCTCGGACATCAGTGTTTGGTGAGTCGCGACAGCTTTGATTCAGATTTAGTGTCTAACCTGGATAGGCTTCACAAGGAAATTGTCGACTTCTATGAGGTCGTACGCCCTCGCGACTTTGAGCACGAGATGCGAACACGGCTTGTCGACCGAATCCGCTCGGTTCTCAAGACTAATCGCTTTTACAAGGAATGTGACGTTCGCCCATTTGGCTCGTACATGTCTGGCCTCTACCTGCCCACGGCTGATATGGACTTGGTCATTTGTGAAAGAAGCTGGATGAACGGCGCTCATTCCAACTTCTTCGGTATTAAGGCTCTGAGGAACTTTGGCAAGTTCCTTTCGTCCAAGCGTCTGACCCATTACAACAGCATGGAGTTCATCGCAGGCGCCAAAGTCCCTCTCGTCAAGTACATTGACACCGAAACTGGCCTCCGGGTTGACATCTCTTTCGATCGCCTTGATGGTCCTCAGGCCGTCAAGACATTCATCGAGTGGAAGAAGCAGTATCCAGCCATGCCAATCATCGTCACAATGGTCAAACACTTTTTGGCGATGCGCGGCCTGAATGAGCCTGTCAACGGTGGCATCGGCAGCTTCACTGTCACCTGCATGGTCGTCAGCATGCTGCAGCTCATGCCCTCTGTTCAAAGCCGGAATCTCACACCCGATCACCACCTTGGACAGATGCTCATGGAGTTCTTCGACCTCTACGGAAACAGGTTCGACTATGTCAACACGGCAATTCGGTTGAATCCTCCAGGTTATGTCCACAAGGTCAGTCCATATCGGCTATCTCGCTGACTACTTTTACTAACGCTTCCATCGCAGCACCGAGTTCATGACGTTGTCTACAAGAACTTCGATCGCATTTCCGTCATTGATCCCAACAATCCCGCTAATGATATTTCTGGTGGCTCTAGCAACGCTGGCCGAATCCTGGAAGAGTTCAGCATTGCACACCAGATGCTCAAAAAGAGAATGGTGCAGCTTGGCCAGGCGGGCTCCCGCGCCGATGGACCTGCCAGCATCCTCGAGACCATCTACGCTGGTAACTACTCTTCGTTCCGTCACCAACGTGCGCACTTGCGCCAGCTGTACGACTCAAGATGAGGCCTCAGCTTTTGCAAACCGCAGTTCGAAAGTATCGTTCCAGATGTTGATACAGGAAGGATGGGTTTTACATGATATGTCGGAAGGGAAGCGAATCATCAGGCTACAGGAATCATTTGCGTTGCATTGTTTAGACGGGCGGGGACCAGACGCTCCAGCTTGGAGACGGAGTCAAGGAGAGGCGGCTGTTTCTTTCTCACGATACCCACCCCTCGTCCTGGTTGACTTGACTTCTTGGGTCAAGTCTATTTTTCTCGAGGTGTTGCCCTCTCTCTTTATTTCTTTTTTTTTCCCCTTTCTTTTCTCTATTGTTTCGCCTCTTTCCGAAGCAAAGTTGTATGATAACGGCGGCTGGTTAGCTGCGACAGGGGATGTCGACGAGGATTGACTGTCACAGGCCCGGTCCTTTTCTACGCAAACATGTCCCAGTGGCGTGTCTAGCCCCTTTCCCTGCTGGCCAGTTACCGAACGAAGCATTTGGGCCCAGCCCTAGTGGGCTCAACAATGAACATGGACTTTTTCTACTACTATTACTTACCCTTGGCAGTGCTACCGTTCCTTTCGGGTAGCGGAATGCCTCTGCTCCCTTGGCACTACTACGCTGGGCCTATGTGGCCCTGCGACTTGCTAACGGATTCGCAGATGACAGGACCTCCTGGCAAGCTTTCTCGCGGGGGCTTGCACGGGGGACAAGAGCGATGAGGCGGATCCCCGTATGGGGATCTGGCACGAGGATTCGCAAACAGAAAACAACAAACAACTCTGGCTGACGCTCTTTGGAGTTTGTCGGCCTCTTTTCTCACTGCATTTCTGTGCCTTTGCGCATGGGTGCGGAGAGGAAAAGCAACACACCAGGGGGCCCAAGTGAGAAGCACCAGTCCGAGGAGGACGGCGTGCCGAGACTCAACGCCGCCTCAACTTCCACCTTGTGCTCAAGATCTCATACGGCTTAGACGCCGTCGATGTGCCTAGGGTGTAGGTTGAGGGGGAGCGGGAAGTCGTGGCTAGCTTCTCTGCCGATTGAGACTCTCATGTTACTTAAGGACCTGGATCCTTTCCATTGCAACCATGCAACGGAAGTCAGTCTCCTCTGGATTTTCCAGAGCATTTTCTCATTGAAGCACCCATGTTTCCAAGAAGCGCTTCTTCCGTTTGCCGCCTCGATGAAGCTGAGGTTCTTCTTATTGAAGTTACCATGTGCGGTCTAGTTTAACACTATACCCATGCGAGTTATGACGGGCAAGCCTTCGCATAGGATAGAGGAAGAAATTTGGAAGGGAATTACCACGGTGATGAACGCCAACGAGTGCAATGCGCATGCAAGAGAAGAACATATCACTTATAGCAAGATCACCTTGGTGAAGGTTGCAGCACGGGGCTCCTCTTTCATCAAGATCTTGTTAGCGACACGGCAAGGTGCTATCGCTTCCGCAGTCCTGGTAGAGTACTAAGCTTGCGTGCCCAGATGAAAGAGACCATTTCTGGAAAACTTATGCGACCCGATACTTTGGATCTCGGACGTTTGACAGAGCCAAGCAAGCTGTGCGCCATCTGAGTTAGATCGGAGCCTCTCGGCCGGTGTGTAAGTGGTTCGTCCGGGCTTCGAGTAGGAAAACAGAATGGCCAATGTCCAGCTCGCCGACCACATAGGTATGGCCAGCAGCAAAAAGTAGAATGACGGTCCGGCTACCGAGTTCGATCAGCATGAATCCCCGCATCGGGGTAACGTTGCAGTCCTATCATTCTGTCGAGGAGTTGCGGCAGGCCATTGGAGGATTTGTTCTTTCGGTGTCTTGCGCAGAGGGCGTACAGAGTTAGATGCAGTAGTTGGGCGTGTCGATCTCCGTAGAAGGACCAGCAAATGACCGGTAGGACGGTGGTGAACGGGGCCCTTCTTCGGGGAGTCTGCGGTGTAATACCTGAGCTAGGCCTATCATCCATGGCCTCCGAAAGGGAAGAGATTGTGAATTACCGTAACCCGTAAGTAAGGTTGAAGGCGCATTACCGCCGGAACGAAAAAAAAAAAACCTGTCGTATGGTCACAATGTGGGCATCGAGATTTGTGATAGAGAACGGTTATCCATTGAAAGTAGAGAATAGGTACGAGGCTCGCTCTGAAATAGGTGATGCGAGCGAGTGTGGGCCTTGGTGATTATGTAACCGAGGTCACGTGACGGGCAGTGAGGCCACAGATGGTTGAAGCCATCACGACAAAAAAATTTCCTCAAACTTTGCAGGCGCCAGGATGCAAGGGTAGCAAAATATGAAATTTCTGAAATATCAGGTGCAAGGTCGAGCGATGATAAACGTGTGATTGATGAGAAGCGGTCCATTCAAGGCACACGCATCGCAATAGCGAGCAAGGACCCCAGCGTCTTTTCTGGGCCCCGTGGAGTGGTGGTCGACCCGAGTTGGCGCTAAAACGGTGGCCAAGATGTTAAATTGGTGGGGATACCTTAGGTAATGTCACCACTGAAGAGACAACGTTTGGTTGATGTGTCTGGCACGACTGCGAGAAAGCGAAGTTGAATGGTTCTGTCTCATCATACTTCGATTATCAGACGGTCAAGCTGTGACACCGAACGGGTGTCAACAATCTCAGCTGGTCTATAAGCCAACATCGCGGTGAAGAGTCGATAGAGAATGTACCAAGAAGAGGAGTGAATCACTCGTTGCGACTGTAGAGCGTGGTCGTCGTGACGGACAAAGTTGATCGGGGTACCTTGAGGTGGGCTGCGCCGTGTCGGAGAAGTGGTCCGAGAATTGGAGGCCCGCAGCTCGGGAACCGTTCCCCCGCAGGAGATGGCTTGATATCTAATAAGTACGATTATGAAAAAGAGGGGAGCCAAAGTCGCCGGAGCACAGCGAAGCCTCGTCAAGCTGGCAAAATACGCGAGGGTGTGGTCAGAAGGCCGTCACAAGGCGAAGTCTGCATGAGCTTTGGAAGGGCACGCCGCTGTATCCTCGGGGGACTTTGAAGAGCAGAATGCTCCTTAGAACTATTACCGTGGTAAATAGGCGAATGGGCGAACAGCGAGAGGCTTGCTGTGGGAAGAGGGCCGAAAAAGGAGGATTCGATTCGACCGCGGCAAGACAAAGGCGTGGCGTTCAGACGTGGTAACTTGTGCAGTAGTTGAGGCACAAGGCCAGCAAAGGCGGCGGCAACTAGACGGCATTGCTCACTGGCGGTGCTGGCGATGTAATTTGGTTGGAGGTTTTGGTGACGGGATGTTGGACGGACATCAGGCCCGATCTGAGACGGGAGTTGGATTGGAGCACTGAAGGTAAGATGATGCGGGTGGCTTGACAAGGGCGACAAATGAGGTGGTGTCGAAGTCTCCCTACCGGCAGACGTTCACATTGTTGGAAGGAAGGAAGTGACCGTCTTGACCTACCTTACCAAGATAACCAATTGAGTTACAATTTTCTCAATCACTGGAGGGAAGGATCGAGGGAGGTGCAAAGTAACTGTAAGGTGAGGCCGGGGAAGAAGGAGCCACGTTGGATCCTTCCCATGCGGGTGGAGTGGGGCGAAGGGAATTGGTGTCGACGGGGGAAAGAGCTGTTGGATTGTTGGAGAGAGCTCTCCTGCCTTTACTTCGCTTTCGTGTCGCATTGTCCCGTGATGATCAAAAACTGCAAAAACTTTTCCGGTAGCCGAGAGTTGGAAGTCTGCCTGTCTGTAGTCTTCGCCCAAACTTATCTCAGTTACGGCTGATGGATAGGTACCTCATCTCCTCCTGCACCAGCTGGATCTCGACAGAGCTTCCCATCTAAGAACTTTACGAGTTTTCCGCAGGTTCTCCGCCTGTTCTCCACAGGTTCACTTGGCAATACACATCGTCTTCTAGCTTTTCATGTGTCTACTGGGAAAGGTCCCGCAGATTATTTGACGAAACACGTCAGGTTTGTGGCACAACACCGTACTCTCCCTCTACCGCCGGGCGTCAGGGTACTAAGGCTTGCCAGAAGCAAGGCGCGACTCTCACCAGATGGCCGAGGCGACTCTCCATCGCCAAGCTTGCTCCAAGCCTGTCTTCGTCGGAGCAGCAGCCGAAAGGGCACCAAGACCCAGACATCAATCTACTGGGCGCTAAGTGATGGCATCTCAATCAAATCGTCTGGGCAAACCCTTCCTCCAGCCAGGGATGGTGGCCAACTTTTCTCGATCCTTTGCCGACATATCTGTCAGCAGGTACCTAGGTTCCTGCGTAGGTACTTTAGGTAAGGCAGTGAGTTCCAAGTCGTTTCGCCCTTGTGACGATTCAACTGGCCATCATTAAAGCTGCGTGTTTGATCTTTATTTCCATCGTGATCCATCACCCAAGTCGGGTGCGGGGGAAATGGGCCGCGCAGATTGGTCCGTCAACTGATGGTCCCGTCCTTGGAGGAGGAACGACGGGAGGTGGTCCACCGTTCTTGACCCGCCCGGGGCAGAGAGCGGGCAGGGGTCCGGACGGAAAAGACACACGGACAGCGAGAGAGGGAAAGGGCGAATGAACCGTGTGTTCCTCCTTCCGTCAGGCACTGGATTCGGTTGAATCTGACAACCTTGCGCCTGAATGTTCAGGTTCCCGTCAGGTAAGCAAGTGAGGTACTTCCTGCTTTTACCAACTTTGGCCTGCTTGCACTTTGTTGCAGGTTTGGTTTGGTACGGAGTATGAACCCATGACTAACAAACTAACAACATGGCACCAGCATGAGGGAAACCGACAACAGCCCAGATGTGACATGCCCATCCGTGTCCACAATCCGCACCACCAAGGTTCTCAGTTACGATAATCGACCGAGTAGCATAAGCGACAGAGAAGCAGTCAGGCCAGGCAGACCAGCCAACAGACAGATGAACACCATAACCGCACAGCAAGTTCTCGGTCTGCACATTTCTGCAGCAATATACCTGGGCTGGTGGTACTTAGGATTTGGACACACCACCGACACGAGCACAGCATGAGACATGCAACGCAACGACACCTCTCCCTACCACCCGTGTGGCATTTGGGATCTCGCCTAGCTTTCTCGTCTGAGTTTCCCACGCTGCTCGCCTGGTAACATCGCCAATCATCCAATGTCGCCAGCCACTCACGGCTGCCCATCCCTCCCATCCTGAGTTGACTCTCCTCTTCTCCGCATTTCGTCTCCCACACACCACACATATGCTCACACACCCCGGATGATCAATGTTACGCTGGACGTGGCTGGGAGCTCCTGGTTCCCCATACTTCATTGTGCTTCATTCGGTCACAGCTTCTCGAGCTCTTCCGACTGAGGTGCCTTGTGCAGGCATACGATTCCTGATCAATGAGCTCCGCGACCTCGCCGTCTCAACCAACGACCTGGCAATGGCCCAGACGTCTGTCTGTGCCTTGACCATACCTACTCGCCCGACCTGTCACACAATGGCCCTATCACCCTTCGAAGAACTGATCGTCCGTACCCTTCGTTACTCCTCCGCACCTGCTTCTACCCATGACCACATCATATACCACGGGATGGGAAATCCTCCACATCAACCATGTCAACCCCATGTGCCAACGTTTGCATTCGGTCCGTCCTGTCTCCCCAGACAGGGTTCCCCTTCGATCGACTCAACCGGCCAGCCCAATGTCATTCGACGTCGTAACTCGGTACGACGGTGGGCCGTGTCGTTACCCATCCTGCGACTCGGGTACCATACACACGAGGCAACCATGGCTGCCCCCGAACCGGGCCCAGGCAATCCACCGCCGACTGTACATGCCTCACCGTTTACTTTAAGTTTGGCTCGCGCCCACCTGCAAGCCTTCAAAAGCCTTGAGGGACCTTCTCCGCTGACGAATACATACGACATCACAACTTCATCTCGTCCCACCTAGACGGACGATTCAACTAATTGTAACTGAACACAACTTCAGAGACAGTCGCCTTTGCGCGAATATCGCCATCATGTATCAGGCGCAAAACATCTACTTCATTTGCGGTTTCGCCGCCATTGGTACGTGAAGCTAACTCCAGTTCTCGGGTAGCCTCAAACCTTGAGGATCTTACTAACTAGAGCCTAGGCGGTGGCCTCTTCGGCTTTGATATCAGCTCCATGAGTGGAGTTCTAGGAACTGGAGCCTATAAGAGATACTTTGGAAACCCTACATCATATCGTCAGGGTGGTATTACTGCTTCCATGCCTGCCGGCTCCCTCGTTGGATCTCTCGTCTCCTCCTTCATTGCCGACAAGTACTCCCGCAAGGTCGCACTGCAATTCTCCTGTATTCTGTGGACCATTGGCGCCATCCTTCAGTGCGCTTCCGTCAACGTCGGCATGCTTTGCGTCGGCCGTGTCATTGCGGGCATGTGTGTCGGTATCGCCTCCTCCATTGTTCCCGTCTACCAGTCCGAGATCGCCCCCAAGGAGATTCGCGGTCGCGTTGTTTCGCTCCAACAGTGGGCAATTACATGGGGTATCTTGATTCAATACTTCATCCAGTACGGCGCCGCCGAGGGCATTGGAAATGGGCCAACTGATCCCGCCCAGCCGACCGCCGCTTTCCGCATTCCTTGGGGCGTCCAGATTGTGCCTGCCGCTGTATTGTTTATTGGACTGTTCTTCTTCCCCTACAGTCCTCGCTGGCTTGCTAGCAAGGACCGTTGGGATGAAGCCATCAAGGTACTCGCCCACCTTCACGGCAGCGGCGACGTCAACCACCCAAAGGTCCTGGCCCAGTACCAAGAGATCGAGGAGGCCCTCCGATTTGAGCGAGAAGAGAACATCTCTAGCTTCAAGGGTCTCGTCGCTCCCCGTATGTATAAGCGTGTGTTGCTCGGCATGAGCATCCAGATGTGGTCCCAGCTGTGCGGAATGAACATCATGATGTGTAAGTGACGTTATTCCACTCGTGCATGTGAACGACAAGTTGCTGATTTGATTTAGACTACATTGTCTACATCATGCAGGGTGCCGGCATGGGCAACCCCCTCCTGACTGCATCTATTCAGTACATCATCAACGTACTCATGACTCTTCCCGCCATTATCTTCATCGACAAGCTTGGCCGTCGCCCCCTGCTAGTTGGCGGTTCATTCATGATGATGACCTGGTTGTTCATTTCTGGCGCGCTGCAACAGTACTACGGAGAGCCCAACACCGATGCGACACGCAACGCCGACAACGAGTCTGTTACCTGGATCGTCCTCAACCAAAAGCCTGTCTCCGCCGCTATCGTCTCTTGCTCGTATCTCTTTGTCGCGACCTTCGCCACTACCTGGGGCCCGGTATCATGGACTTACCCTGCTGAGATCTTCCCAAGCAAGATTCGCGCCAAGGCCGTCTCTCTGTCGACTTCGACCAACTGGTTCTGGAACATGATTCTTGCCTTTGCCGTTCCCCCTCTGTGTAAGCTGAACCATACGGCACGTTTGATGTTAATACTAATGGGTACTTGACAGTGTGGAACATCAACTTCAAGATGTACTACATCTTTGCGACGTTCAACGCCCTGGCCTTCCTTCACACCGCATTCTTTGCTCCTGAAACCAAGGGCTTCACGCTCGAGGAGATGGATGATGTCTTCAACTCCGGTCTTCCAGCCTGGAAGACCCATCACAAGAAGTCCCGTCTCGACGAAATCGAGCGAGAGATTGCCGCCGGAAACCTCAAGGTCACCCGTCACGGCGCGGTTCCTGCAGAAGATACCCATGAGGTTGTTGCCGAACCTGAGAAGGGAGCCGCTGTCTAAGCACCACGGTAGAGTTTCCACTCTCGGAATTATATAATAATGCCCAACAGGGGCTGTTGAGAGAGATTGTCCATGTGTAAAAGTGTGTTTGAAGCGGATGAGGCGAATGAAGTATGGCGAATGCACGAGGTGGCAGATTAATTGATGCAAAAGATACCATAATCACTTACATTGCTCTACTTCTTTGCTTTGAGTCTTGGACACGCCCACATGTGTGACGCGCACTGCGAATGAAACGGGAAGGAAGAACAAGAGGGATGACAATTCCGATGATGAGTCAAACTCGACTACTATGAGGCTAGGGTACACTGCGAAACTCCTTGAGCTACCCATTCCTCCCATGCATACACACGTACCGAGATAGGCTTCCGCAACCCGGGAAGGAAGTGAGGTGAGCTTTACTTGCTTTATACATACACACACACACACACACACTCTCTCTCTCTCTCTCTCTCTCTCTCTCTCTCTATATATAATGCCTCTCTGCAGCCGCAAAGTGATACACGGTTGGCTGAAGGATCTGGTGAAGCTTTACTTTCGCTGCGATGACTCGCAATTGCAATCAAGCCGTCCATCTTAATTGGGAGATTTGTGGAAGTTGTTTATCTGGCAAGCTCTCCTCACAGGTGTCTCTCGGGGTTTCAGATGTATTCCATTGTGAATTAGCCGAAAATGAGACGATGTAATGTCAGATAGCAGCGGGATGATGTTGTGAGGCGGTGCGATGGATTTGGAAATGCCCGGCTGCTTGAATGCAAAAGCAGCCTCAATCGAACGGGAGGAGGACGAGCATGAGACCGAGCATTCCCACAGCTCGACAACCAACAGATAGCGAACGGTCCTTTGCGAGGTGACTGATCTTCGACTGAGGCGTCTATTTATATCTGTCAAGGTTCTACTGTCCTGTCAATCCCCGATCACCATGCTCGAGACGAGTGCGTCATGGTTCACTCTGAGTAATTGGGATCAGTGATCGACCATGGGCATGGTCATTGCATTCTCCGGATACACCAACGGCCCCATCGCCATCGTCCCCGGCGAAGACAGCACAAGGTTGCCCTTCCCATCCTTGAAATTCTCCACCTCCTTACTCGAATCCAACGCACTAGCCGTCTTATAGAATCTTGCATCCAACTTCCTCGTGCTCGGATCGAACTGAAGCGTCCACTCCTTCACCGTCCGCCGACTGCCCCTTGCCAAGTCGTCCATCAGAGCACTTAGGTCACGGTAGGGAACCATCTCCGTGAACCACGACGTCCACATCAACAGACCCCACTCCAACTTGCGGAAACCGTCGATGCTGCCGTAGACTTCTTCTACTTCCCTACGGAGCAACCGTCGGTCCTGGTCTGAGGCGTTGTCGAAGATCTGGAAGAAGGCCTCCTTGGCTTCTGCTACATATTTCCCACGAGCCAGAGGTCTCCTTCATAGCCGCTCTCGCTGACGCAGATCACCCGCCGGAGAAGGGGCCAGGATATACACGTGCCGTCAGCGAGACCCCGGGATGGAAGCAACTCGAGCTGCATGCTTGGCGGAAGCTCGTCGTCTTGGACAGTAACCTTGGACAGTAACCTTGGACAGCGGGGCCAGGATGCGTAGATGCTGCGATACATTCCACCACACCGGTCCCATCCCGTCCGTCACCCGGAAGAAAGGCTTGTACTGATCCGGCAACGGGGCGCTGAGCTCCAGCCTCTTTTCAAGGTCCTGGATCTCCTGATGCGAGGGGGCAGGGTAGCGGAGCAAGCTCTCCGGACGAAAGATCTTGTCCTTATCGAGGTCAACCGGTCCAAGAACCGTCCGTTCGACGAGCATATCCTCCCGATCGCGCAGTTCATCGGGGGCATACGGCGCATTAGCGTGTGTGTTCTCATCGATTGCGCGCGCGAGTTCGGCGATGGTATACCCCTCGTACGGCCTGGCCTCTCTGGTCCACATTCGAGTCGTCGTCTGAGCATCTCGCACCCCGCGTCTGCGGCTTCGCGGATGTGCGCGAGGTCGATATTTAGGTGCTTGACGAGAGCGTTCTTGGAGGGATCCGTGAACCAGCCGTAACGCCATAGTTCGCGCATGCTGCCCAGCATAGGCATCTGGTCCTGCGCGGTGTGGAGGGTGGCTATCGTCCTCCCCCATAACTCGATGGCGCTCTCTTCTTCACTTTCGTGGGTACTACTTTCGCAACTTTCACCCCTCCCCTCATCCTCTTCCCCCTCTGCGGGGACGAACCCATCAACAACCTCTTCCTCAAATCGGTCCCCTTCCTCCTCCATCCCGCTACTATCATCGCAACTCGCGTCCCCATCACCCACCGCATCACGAAACAACCTCACAGAAAGATCAAGCGCCAACACCCGCCCCGTCCCCTCGACGACCTGGTTCATCTGCCACGGCGCCAGCATGCACTCCCAGAGACCCCAGAACCCGGCCAGACGCATCGGGACGGGGCCGTGCGGGTTCGCCCTGTTCTCTTGGCCTAGCGCCAGCTCGCGGGCGAGTTCGTAGGTTGATTCGTCTTCGTGCCAGGTAGGGGCGAAGCGGTTGCAGACTAGGGTGCGGGCGTAGCGTTCCAGGGCGTCGAGGGTTGGGTCGCTCTCGTCGTCGTTGTCATCTTCGCTGTGTTGAGAGGATTCCGCTTCTATCTCGGCGTCTGAAGATGGGTGAGATTGCTGTTCATGGTTGGAGGGGGAGGAAGATGAGGAGGAAAAGTGCTTCGGAACAGGCGTAGCCCACCGCGGCCATCTCCCAACACATTCCCACCCAAAAGCAAACACAATCCGCGTAAATGGGTCCGCGCGCGCGGGATTCACGGGGGGTTCACGGGGACCTCATACATGCTAGATCCATTGTCGTCGCATCCCTTGCCGAGAGTCCGGCACCGGCTGAAATCCTCCGAAAAGACCTCGGGCCCGAATTCCCGGAGGTCGAACGGCGGAATCCCGTGCGCGTGGAGGACCGTCAGCAGACCGGTGCCGTGGTCCACTTGTCCGAGGACCGCGAGACACACGGCCGTCTCCCGGACGTGTTGGACGACTTTGCTTAGGGAGGGTTCTTCTGCGATGGAGGTTGGGCCTGTTAGGTGGCGGAGGAAGAAGACCATTGTGGCTGTTGCGGCCCGGTCATCCCCCTCCGTTTTAGACAGAGTTCTTACAAGAGGATATTGTTTATTGTTCTTGGCGATGATTGGGAGCCTGTTTCGAGACATGACATCAGAGTACCTGGTAGGTATGGTGAAAGGTTTATTTAGAAACAAGGTTGAGGCGGAGAAGTCAGCTTCGGGAGTGGTAGATTGGTGGCGGGGTTAGCGCTGATGGCGCATGCATGTCAGACGGGATGACTCCATTGATGATCATGATGAGTGAAATGCTTCATCTCCGAGATAGAATCTGGACGTGAGAGCTATTAATCATGAGACAGAAGAGGGGATCATGGAGAATAGTGAGAATAGACTTTGATCTAGATTATTGCGCATCGACAGCACTCACTGCCAAAGTTGCCCTTCGTCTCATAAGTACCTTACCCGAGGAGGTGGACACTGTCTCATCTGAGCACCGTCATGCCACGCGATGCCGAGAAGGCACTTTGCAGCATGAACATGAAAGGACAGCGCTCCTTCAAAACAGAAAGAGCTTTTGCGAACGGAAGCGCACTTACTTGACTGGAGTACTCCGTAAAGCGATCCAAATGTTTCTATTGAAAGGAACAACTTCTCAGGTGGGCTTTTCTTCCCGTCAAAGCGGCTGACAGCCAAGAGAAATATGCTTAATCCACTCTAGGTACGAGCTTTGGGAAATGGAAAGACCTCAAAGGGGATTAGCACGTCGTACCAAGCCCCCAATGCCAAGCTTATTGTGATCCCTCGTAAGGCTGATTTTGGGACAAGATCGACAAGTGACGAGGTGAAAGGTCTCAACGGAAGCCTTCCACGTTCCTACCTACACGTAACTTTCATCTCATTCAGCCCAAGTGGCGGCTGCTGTGGCTCTTATGTGAGAGCTCTCTAGCCCATTCATGAGATCCGTGAGCCGGTGAAGCTGAGGTTTTGGTGCTGACAACGTGAGACTCTGACGCGTTAGGCGACTTTGGCATGTCGCGATTGGCAGCATCGTGGCAGTGGCGCGGTTCCAGCAAGGGGAAGAATCCTACTTGTGTTCGATGGTCAAACCCCTGCTCTATGATTCGGCTGCCTAGCGCCAGCCCTGTTCAGTTGTAAAGCCGCTTCTTAAGCAAGGTGTTCCGTGTTGTTTCGCGAGAGGAGGCTGTTCCATGGTTCTGGGTTTACTTTCCTTTCTGCTTAACGTCACTCGTCGACATCATCTCACAGCGATACCCCGTTTCCATTGACTTGAAAGTTGAACATCTGGATGCAGTCACCTGAGCAAAAGGCGTTGCTTAATATCAACTACACTCGGCGGTCAGGTGGAAGTTGGCGAGACGAGGCACACGAGATGGATCATTCCTACGGGCAGCAAACGGGAGGCCATAACGCCGACCCGACAGGATCCGATGCGAGGGCGGCACAACACATGAACACGCATTACAGCCAGCCACAAGTCGTTGACGATTCGTACGTTGAGAATGGTCTTCATCCAGTGCCGGAGCCGGACAAGATCGTGGGCGCGCCGTATTATCACCAGTACAACCAAGTACCCGGTATACCGAGCCATCCTCATCAGCCATCAGCGTCGAAGAGGAGGATATGTGGTATGAGCTTGGCGATGTTCATACTCTGGTGCATACTGGGATTCCTTCTTGCGCTGCTAGCCATCGTTGCCGGTGTGTTTGGGAGCATGCTCGCAAGGCAGAGCTCAGAGATCCTAGACCTTAAGAACGTGGCGGCGACAAAGTAAGTATCCCCAATAAAACACCTCATTCAAGACCGTCTGAAGGGTCGATACTAACACTCATCGCAGGACAACCGGCTCAGACACCAACGGCACAGCAACGACAGCAGCGCCCGCCGCGACGACGACGTGGGTGCAGGTGGTGGACTGGGAGTACATTGGCTGCTACGAGGACACCTCGAACCGCGTATTCCCGGACAAGTACACGGTCATTGAGGACCAGACGAACCGGCTCTGCGCGGAGGTGTGTTCTGATTACGAGTACTTTGGCACCGAGTTCGGGGACCAGTGTTACTGTTCGCGGACGCCGCCGACGACGGTTGCGCCGGCTTGGAACTGCGATATGCATTGCAATGGCGCGCAGACGTCGGAGATTTGTGGGGGGTACTTCTTTTTGAGTGCTTGGAAGAAGAAGGTGTGAAGTATTTGGAGAGAAAGTGGATGTGATGACCTGGTATGTATTTGCTTTCACAACATTGCTTGGAGTTCTTTGGGCATGGCTGGTTGGGATACCCTATGGCAATAGACTTGTTGAATTATTAACGTGGCTGATCAAGCACCATCTTGATCATCGTCAGAATGCCTGTGAAATGCTCAGGGGTGAGTGGTGCTCGTTGTTGTGTGGTCGAGATGTGGTGTCAAGAAGGCTTCATAAAGCCCAACCCGGCCTCTCTCTCCAATATCCAGCGATGGATCTGAACAACCATGGCCGGTTGGCCCAATGGCAAGGCGTCTGACTACGATTGAACATGTTATCAGGAGATTCTGGGTTCGACCCCCAGGCTGGTCATAATCTTTTGAAAATTCTGCATCCTGGATGCCGGGTTTGAATTTTTTTTGCGCGGGCTGCGGGCCCGGCCCCCCGCCGAGTCAGGGCTTACTAGTCCGGGCCCGGAATTGGCCTCCAACGCTCAGGCGCCGCCGAAACTGTCAAACAGCACTCACAGCACTCGGCAAGAAATGAACGACTGCAGGTTTCTATAGATTCAATCCCGGAATCAGTCTATGCCACGGAAACCGTGTCTTTCTTTTGCGCCTCATGGTTTGCAAGGCATGTACCTTAAGCTGCCGCAGTTTTCTGCCGGCTGCCGCAACTAACAATTATTTTTGGTGCAGGCTCCGGCGGGGTGCCCCACCTCACCGAAAAAAGGCTTAACTCCGACCAGATACGTACCCGTCGACGTCTCCCGTCTGAACGGAATATTTCCACTCCTCTTCTCCCATTACATGACGCTCGGTGAGAACCATGTCCTCCACCCTTGCGCCGCCAGCGCCGGCATCAGTCTCAGAGCTTCTGACGTTGATAATAACCACATCGCCAACCCCGTCCGCGCCTTTGACAGAACTCTTGGATGCTGTCTTCAAATCCATCCGCCTTCACTGCAGTGACCTGTTGTCGTGCCGCATCATCGTTGTCTTGGACACGTATGAGCGCATAGGTGACGTGCCGAGGCTGAAGAAGGGTCAGGTGACGGAGAAGGGCGCAGAGGAGTATGCAGAGTACAAAGACAATGTCAAGAAGCTCGTGCTAAGAGAATACGACCAATATGAGAGTCCTGGGGAATTGAGTCGAGCGCAAGGAGACGCAGAGTATGGCTACAACGGACGGGCGGCGACCGTAACAACGAATTCGGCGACATTTACCGTAAGCCTGACAAAGGACTTCCGGGTTTCTTTCGTCGAGCCGTCAGAGAGGCTGGGTTTCGGTCTCGCGGTGCGGACAGCCTTGAGAATAGCGACAACGCCCTACGTTTGGGTCCACCAGCATGACTGGACGCTCGTCTATGACATTCCCGTAGCGCCAATACTCGACGTCATGAAGACACAGGACTCAGATGAAGAGAGCCCGGTGAAATATGTCTGTCTTGCTTCGGTACGGATGCTGAAATATGCCGAGACTGCCCACGCGCAAGAGTTCCCGCATCTAAGAGCGTTGACGGCCAAGCTCAGGCGAAATTTTACATCCAAATCACATCCGGGGACGCAGGTGCCGCTGACTCCCATGTTCTTCTGGCATGATAAGCCGCACATCGCAGCTACGGACCATTACTTGACGCGCGTCTTTCCGACGCGGCTGGCGATACCTAGAGGGGCGTTTATCGAGGATACGATCGGACATCGGGCGCGGACTCAGATGAAAGAGCAGGGCATGTGGGCGAGATGGGCTTGTTGGTTATTTTATCCTGACGAAGGAAAGCAGTTGTGTCTCCGGCACTTGGATGGTAGGAAATGGAGGGGCGCAGAAGGGGAAGTCACGATGAAAGAAATTTGGAAGCAGGCCAACAAAGAGACGAGGACGATAGATGATGAGTGAATCTGAAAGTTAGAAGACAAAGCCTTCGTACATCGGGTTTGCCGACACACACACTACTCTGGAACGAGATCCGTTGCAGTGTAGTATTGACCTTTGCCTTCGTAAAGCCATTCCTTCACCCAGACATCGCCTCCAGACGGGCAGTTAACTCCAGAGCCAGCGCCATTGCAGGTAGCGTAGATACTCACCAACGACCCGGTGAAAGGACCACTCTGGCCACTGACCAATCTTGCCGAGAACGTACTCATAACGATTTGCTGGTCCGGTTGAGAAGCCTGGGATGCGGCCATCGTATAGTGGGTGCTGTTGACTGTAGCAATCTGGAACCAAATCGGATCGTCTCCCCATGCTTCAGGCAAATTGACGAGGTTTTCTGCAGGCGCATCTTCTCCTGTGGCCCTGAAGCGTAGCATGCGAGCATTTCCTCCGGAGCCATCCGTCTTGGGGAGGGTTACTACCCCGACATCTGCGTGGTTGAATTGCGTCAGGAACAACGTAACACCAGTTTCTTGGTCAACGTCAGTAAGTGGTGCGTCAATGACGGCTTGAAAGGTAAAGAGAGAGTCCGTCTGAGGTCGTCCGATGAATGATAGCCCCGAACGACCATCCAGCTCCGCGTTATCGCCTGTGAGGTTCGCGCGACTAGGCACGACGTGAAGTCCTTTCGAGACATCAATCGAAAATGAGCCCTCAACTGGAACTCTCCAATGGATGAGATTGCGAGGGATACTGCTCAATGTTGTAAAGTCGTACGTGTCGGGGTCCGAGTTGAATGGGCCGTCTCCCGAGAGATCTCTCGATGTTGCGGGCATTTGCCAACCCGACATTTTGCCTCTGATAGGTTCCAGTATCGGCCACTCGCCTTCCCGCCAAGTGACTGAGAACATGACTGTCTCGCGGCCCATGGGATAGATTCTCCATTCTGGCCCGGAACGGGTGGCGAGAGCGACACCCCACCAGTTCCCATCAGAGTCTTGGAATAGATCTGCGTGGCCCGATAGTCTATCGTCCCGAACTTAGAACCAACCAGGAAGTATCCCGAAGAACGTGAATGTATACCTGGAAATACTCATCGGTGCCCTTGTTCGTCAAGACCGGGTTATACGGGCACGGTTCATAGGGGCCAGTCAGGCTGGAAGATCTAGCCATGACTTGGTAGTGCCCAGTCTCGGTTCCTCCCTCGGCCGCAGAGATGTAGTACCAGCCGTCCTTGCGGTAGAGGTGAGGACCTTCAGGCCATACACCGCCAGTGCCAGCCCAGAGGAGAGTGTTGTTGACGACTGTCCCCGCCTCGAGGTCGATGTCGAGAAGAACGTGGCCGCCTCCCGGGATGTACATCTTTCCGTCGTCGTCCCAGAAAAGATCCAAATCTCCGTTCGGCGTTGGGAATGTGTAAGGATCACTCCACCCTGCTGCGTCGAACGGATCGCTCGTTTTGAAGACCGTGCCTAGCATTCCGTCGGGCAGGCCGAGGTACTCGCACACCACCCAGAACTCGCCATCATGATGCCGAAGAGTTGCGGCGTAGAAGCCTTCTTGTTGACCTATAGAAAGAAGATCAGCATTGATTGTGCAGTTGGGTGGGCCATTAGGAAGGTGTTCCAACCCTTGGTTTGCTGGCTGGCGCCAGGCATTTGGTTTTCTCGATTCCATACGTGGCTTATCAACTTCCAGTTAATCATGTCTTTGGAGGCGTATAATGGCAAGCCCGGAAATGTGATGAAGCTCGAGGTGATGCAGTAGAACGTGCCGTCGACCTGGGCGCAAGATGGATCGGAATGCCAACCAGGCAGAATTGGGTTGTAGAACGTGGAGTTATCAGCTTCTACCAAACATGCTATCAAAGAAGTGAGCAAAGCCCCTAAAGTGAAACGCCATATGTAAGAAGTCATTTTGAAAGAGCTTAATGACTATTCTTGTAATTCCGAGATTAGAAGTAAGCAGCACAATGTTATACAAGCAGGCTATATACTCCGTAAAGACGAGCAGAGCAATCTAGAGACTGTGTCCCTCGGCATAAGCAATGGAAATAACCCTGGAGAGTTTCTTCATGATATTCGTACCCTGGAAACGAAGGTGAGCAAACCAAGAGAGGACGCTTACTCCGGCTAAAGGACCATGCAGGCCCGGTAGCTGGGTTGTGCGAGGGTAGTCACCTTCTCTACTAATCCATGCGGGGGTGTCGATGTCACATCAAAGCTGGCAATCAAGTAGCTGTTGGCTATGACATTTCCACCGAGCGTTTTCCCTTTAATCACTATATTGCCTAATTACAGGCGATGACTTTACGCAACGAAAAGAAACACAAGAATTGCCCTGATCCATCATGAGCAGACCTGATAACCAATGAAAGTGCAAAGGAAGTTATGAGAAGACGGTTCTCCTAGTAGTCCTTTACCCGATTGCCGAACAAAAGGTTTGATCAGGTATCCCATCTCCTTCTTATGCGGCCCGATCCGTTTGGCTCGAAAACTTCGGTCCTTGACTCCTTACGCCGAATTCATCCACAGTTTTTAACCAGACCTAAATACCACGCTGGATGGTAATTGAGCCGTGTTACATTAGCGAAAGCTACCCATGCTCACCTGCACCCCGCATAAGTTCCTCCATCCGAATCAATGAGAGATTAGCGGTTGGGACTATCCCATACGAACCGAATCTTCCACGTGGAGAACATGCATCCGTCATCCAGAATAACCATAGTTTTGGAGCACGGCATGCAGTAGGAGTGCTTTGTGAAAGCTACGCGATAATGTTGCGTAGATCGCACTAACAACTTCATCATGTATCGCAATAGGTTACCCGCCCAATACCCAAGCGTCCGACACGATAGCAGATACTGCCGTCTTGCATGATCTAGGAACGACGATGGCGACCTAGAGCATACAGTTTTCAACGCGGACTAAAGGTCAAGCCGAGAAACATGTATCTAAGATCTTGGCATTTGAGAGTGTGGCTGACATATAAACTATTGACAGAAGCCGATAAATGATACAGGGAATGATAGAAGCACCATCATATCTTTGATTCCTTAACTGAAAAATTGAAATCGGCATTGTTCGTCATTTCCAAGCAGTCATGATGAGACAGCAAGTTTCTGCAGCGCTTTCCCTTATTCTTCTTGGCTTCGGTCAAATCGGTTCGGCCTTGACCACTCGTCAGGAATCGACCTTCACCAACCCAGTGATATGGGCCGACCTCGCAGACGATGAAGTCTTCAGGATCGATGACACATTCTACTACAGTGCTTCGACAATGCACTACTCTCCCGGCGCACCTCTTCTCCGGTCTTACGATCTTGTCAACTGGGAGTTCGTCTCGCACTCGGTGCCAAGTTCTCGCTCAACGGCAGCGATCACGCAGCCTACGTCAACGGGGTCTGGGCCTCTTCGCTGGGATACCGCGAAAGTAACGGTGTTTTTTACTGGTATGGCTGCATCCAAGGCACGGATGAGACGCATATCTACACTGCCTCCAGTGCCGAGGGCCCGTGGACTCATCATGACCCCATTCCGAAGTGTTACTATGACCTGGGCCTGTTGGTTGATACCGACGACACCATGTACATCGCCTACGGCGCCATCGACATCCGCCTTGCGCAGTTGTCGCCAGATGGCTTCACAGAGGTTCGCGACGAGGTAAGTTGGCAATGTCTCGAAGCTTTCCCCCAGATACTGACTCCTACCAGGTTGTGTACACTGAAGATGCCCACAGGTACATTGAGGGCTCGAGATTCTACCACATCAACGGCAACTACTACATCTGGGTTACCAAGCCCGGAGACGAGCAACATGTTCTGAAATCGACATCTGGTCCCTGGGGTCCATATGAAGCCCGACAGGTGGTTGCGCAGATGAAGGCTCCTGTCGAGGGAGCAGGAGCACCGCATCAAGGCGGCCTTGTGTCGACCCAGGATGGAAAGTGGTATTACATGGCCTTTATCGACGTCTACCCCGGTGGCCGTGCCCCCGTTCTAGCCCCAGTCGAATTCGATGCCGAAGGTTGGCCGAACGTGGTCACAGATGCAAACGGTGCGTGGGGTGCCGAGTACGCCATGCCCGTCACAACCTCAAAGACAGTCCAGGGCACTGGGTCTTATGTCGACAAGTTCGATGGCGTCGCCTTAAACCCCCGTTGGGAGTGGAATCATAACCCCGATAACAGTGCCTGGAGCTTGGGATACGACGGTTTCACCCTGCGAACTGCAACGGTATGCGAGGGGCTGTACGGAGCCGCAAACACCCTTACTCAACGCATCATCGGCCCCAGAAGCCAGGCTACGTTCCATCTCGATATCTCTGGGATGGTGGATGGAGACCAGGCAGGTGTAGCAGCACTGCGTCAACTGAGCGCTTATATCGGGATACACAAGGTGGATGGCGTGTCCAAGCTTGTGTATGTTGACGAGATCAGCATGGCCGTGCGGGACTCGTTGACAACTTCGAATGGACAGGTCAAAGCGGAAGGACCTACTGTAGCTGGCAGCGATTTGTGGCTTCGCATCAAGGCCGACATTGCACCACCTGTAGCCGGATCGGGTGCGTGGCCCAACGCTACGTTCTGGTTCAGCACCGATGGTGACAACTTTGAACAGCTCGGACCTGTGTATGGACTGAACAATGAGTGGTTCTTCTTCATGGGGTATCGATTTAGCGTCTTCAATTGGGCCAAGACTCGTTTGGGTGGCAGCATCCTGGTTCGGGAGTTCGAGTTGGAGATGCTGGAGTAGAAAAAAGCCGATCTCTTATCTGTCGTTCTGAGAGGGGTATCCAAGAACACCTAGCTTGGCCGCTTCTGGGGCTCTTGACTTCTACACCTGACAAGATCGATTGCGAAGGTAGATAGAGTGGGAAACTTCGATTCTTTGACACGGCTATAGGAGGTCACTTCTCCTCTTCTTGGCAGATATTTGGTGTCTTTAGTAATTTATATCAATAACACGCAGCCAACTTTGATCGTATCTCGCTGTCCGCAATAAAGAGTGGTCGCCTTCGATGTCTGCGAACACACTGCCGATGCCACCCCAATACATGCCGCGTACCACCATGTTTGCCTGCTCAGGATTCGCTCTCAACAGACGATGTCCATCGTGAATGAAATCGTCACACCATAACTGATCCTACTAAAAATTGTGACCAGGGACTCAGGCAGACAGACTTGCATTGTTGCATTACGGCATCACAAGTCACTCGTTACTCATGTCTCAGTAATAACTCTGTAGGAATTCCTTCACAGTACGGAGTACCAAAAGGGAATGTGCCATTTCGCGCCTCTTCCTGCTGCTTGGCATCTCACAAGTCGCGCATGCTGTAGGGCTTGGCGAGTTCGCGGAATTCCGAGTGGATGCAGCTCTAGTACTAGTAGCACACTGTGACTGGATCTTTTGGAGGGATCTGGAACATAGTCTTGCAGCTTCATATACTATTGGCCTGAGCAACAAGTTCAAGATAGCATTGCTTGGCATACCTCAGTCCCCCCCCGAAGCCTAGCCGTGACTTTGCCTCTCTCACACATACGCGCGTGCGGTCTTCCACAAAGCGATAGGCCACCACCGACCGCCACACCAAAAACAATGAGGTCAAAAGTTCCCACAACATGTTCACAACGTCGATATAAGTGCCCGATGTTAGAGGCTTCTATTGCAAGGACTAGGCGAGTCTCACATCCCGCAAGTCTTTGGAGGTAACGCTAGTATACTAACCGCGGATCTACTTTAACGACCTGCTGAATCGGGCATGGCCATGCCTCTTCAGGTGGCACAGCTGCGCAAAAGGTCAACAAATGCGCGATCCTTCGAGAAGTACTCCTTCCAATCAGCAGAGTTTCCCACGTTTAATCTCAAGTTTTTAAGGTAAGATAGCTCCAGTCTCAGCAAAACTGGGCGAAGCTGAGAATTGAGTTGCAGATGCATTCACCAGAAGAGGAAGCTCGCAAAGGTTGTAGGCGTCGAAGGCGAATACAAACAGGCAGAAGCTATGTCTAAACTTCTAATAACCCAATTGAGACATGAGATAGTCGTACATGCCGGGCTGTCGTCAAAACATAAATAATCCCCATTCTGTTGTCATCGATACAGTAAATTGCAACTTCCCAACAACTCAAAGTTTCAAAGGCATTTAAACATCTATCCCAATTAATCGGCCAACTCGACAGAACAAGAAAGACCATGAAGTTCTCCATCCTCACCTTCGCGACCCTCTTCGCCGCGCTCGCGGCCGCAGCTCCCGCTCCTGAAGCCGAGCTCGTCGCCAGACAGTGCTCTTGCCATAAGATCGGCGATGAGTGGTTCTGCAGCGGCAGACTTTGCCCGAAGGACTTCATCCCTACAACCGCCATGACGAAGAGGGGCATCGAGATTGAGGCTCGCGGCTGCAGTTGCAAACCCATTGGTAACGGCGAGTATATCTGCACTGGATCCAGTTGCCCTTAGGGGATCGGCATTGTGAGCTTTGCATTGAGTTTGAACTTTCGGAAACGGGTAAGAGTCGCACTCCTGTAGAAGCCAAGTTTTGTGCTCTACTAACGAAATCTCAGTCTACACGTAGTTATACTTCCTTATATCTCCGTTATTACCACCTGGGGCTGGTAATCATCTTCGGCACCATCTCTCGTCATAGAGTTGGTGGATATAGTAGACTCTTCATGGACGAGATGGATTGACGAGAATAAGAAACTCCATACAAACAAACATTCAAAGTGGCTGTTGTCTGTAGTGGAACGCTTATTTTCCCTTCAAGAATTTTGACAATGCCTGGTAGAAGCTCCTCTTTTCTGATCAAACACGCCATCTTTCGAGTCGTGAGTGTGAGGATGGACATATACATGTGCCCACATGATTGCAATGCAAAACAGTGCCGAGCCCCATCGGACATCTCAGTCCCCAGTTGTTTGGAAAATGTTCTTGCTGTACTTTCTCGAACCAAGATATCATGCCGAGCGCGATTTGATGGCAATTTTGATAAAACGAAAGAGACGGATGACAGGTTGGAAGATAGTGTACGTACGGTTCTAAAGTCTCTTCGACTTTCGTTGTCCCGATCTGGTAGCGAAAAGTGAGAAATGCTTAATCATATGTCCTTGCCTTAGGTAGAATTGAATGGCGACCGAGCTTCCTGATATAATTGTGCACAACAACAACTAAAGTTGTTGGAACAGCAAAGGCTGATAAGGAGTAATAGGCAGGTACCATGGGCTGGCTGGCACCTGCCCTGGGCGAAATGGGACAACTGGCTTAGTCATCACGGCCGGATAAAGGTGGGGCAACCACCCAGGCCGTCACTACCTACTTCGACCGACTCCTGCCTACAATGTAAGATAGAAAAAGAAGAAGAACAAGCAATAGGATCACCAACAGACGAGTGATAGTTGCTACCACTATTTGTCGTATACGACCCCGTGAACCAACAAAAGTGGACCATCACATTGGCAACTCATGTGTTCATTTTGCAACTAGCAACCCAGATGCTCGAAGAGGCGGAGCCACTCGCGTCAACTTTTGTATATTGTGCCGATGTTCGGCTTAATCGTTGTCGGTACAAGCTTTTCAGCCGCCGAGAAAAACGTGATGCGGCGACCGGACAAAAAACGGACTTTCACGGCGGACATTTCCAGCCACCGTCCGCCGACCTAAAAACCCTGCGGCCCCTAAGTCCCTTTGTAACGAGAACGAAGTCCGAGGGATTTATTGCATTTGGGGGTCGGGTTACATGGCCGCGTAACCCCACGCGTTACGGTGACTTATGACGCTTGTTTGCTCGACTGGGAATTATATGTACTAGGGCGGTGTTGCATCAGGTCTTGAGTCTATGACGAAGATCCCGCGAGCTAAGACGTGCCAACCCGCACGGTCTCGACCCGTTCCTACTTCTGTACTTTGCATACCTCATTTGCCAATCGAGAGTGTTAGGTACTGTTTTCTTATCTGTTTCAGATGTCAAATGCGGGCCAACTTATAATAAATGTCCGGAGCGGTCCCGTTCCGATCGGTAACAACCAAGGGACCGGTATGGACACCGAATTTCATGTTTGCCATGCCGGCGTAGCATTCTTGTGTTCAACAAAGAAGATTTCGTTAAATAGGTTCGTGGCCCGCGAGTGTATCTGATAATCTTCCAATCGAAGTTCTAGTAAACTCTCACCAAAAAGGCCAACCTTATCCTCAAATAACCAATATGCCATCCGATGCAAAGCCCTCAACTCCAGGCCGAACCCTGGCCATCTTCGGCGCAACCGGCCGCACCGGAAGCGAAACCCTGAAAGCCCTCCTTGCCAAACCCACGAATCCCTTTTCTCACATGAAGATCTTTGTCCGTTCCCGCGAAAAGCTCATCAAAACCTTTCCCCAGCTCAAGACGGATAACAGTGTCGAAATCATCGAGGGCCAGGTCACCGACGAGACACGTATCAAAGCCTGTCTCATCGGCGCCGACACAATCATCTGCGCGCTGGGCGAAAACGACAATAAGCCCACAGTCAGGGTCCTGCAAGATTCAACAACGACAATCGTCTCAGCACTGAAGCAGCTTAAGAAGGAAGAAGGCACAGACTGGAAGAAGCCATGGTTCATTCTCCTCTCCTCCTCGACGTGGAACGAGCGATTCGCCGCGAAGCAGCCGTGGCTCGTCATGTGGATGATCAAGAACGCCTTCTACTGGCCCTACGCGGATCTGCGAAAGGCGCACGAAAACCTGCAGGCCGAGCCGGACCTATTGCTACTGTTGTTGGTGCAGCCACCCGCCATCATTGACGAAGAGGCGAGTGGTTACACCATCAGCACCGAATCAGTTGGTCTCGCTTGCTCATACCCGGATCTGGGCGCGGCATTTGCAGAGTTGGCAACCGAGGAAGCGTACAGGGAGACCAGCGCCGTCGGTGTCACCTCGACAATGGCAAAGGCGGGCTTCTCGAGATACGGGCCAGAGATTCTCCCCAGAGTCATCTTTGGTCTGATGGCTAGTTTCATCCCGGGCGCTTGGAGGGTTGTACCAAGTGTGTGAGAATGATTAGTTTCTACAGGTAGCTTTAATAGATTACAATAGACAAGGCTCGAATATTCAGGGCCATGGACGCCTTTTCTCAATGCTGTCATCACCAGACTACTAGACTCGTTGGATGGTAAGCATGCCCTTCAGCAGGGACTTCATCATACCAGGTTTAGGCCCAGTACGCCGTGAAGTTGTCAGCGACACAGCATCGTTGTTACGCAGAGCGTCATCTTGCTGCTCTTCCGAGAGGGCCAAGGTCTCAAGCTCACGGATTTTCCATACGCGCAAGAACCAGACTACGGGTGGTTAGTCAACCCATGTGGCTAGATAGAATCATTTGCTGCGATGACTTACTTGAGATGAAAGCCGCGATATACATGAATCCCGTAAACAGCTGAACGGGAAGATAGGCATTGAGTCCGGAACCCTTGATCGTTAGAGCAATAGGCTCGGCGAATGTTGCTGGGATAACGAGGATAATCCAGAAAATGGACAGTGCCGATGGGAGGAGCTGCATTCCGACCACCTCAGCGCCCACTGGTGCGACTGTCGGCCAGAGCACTCCGGCGAACGCGCCAAAGAGGGCGAAGACAATGAGGCCTGCAAAGTGTTTGGCAGCGAGAATCCAGAGCAGGAACGTGGCGAGACCGGCGATGATGGTGCCCAGCCCAGCTAAGTTGATGCGGCCGAAGCGGTCACTCACCAGACCAATTACCGGGCGGCCAATACCTTGCGATACTACGCAAAGACTTAGTTTGGGTTCTCAAGAGTACATGTATTCAGCAGGACAAGGATAACTTACGGTTGAACGTGGCCGACACAATAGACCCTTGACTTGCACTGAACCCGACTGTCTGGGCATAGTCCGCCAATGAGAACACGGATATGACGTATCCAAAGAGTCCAAAGAAGCCCCACGCGACAAACAACCAAAATTCAATCCTCTTGAAGATGTCCTTGTGAAACGCGACATGGACGCTGCCGAGAGCCTTGTTCCGGTCCTTCATCATCAAACAACAAGCGCCATTGACAACGAACGATAAGATGGCGAGGATTCGGAATGCCCAGGGTAGACCGATATTACGGATCATGGCGTTGGAACCGAGGGAGTAGATGAGACCTCCCAGCCCGGAGCCGGCGGTGGCGATGGAGTTTGCAAACGAGCGGCGGACGACGAACCATTGCGGGACCACACCGACGGTGGAGTTGAAAGTGAATCCCATGCCGATGCCGAAGCCGATGCCTTGGGAAAGCAGAAGGTGCCATATCTGGGTCGTGAACGATGCACCAATGAGAGCGGCCCTGGAAGTCGTGTTAGGAACCCGGGTCGGAATTTCCGGCCGTCTCGGAAGACGTCCAGGGTGGGAGGGGATGAGCGGGCCGGCTTACGCTTGGATCACGACGCCGATGCCGAGAGTCGGTTGCGTGCCGATGCGAGGGATGCAAAAGGTGACGATCGGGGCGATGAGAAGGGCTGGTTCGTGGTGAGTGAGTGAGTGAGATGACGCGGAGAAGTTGGGGCATTTGGGGGCAAGACTCACCGACGGAGAAGGACAGCCCACCGACGAAGGCGAGTGAGATTGGACTTGCGCCGGGAAAGGCCCCGGAGTTGAGGTAGTAGGCGAGAAAGACGGCATAAGACTGGATTTAAGGGTGAGAATTCCTGCTATTCGAGGTGAGATGAACAGTGCTTAATGAAGACTCACTGAGTTCAAGCCCCAGGTGTGAGCGTTGATGAGAAAGACGCAGCCTACAACGACCCTAGTATCATGTCAGCAACTTAAGCCTCATCAGTATGTGACGATATTATGGAGCGCAACTCACCATCCATAGCCGCCCTCTTTGAACTCTACCTGCTCACTCGGCCGTTGACTGACAGGGCTCGCCGCCGAAGAGCCATTCTTCTCATTCTCTGCTGCTCTGGAAGCACTGTCAGGCATCCGTACCACGGCATCGTGGCCGTCCCGTTGACTGGAAGAATCAGAGTGAGAAGGCATACCGGGTCAGCGACAACACGAAAGGTGCAAGTTCGTGCTTTGTCAACTGAGGAACGCAAGAGTTGCGAAGAAGACAGCGTTTCGGAAAGGATAGAGAAAATACGCCAGCTGCCTCGGCAAGTAATGACGGGTTTGATGAGTTTCGCGGGGTTATTTAGTTCGCTTCTCGGCGGGCCGAAGACCGTTTTTTTGTTTCGATTGACTCACGTCCTCGGGGATAATGTGGTTGACACAGCTAAAGCCCTGAATCATCAAGGTTGATCTGCCCAAGCCGTATAGAGCAAGACCCCGCGGGGATTATGGCTATTTGGCAATCAGAGGGCGTTGGAGGCGAGCAAATCCTCTCGACTTCTCCGAATCGAAGCGCGCGTGTTGGGCGTGTTTGAGTTTTTGTTTGCTATTAGTCCCCGCCGGGTCCCCGCCGGGAATATGATGGGGTTGCCGTTGCCCGCTAAACCATGAACGCATGAAGGGCGCGGTAGCGACAAGGACTCGAGGAGCACTGCAGCCGACACCTGGGGAAGCAAACAGGCGAGATTGACTCGTCAATTGACAGCTGCAATGTTAGCGCTCTAGACCCGATGGAGGGTGGTGCCGGAGTCAGTGTCCGCGATGTGTAATGGATTCATCTCATTGGCGTTATCGCCCGGTTGATGTTTGCCGGGTGGATCCCATCCGTTCTCGGAAAGGCAAAATCTCAATGAGAAAGACACGAGCATTCATCGGGTTGAAAGCCGGAGGGAAGGGCAGTTGAACCTCATAACTTCTTTCCATAGATCCAGCCTCTCCTCTCGTGAATCCCAATTGCTGCCTCTATGGTTCTTCATCGGCGATGCCGCTGCTGTGTCTCGACAAACAACGGAGATGATGTGTGTGGCGTCGGCAATCTGGCTGATATTGGTCCAGAACGCCGACAAACAATTGCGCAAAGTTTTCTGCATGTTTTCACAGATCTATGCCGGTCTTTAAGCGCCAACATGGGGTCAAAAGAGGTCTCTTGGTTGATGCTCCCCTCCGTATCACCGGCTAGACTCCGGGCTTTATTTCTCCATCGGGACCGACTCCCGGGCCGTGCCGTCTCAAATCCCGAAAAGTCGGGAGACGATGCGGTTTCGGCGATAAGATAAGATCATGTCACAATCACAGCAACGCGGTACTACCTTGTATCGGTTGGCTGATACAATAGGTGTGCCATGGTGTAAGTTTACAGACATTCAAGAGAAGAAATTTTGATCGATCCAAACGTAATGCTCAAAATAGAATGGTTCATAACAGGATTTGTTTTGTTCGTGAGCCTAACTATAACGCTTCAAAGCAAGTTGACTCTTTCGAGTCCGGGCAAGTTCAATATCAATCTTCCTGGCTATCCTCAAAGCACGTACTTGAACAGGGGCGACCTGTCTCCCAAGTTGAACAACTCCTCCTCAGTGTACTTTGACTTCGCCTCCTCCGCGATCTTAGCCTTGCGCGCGTTCGCCGACTTGTAACTCCACTCGAGCAAGAGGGCCACAATGAGTCCAGATCCACCGAAGGCCAAACTCAAGCCGAAGCCGGTAGGGTACTTGGGCTTCTCGCTCTCAAGGTACATGAAGCTGCCCACAATGCCACCGACGTTGCCGACGCAGTTCATCAGCGCGATACCAATCGCTCTTCGGGATGCAGGGGCAATGTTGTTGGCGTTCCACGACGCGGCCGCGGCTTGGATGGGGTAAATACCGACGACGGCGAGGACGACGGAGAAGTAGGCAACTCCCTTCTTTGCCTCGAGCGCACCGTTCAGGGAGAGAATGATTGCATAGGCAACAGCGACGATCGCCATGGGAATTGCCAAGAAGGGCATACGCCAGAAGAATCGATCAGAGATCTTGGCAAAAGTGATGGCGGAGATAGCAGCAGCGACGTATGGCGGCGCAGAAAGAAGTTGAGCCTGCGTATTCGCGAATCCCATGGATTTGGTGATGGTCGGGAGGGTGAACTTGATACCGTACGACAGAGCGGACTGGCACACCAAAAAGTACGCCTGGACGTAGATCCGCCAGTTGGTCAGGTTCATCTTGAGATCCCTCCAGTTGACCTTGCCGCCGGCGCCGGCCTCCTCGCGGTTTCCGCCGCCCGACTTGATGAAGATGGAGAGCTCCAGGTATCGAATCTCCTCGGGCTCGAGCCAGCGCGTCGAGAGGGTCGGGGTGTCGATCAGGAAGAAGAAGCAGCAGGCGCCCATCACGACGGTGGCGAGACCTTCGAGGATGAAGATCCAGCGCCAGCCTTCGAGGCCGGCGACACCGTCCATTCCGGCGATGGCGGCGGCGAGGAGACCGGAAAAGGCTCCGGACAAGGCGCTGGCGCAGTAGAAGTATGAGATTCGGACCGCGAGATCTTTGGGCTGAAGATGTTTGTTAGATACATGGACCAAAGGGGCGTTGCAAACTGGCTACTCACCATGTACCAGTATGAAGTCAGGTAAATTGCACCAGGGAAGAATCCAGCCCTGCGAATGTCAGCCAGAGGACTCAAGTCATCCCCAAGATTGCGAAACTTACTCGAAGACGCCGAGAAGAATGCGAGTAACCATTAATCCACCAAAGTTTCTAACCAGTCCCGTGCAGGTCATGATGATACCCCAGCAGAGGGTAAGGGTGCCGAGATAGAACGAAGGACGCTTGACTTTCTTGAGGATGATGTTGCTGGGAACTTCGAAGAGCACATAGGGGATAAAGACTGAGTAAGACCAGTTAGCGAAATCCCTTTCACGGTCGACGCCGCAACATCAATCCGGGTTGCTCATTTCGGCACTCACAGATAGACAGGACAGTATTGTACTGCACACCCGACATGCCCAAGTCCTCAACCATGCCTTCGATTTTGGCATTGCCGATATTGGCGCGATCAATGTGGCAGATCAAGTACAGCAGAGCCAACATGGGAATCAGACGAACATCAACCTATTGTCGTCTGTCAGTCGGCGCGACGTGGTGTTCCGGGTGTTCGTGCTACCCACCTTGTGGAAAGTCTTCTTCCGCTTCTCCTCGGGGTAGTTGTTGTAGAAGTCGGCATCTTCAGGGGTCAATCCGAACACGCGGTAGGGGCCGACTTCGATGGCTTCGGGCACCTTTTCGAGGTGAGCTTCTCCAGAAGGTCGGTGGCCAAAGACGGCATCGTTCTTCTCGATGGAACTTCTGTGAGTAGCCATGTTGACGGAGTTTGTGGTGTCTGGATGATTCGATGAAGGGAAATAACAGGAGCAAGGGCGACAGATGCTCTGCAACTTGAGATGATGGAAGGGTTGCTCGTTTCCAGCTCTAACCTTTTCGTCTCAAGAATTTCACAGATGAAGATTTCTGCCCAGGGATACTTATATCTGACTAGGACCACCTCTTAATACAAAGAACAGACAACCCACTGCGGAGAAAGGCTGGGATCATCCGGTTCTACCCCAGACCCAAAAAAAAAACCCCAAACACACACTAACCCCAGACTTGGCAGCCGCATAGTGCGGGGAAATGGTGCCATTGCTAGCGAATGCCAGTCGGAAATGTCGGACAGCGAGACGGATTCTTGATCAGATGCCAGTACTTATCCGTGTGGTGGTATCCGTCATGTCCGCAGGGGCCAACGTTGCTACTTTGCCAGAGTCACATTGCAGGAGGCTGGTAGAGCAGGTCGACGGTATTGGAGAAAGCGGCTGGGATAAGTGGCAAGACATGGGCGAGACATGGGCTTTGCCGTTGGTGGGATTCCAGCCGAGGCCGTATCCCCTGTGCGTTCATTGGAATGATAGATTGCGCGATACCCGCATGCGCAAGCTTGAAGACAACCGGTTGGCTTGATGGCTTTCGTTGCGCATTTCCACCAGGACGGTGGGGAATCGCGTTGCTTACCGGCATGTGGGTTCTCTTTTGAGAGATGTGAGATGAACTACGTGCGGACGGAAAAGCACCATTGCCTTCTTATTCGCCTCTGGTTTCGTTCCTCGTAGCACCCCTCAGCAGCCTCGTCGATGATTGTCACATTTCCGTCTTGCTTCGAGGTGGACCCCATGAGACAATTCAGACGAGACTCGCCATTCTTCTGAGCAGCATCATATTATCTGATAAACCTCGCGACCACGTGTCGCTGAATTGACAAGAACGGTAGTTCATAATCGGTCCTTTGAGAGGAGACATTATCGTGCAGATGCGACTGTCATACCATCACATCTAGGCCACGCGTTGCCGATTATTTGAGACGCTACCCACAGCTAGAGTAGGCATTCAATCCTATTTCGGCAACTCTAGAACCCCTAACCGTGAATGCGGGCTGCTGAAAGCTTGACATCAACGCCGGAGATAGGCCTCATCATTGTAGGTAACTTCAATCACCTACCTCCTAGAGACGAACCTGCCTACTAGTATCAGAAGGGTCATGGCCGGCTGTCATTGCAGAAGCTCCCTCCACTCATGGGCAGAGACGTTCAATACGCCTCCTTGGCTTTTTCCGACGCCAAGCTGGCTAGCTTGGCAACGGATTTCCAATTCTCCCATTGAGACCTTGATCCGGCTCTCATTCGACGACGATGGTGTGGTGAGCGACCCGAAATTTGGTATCAATCGGGTTGTTTTTCGTAGACGTATCAGACACATTCGATCCCAGCAGTGCGGTATACTACCGGTAAGGTAGACTTGCAGAGCGATGACCACAGCCTAGTTTTCCACGGTATAGGGTAGTGTCCAGAGCGGTACCTTTTCCATATCTCACTCACTTACCCGAGAGATGAATGCCGATGATTGCCAAAGCCACCGTGGGTAGTCTTGCGAAAATGCCCGTGGAATCTTGCAAGCTGAGAAGAAAATTGAAAGGACGTCAAAGCAAGCATAGCACCGAGTTGGACAATAACTGGGGCATTGTCGTTAGCACCATTGAATCGGTTGGCTGAGTAAGCAGGTGAATGGTGCCGACTGTAGCATTCCCCTCGGCTCTGATCCGGACAATTTGTGTTTGCCACTACCTATGGCGATGCTGAGTAATTCAGAATTCCTATACCTATTCAATATGCCATTGTGAATGCGTGACGTTTATAGGTCGAAGGGGGGTTGCCCGATTTGGAGTTGCATACTGTTCGTTCGAGTGCATCAAAAGTAAATCTGGAAGATATCCCCACCCATCTGCAGATAAGACACATAGCACAATGCGGGCCTGTTATCATGACGATCATATTTGACTGTTTCCTCCGAGCCTCACGAAAAAAACGGTTGTCTTTCGGCCCTTTTTGCATGATATTTACAGAAGTCCTCGCGTCACATCTGCATGCGAACTAATCTCTCGGACTGGGCCGTTCAGAGAAGGCGAGATGCATGCACACGTGCCGCATGTATGTACTTGCGTATTTCCACGATCCACCTTCCCTCATCATAAAACTTCTGATTCTTCATCCAATCAAATTCTTGGCAGCAATCAACGATAGATGCATGAATCCTCATCAAGCAGCTACAGAATGTAATTGCCTCCACGTACCGTCGCTCAACTTGCTTTTCAGAGTACGTTGCAATTCCAGAATTGCCGTTACCCGCTTGCCAAGCACAGTAAGGAAAAGCCAAGTCAGATGGAAAAGCTTAGCATCGAGGCGATTGCCGTGCAAACGTGTTGACGATCCGCGTAGCCTACGCCGACACTCCATACCGCCGCCCTACGTGCCTGCGCAACCTGCGGATTAATCCCACATCCACCTCAGTGAAGGGGTCCAAACTCAACCCCATCAACACGAACAACACTCGCAACCCGTCCATACAGAAACTCGAGCGTGATATCAAGCTTATCCGTCACAGGCGTATACTCCACCTCAAACACCTTCCACACCCCCCACCCACCCAAATCACCCGCATCCAGCGTCCTCTTCGGCTCACCATTAAACTGGATCCCGATAAACCCCGCCGCATGGTTATCAAAATACGACCAGAACTTGAGCTTATACGGCACACCCGGCTGCACGGAAAACACAGACGTCGACAGTCGTACGCTGACGACGGGATCCTGCGAGTTGCGATCATACAGGAGCCGAGACTCGAAGGCGTGCGTGCCGGTGTGCGATGCCGCCGAGGTGACGCCGACGCGGGCATTCCGGTCTAGGATTTGGACGATCCAGGGGGCGATGCCGCATTCGAAGTCGCTGTTGGTGAGGAGGTTGCCGCTGGAGCCGGAGGGGGCGCCGCACGGGGGAGTCGGGGTGGGGGTGCAGGTGGGGCCGCAGGCACAGGCGGAGATGTAGCGGGATGCGGAGGTGCCGCAGGCGGAGGTTGCGCGGGTGGGGAAGTTTGTAGCCGTTGTGCCGCCTGCTCTGAGGGTTGCGCAGAAGGCGGAGGCGGAGGAGACTGCGGATGGGGAGGGGCATGGGAAGAGGGCGCGGTAGCAGCTTGATGGTGTTAGTGATCGTAGATTCTGGAAGATGAGTGAAGGCATGGGAGTAGTACTTGTCTGCGTTGCATTGCGCTAGGGTCGTGGTCGCCTGGGCCCCGATTGAGAGGACCCCGAGGAGGACTGAGAGTGTAGTTGAGACCATCATTCTGTTTGATGGAATATGAGTCTTGGACGATTTGAAGTGGTAAGTGAGCTTATAGGAACTCTATTCTCGTTCTCGATGTTCTAACTCATAGCAGAACTTTATACTTCTTCTGGACACTATGAAGGCTTCCATGCTCTGCTGATTCAAGACATCTCTCTGTGTAAGTGGCTTGTCATGAAGTAAGATTTTCCAAAATCTTTCCGAACACGAGTTCAGCTTCACACAAGAGGACACTAGATGGCACACCACGCCGGATGGCTGCATCTCAACCGTTGCAAGTCGACGAATGGCAGTTGCGGATAGTTCAGCTAAGCTTTAGAAAGTCATGGGATTACGATGTCGAGTCTCAAAGACTGAGACAACTCATCATGAAAGTTGGATGAGACGGTTGAGAACCTGGAGTTGAAGGCGCGGAGCGCAGGGATTACTTCGTGTGACGAAGTTTGTTGTCAGTTGCCAAAGGATCTCGCTTCTGGGCAGCTTGGTGGCATGTCTCAAGCCACGGAAACAACAGAAGGAATATGTCTTGAAAGTTGTGTCAATGATGACAAGATCCTAACGTTAATTGGGGCACCTTCGTGTATTGTTTCCAGAAAAGATTCTTGTGAGGATAATCTAGGTCGTAGCTGTCTAGCGGCCAAGAAATATCGCCGGGGAGCTGGACATCGGAGAAATCAGGACATCTTCCAAGAGCGCTCAGCGATCAACGGTCTTGGAGCATAACTCCCGGCCCGAAACACCCCGCGATGGACCGGATCCTTTCATACATAGCCTTGTGTCCTTGTATAGAAACCGCGAAAACTCGATGTGTAGCATCTTACAACGGGCAGCACGAAGCCTATCTTCCCTTCCGCAAAGTGTTGAAAGACCGATACATGCGTTCTTCCTGCAAAGGAGTAAACTCCGAAAGACTAGTCCGCCGTCAGCTTTGAAACCCTTCTCTCCTCAAGGGAAACTCAAACTCACCAAGCATGCTTCGTATAATCCATATAATTGTGAATCGGATCCAACCCAGGCTGCCCAGGACAAGAATCCTGACTCACAGGACACCCAACTGTAGCAACCTTCGTCGCCAGCGTATCATCAATCAAATCCCCCTCTCCCTCACAATCGAACCCCTCAAAGACATGAAAAAGCCCAAACCAATGCCCGACCTCGTGCGTCGCCGTCTTGCCCAGGTTATCTTCCGGGTCCCACGGAACCCCCGGTCCGCCGGGCATCGTGCCGACGCTGACGTGACATCCGTCGTAGGTATACCACGACATGCCGTTGATGCCCGTGTTCCAGGGGTCTTCAACGGGGAAGCTGCAGAGCCCCGTCGCAGAATTGGGGTTGGTCATCATGCCTGTCTTGAAGTAGATGTTGAGGTCGTCGTAGGCGCCTTGACGGAGGGCCTCGGCTTTGTCTTTGATGCGGGCTTGCGTTGTCCAGGAGTCGTTGACTATGTGGTTAATGTCCTTGACGAGGAATTGGATGTTGTGAGGGGCGAAGGTCTCGTTGAGAACTCTCATCTGTTTTTGGTCGCTAGAATCAATCTCGAGTTTTTGTTACCCTGTGTAGGAATTGAGCTTGCAGCGAACCTGATCGTTGATCATCGTATCGGTGACGAATCCTCTGTGAGCTTCGTCTTCAACCACATGTAGGTATGTCGAAACAAGCAGACCCTCCGCGCGCTTGTTGAGGAACAAAGACGAGAGCTCATCGGCACTCTGGGCGGCGCGGAGAGTTACAGCTGCTTCGTAAACCTCGGGTCCTGGCTGTTCGGAACCACACTCTGCCTGAGCCATCGCCGGTGATGCCGTCGCCATACAGGCGCAGCGGGTGAGGAAGGGCTTCAATCTCATGGCGGCGACGACAATGATGGCGCCAAATCGATCATATCAGTCCCCAAAATGACGCTGTCGCAGAAGGCAGCGAGTTCCTGGTTTAAATGTCCATCTTTTGGGACGCTCAATCAGGAAGGTGTTTGTCGCAATGGAGTTGGTCATTGGTGATGGTCCCCAAGCCAAGAATCGGCGGGATGAGGCCTTCCTAGAGAGGCCATTACTCCCTGCCCGGAATACGGGATGATGCGACTGTCAAATGTATGGTCGATCTCTCTACTCCGTAGTGATGCCATAATTGAGGTCAAGGTGCCCGCGATTGTGGGCCGAGTTAAAGAGCTTCAGAGCCCCGGCCGGGATCGGCGACGGGGGATAGAAAATGGGTCCCGGCGCAGGGAATGTCTCGGTTGCCGGTCGGAAGTTGTAGTGACCACCTGACGCACACGACTTCCATGGCACGCCTGACTGCAGAAAGTGAATGGCGGTGGATGAAGCACGGCTGATTGCCCCCTGCATACAGGAGGTGATTGTTCAATCCTCGTGGGCATCTGCAACTGTCATGCAGCTTATCTTGTGTGAACCAGGGCAATGAACCGTGGCATTGGGTCATACCAGGGTCGACACCCAAGTATCCACCAAATCAGTTGCCCCAACAGGTAAATGCTGACGACCAGTAACGGACAACTTCATCCGTCCTAGCCAGTAGAAAGGACTTGAAGTGGCTTGAGTTTCATGCCAAATGATAAAACCTACTGCAGCTGCTGACCGTGGCTACTAGCCAAGGCTGGTAGATGGAATCACCGGACGCATCCGGATGTTCGACGATCCGCCGGAGCTGTTGTCCATGAGCTGACTAAAGCTCTGACTTGTCATGTATTGCCCATCAAGAGAGGATCACGTGTCGAACATGAATAAAGAGCAGAGGGATCCGGTTACCCGATCGCGATTTCAGAATGGCGGGTCCTGAGAGGGCCGTTGATCCTTCGCTCGCAGTGTGGCTTTGAGATTTGCATCAGCCTGCTTGCCTGCGTATGCGCTTGCATAGGAGACGGAGTGCCAAAAGGCCAACGACAAGAGCGCCTCGGCTTCCTAGTCTCTCGGCGGCGGCGCCCCCGGGTATCAAGCAAACTCCGAGGGGCTTGCTCCCAGGGCTGGCAGCCCGCTCAGTTTGACAGCCGACTCCCGAGGGAGATGAGAGGGGGCAGTCCGATCTGTGGTGGCTTTCTAACGTCATGATTACTATTCTCAGTCAGAAACAAGCAAAAGCAAACTCTCTTGAAGCCATCTCGCAGACGCCATCCCCGATGCAGCGGGGCATGACAGATCAAATGGGAAACGATCTGTAGCACATTTCCCAGTCACCACAAAGAGAGACGATATTGAGCCAAATCAACAAGAAAGGCAGAGGCAGTTGGTTGCAAAAACCGGCCTTGATTGTCTCACAGGCCTGAACCGTTTACGGAAACCCGGAATGCCGCCGCCGCCGTGGTGGCCGGTGGTACCTACGCAAGTGACCGAGTTGCCAAACCTGCGCTAGCTGTGGTAACACAGCGCTTATGAACCGCTGCCGCTGAGGGGACTTGAGATCTCACACGCGTAGCTTGAGCTGGAGAAAGAGAGAATGCTGACCGCGACGCGAACGCGAGCTGGAGCTCCGGAATATGAGCGTGCCGATCGCCGAAGGACAATCGAGCGATGCGGAACGTGGAGAAAGTGAAGGTTCGAGCTAAGTGTTCACTCGGGCCGCCGTTTTTCAGCCCATGCGACTCGAAGCTAAACTAGCAGTGTAGTCTTACCCATCAGGTGAAGTGCGTGACCTAGTTCAATAGAGGGAGGATATTGGTTAGCTAGACGTAGGGCGAGACATCTTCAAAGGGGGACAGGAACGGGTGAAGAGGGAGGTCAGGCAGTGAAGAGAGCGTAAACTTAAGAGAAAAGGGCAACTCTGCCGTAGTGGTGAAAATTGCATGACTCTCAAGTGCCATCAAGCGGGAGAAAAGTCAGCTCGGTGTGAATCGATAATTCGTGTCTCACTCGTACGATAGCTGCATGTCCCTTGCCGAGGCTAATCCCAATTAATCTGATCGGCAGCGTGGGCATCAGTAGCAAACGCTCTTGCTTCCTGCTTGATGCTTGCTGGTTTTAATCTGGTCTGCTCGGACCAAGTGATGGGATGGCCGTCATTGATGGTGCGGAAAAGGCCGTGTTTCTGTTTGCACGTCCAGAGGATTGGGTGTCCCGTTCGTACAGTCCAGGGACGAGAACCAATGGCCTGTGTTTGCATCAAAGAGAATGCGAAATACAAATCCAGCTGTACGGCACAGATAGCTGACTGCAGCAACGTTGTCGACTGAAATATGACGCTTGGTTATGGAGATGCCACACGAAACGACGGGGTGAAAGATGGCTACAGAGAAACAGGAGGAAGAAGCTGACGATGTTCGGAGATAAGATATTACCTGAAGACGTATCGATTTCGGTGCTTTCTCCTCAGGCAGGAAATGAGGCCGAAAGGGAGGTATCGCGGTATCCAAGATACGTATCCTTAGGTAAGGTACCTTACGGAGTACAGTACGTACAGAGGGTTATGTCACCTAAAAATGGTAAGGCAGGCGGCCCTTGCGCAGGTTCATCCCCAAATCTCCCCGTGCTCGCTGCTTAACTCGCCGGCTCGCCCCTCCAGTGCCGCACCGCGTCCTCCCTTACGACCAATGCACACCAACTCTTAGCTTGCGACCCCTGCATCTCCAGCTTCGACGTCTCTCTTCCGCGTGGTGGCCTTGCATCTTCCTGAGCTTCTCTCCGCATCACATCACCGCATCTGGCGCCGTCGATAAGAATCTGTCTACGAACACCTACCACTCTGGAGCTAAGGCGCTAAGCAGCATAGGTCGGTCCGGTTACCTGAAGAATTCCACGAGGGGATCGTCCCGCCCGAGCCTTGCCTATCACCAAATCCTTCCGTCGGCCCTCCGTATCCGTCTACATAGCACCGCAATCTCTCCAAGTCTGGCTCTGCATTGTGTGTGCGTTCGCGGCGTCCTCGACCTCGTCCTTGTCATTGTCATTGTCATTGCCGGCGGGCAGAAGAAAATCCTGCACCGCCTCGGCTTTCCAAAGAAGAGGAGACCAACAATGGCGAAAGAATTTCCGATCTTTGCTCCGCTAATCTATTCGTCCTTTGACGATGACTCTGGCATCCCCAGTTTTCGAGCAGGCCTCGAACTCTGATTACTGGGTCGGCACAATCTGACAGCCCGCCCATTCATAGCTTACATACAGCAAACTCGGCCGGATTAGGGAGTCTGGGACTGGGCGAAGGGGGCCAATTCCTTTGTTTGCTGATGTCGACGTGGGCAAAGACAAACAAAATTTTGATCGGCCCAAACCCTCCACAACACGGGCACAAGCAGGATTGGTTGGAGCAAGACCTCACCAACGGAGGGACCTAATGCTGCGGGTTCCCTGTCTCGCCGCATCCGAGGAATGCCCCGAAGGGTCGCGCACCAGGAAGACAATGGTGTCCTTCACAAGTACATTGCCATGAAGCACCAACGCTGGCTGCAAATTCTGGCACAAGTGTATGAGTTCTCCAGCCCAACTCAGAGTAGTGCAAGGCGCTAACTGACATGCTAGGAAAAGGTACCTCGACACCAAGCCGCTTTGACTCGTCCACGCTGGTATCGGTTGGTTCGCCGACTCGTCCGAACTCCCCTACGTCTCGAGGCATCCCAATTTCGGATACAAGGGCGCAAGCCTCTTTCACGACCAGCCGTCCGTGGCGTTTCCTCCGCTCCCACCGTCATTAGCCAGTCGTCATGAGACATGCCTGGGCAAAGGAGAGAGGCAAGAGGCTTTCGATACCGACTGGGCGTTTGTAAAGCGCCCTAACGGATGCTACTGACCGAATCATCCCGCTCGACTCGTTTTTGGATGGTGAGGTACCGACGGGGCTGTCTGTGCATCGTGCGTGGTTTGTCTGCAGCAGACCTGGAGCAGGTGGAGCTATCTCCCAGCCTGGTCGAGCCAAATCGCCCTGACATGGAATCAGTCGTGGGACGGTGGACCTCCCGGTCTGATCTGCTGCAAGCCTGCATCGAGCGCCCCGTGGCACATGCAGATATAGAATTGCGCTAAGATGGAGAAGACTCTGATATATGATGGGGAAGCTTCGTCCGCTGTCAAGGCCAAGGCGTCCCTTGTCTCTGCCCTATCTGGTTCCCGCTTCCCTTCAACACAACTTGGTCGTACACACATCATCTGTACATCCTTCAGCAAGAATTCTTCGACATGGACGCTAGCAAGGAAAGGAACACGAAGAGGGAGGAGGATACGACGTCGACGACACCATCCAAGATCTCAAGCCTGTTCCCCGACTGGTTGGTATGGTACAAGAAGCCGGAGTACAGGGACTTCAAGGAATATGCCACCGCCATCCGGACTGGAAGGAGGCCCCTGAGTAGGGACGGGAGAGACAAGAGTCCTATTCCAGTACGGTTAAGTCTGGAGAGGGTTCTGAACAACCAGACTTGTAAGCATACCTCATATCCGACGGCCATGCGGACCATGGAGCATCGCCATTGCCACCCATTCGACCAGTAACTAATCTTCGTGTCTTACCAAAGGCTCGCCAATGTCACTGTATGACTTCTACATGTATCTCAAGTACATCGAGTTCTCACCCGAGAACCTCGAGTTCTTCGTCTGGTAAGCCACTCCTCACTCATCGGCATCACTCCATGAACCCTAGCCTGACTGTCCCCCCAGGTTCCGCAACTACGAAGTGTCGTACGCAAAGACCGGAAGTCTCAACGACTTCCCCATGATAGAGAAGAACATCGACCAGTCATCCTCATCACGAGACAGCATGACAGACAGCGCAGTAGACGCAGCGGGCATGAAGCTTCCTTCCATCCAAATGTCCGAGTTTGAGTGTGACCCCGAAACAGGTGAGTGTTCCGCCTAGATTTGCTCTGACGTCGCCAGCCATAGCTAATCTTTCCCTTAGCCACCGAGACTATGGCCAACATCGTCCACCTCATCTCCCCGGAGACCGCATGCAGACCCAACAGCAAAGTTGGCCCAAATGGTCGCGATCGCATCAAGTCATGGGCCAACGCCTGTGCGAGGCCCATCTGCGCCAACAATGTCCCAGCCGTCATACCGACCCGCATCGCCCCGACCTCGGCATACCGCATCGCGCTCAACGCCGTCGTCAACACATTCCTTGTCCCTAATGCCGAGAAGGAGCTCAACATTCCGCCTGCACTTCGCGATACCGCTCTCCTCAACCTCCAGAACTCATCCGACCCGATCCACCTCAAGCCTATCGCAGATCATGTCTACGGTCTCCTGAAGAACTGCTCCCACCGCAACTTCGTCCGCCTCGGTGTTTCTAACGGAACTTTCGAGACGCTATGCATGGCCACCAGCTTCGGCATCGTCCTGACCATCGGCGGCTTCCTCTGCGTCCTCCTCAAGGCCTTCGTCCCCTTCATGGGCGCCAACAGCCGGTGGAACGCATTCGCCCCCTGGCCGATGTGGTGCGTCGGCATGTCTCTTATCATCTCTGGTCTTCGTGGTAGCTGCTTCTTCCTGCTGCTCTTCACCAGACGTCAGCCCCTTCCCTGGGAACGCTTCGACGACAACGACTCTCTTCTATCGCAACGTTCCGGTCTCATGAAGTTTATGTCAAGGATGATGATCTTTGATCGCAAAATCCGTGTCAAGGATGTCCACTTGCGTAGGCTGCAACACAAGATTGTCCTTCAGGCCATGGTCGGCGGCGCGATCTTTGCGAGTCTGAGCACGTTGATTTTCATCTTCCTGCCCGTGTGGTCGCAGACGGTGATGCCCCATATGTGAAAGTTGCGGATGTGGTCGACGGACCTGTACTATGACGGAAGTGTTTTGATATATATATTCTTTTAGGACTAACGTCTGATATCCCTGGGCGGCCAAAATCTATTTTCTTTTGTTTGTTTCAACAATCCCTTTTCTTCTTTCATATTGATGTATAAGTTTGGCCGGTGCGCCATTCATGAGATCTATTTAGACTAGAGAGACTCAAAGCATTCATGGTCATATTTGAACCCATACTGTTACTTCAAGGTATCTGTGACAAGTCCACTGCTCGCTGAAAAGCACTTGTTCTCTTAGACTCCTTGATCAACCCGGTTGATGGGACTGGCGAAACGAGGTCTGGCAGCGCTGTGAAAGCTGTTTTCCCTCAACTTTTCTCCCACCATCATCTTACAGAGACAACGATATCGCATGAGAGAGGCCCCGAGATAGGTCATGAAACGTTCACCCTGTTTTCAACGACAACGATTCTTCTATTCTCCCTGAAGCTGATATTTTCCCTCGCAACATCATGCGCTCTCCTTCTCCTGAATCCAATTGTTTACCACCTCAGCAATCTCCAGACTATTCTTCTCCAAATGCATAAAATGCCCATTCCCATGAATCCCAATCTCCCCCAACTTGATCCAATCCGGCTTCCCACCAACCTGCTTCAAATAATCCACCGTACAGTGATCATACGTAACATGAACACTAGCCTCCGTCGTAACCATCAAATACGGCACGCTTGCAATCTTGGGCAACTTGCGCGCAGGCTCCTTTTGCCGGTAACAGCTCCGGTGCGCAAGCGCATCGTTCCCTACAACCTCGGTCTCGAGCTCGGCCGCACTGGCAACAGGCGGATCGTAATCAATGGGCGTATTGGTCAGACCCCAAGCATTCGTCGCTGAGAGGCTCTCAAACGACCAGAAGGGAACCGTCGTGCCTTCGAGGTTGATGTTACCCGCAATGTACTCCGGACAATCATTCGACAGCAGAATCGGGGCGCGGGCGCCGATGGAGTGGGAGATGAGGTATGCTTTTTCGCCGAGCAGCGACAACAACTCGCAACCTGAGGCGCGGAGGGCGTATTCTTGCGGAACCCAGCTCGTGGACAGCGGGAGAATAGTCTTTTTGAACTGCTCAAAGGTCGGGTCGCCTTTTTGTCCGGTGCCGGGCCATTGCGTAAGGAGGATGGCTTGCGGGTAGGCGTTGTAGGCTTCGACGTTAGTAAACCCCCTCTCCACGCCCTCGGCCGCCGTGCCGGCGGTCATGGTGAAGTTTGCGAGGTTGTTTTCCGTGGATCGGCCGATAGCGGCTATGTCGACGAGGTAGACTGTGTGGCCCTGCTGGAGGAAGTAGGTTGCCCAGCCCGGGCGGTTGTCGGGTGTGTTGAGCCATGTTACGCCTGTGGTTCCGCCTCCGTGGAAGAAGACGATGGGTTTTGTGGTGGCGACACCGCTATGGCGGCGGGTACGGGTGCGGCTGGTGGTGACGGGGACTAGTTTTTCGACGTAGAGCTGGTCGACTGTGACGTTGCCTGAGGTGGTTTCGATGTAGCGGCCTCCGACGTAGAAGAAGTCGCGGGTGTGGGCGGCTTCTTTTGAGGTGCATTTTGTGCTGATTGCGTCGACGCCGGTGCAGTTTCCTGAGGCTAGGGCCTGTGTGGCTACGGTGCCGAGGGAGGAGGGAGGCGAGTGAGAGGCGGACCATCTTTGCGGAGGGAGGGACGGTCGAAGGTTGAGTGAGACGGGTGGGAAGACGGATCGACTGCGACGCTGCGGTAGATAGAGATCGGGGCTGTGATTGTTAAGTATCTGGTGATGACGGGGGTAGTCGACTGTAGACTGGGGGTTCCGATGGCGGCCGCTCAAAGACCGAGATCCCTTGATGGATCCATTCGTTGAGATTGCTGGTTCGAGGAATTCTTCAAGGGGCGGAGATATGGTTACATTGGCGGGATGGATCCGTGGAGATGGCGATCCACAACCAGGGCCTCAGTCCGAGGGTGCAGATAGTGGAGCGAGAGCGAGCATGTCCTTTGACGTTGCGGTAACATCTTGTTGGAAGTTCAATGGCGAGATACGCGATCCAGACTGTCGGGTTTTTGGTTTGAGGGAGCATTCGGCAAGACACCAAGTGGACGTTCCATCTACCCTCGCCAAGACGGAGGAAAGTTCATCGGGAGGTGGACCTTCGGCACGCAGAAGCCAAGGAAATGATGGGCCGGGAATATTGGCTTTTTGGGTAAAGTTGGCCCCACGCCCCGGACCGTTTCTTCGGGGCCCATCTGCAAGCGATGGGACTTTGGTAAACCTCATATGTGCTGTCGACTCGGAGGAAGGATTTAGATCTAAGGGGTAGGGGTCGTCAGAGTGCTGTTCGCATGGGACAAGAAAGACTTAAGACAACAAGAGCATAAAGAATGTTGGCAGACCATCAAATGAAAAGACAAGGTGAAGAACCCACCAATTCCGGGAAAAAAAAGAAGAAGAAATAGAAATGGGCGCTGGGCGCTGAGGGTGGTTCGAACCCAAGAGATTGCCAGATGGCCGTACAAATTAGGCAATCGAATGCCAGTCTCCACGGGACGTCAACCGCTCGACTAAATTCAGGCGGGTAGTCACTTCCAGGGTGAAAACATCTTCCTCTCTGTGGAGTTGACTTTTCAGCATTTCTGTTTGAAGGCCGCAAAGATAGATGCCTGGAGGTGCACACATACCGTCTCTTTACTTTAGGTTCGGGGACCTGATTGTACTTGTACTGCGATGGTGAGACGGGCAACCTTGCTTCAGGTACCTGTCGAGCTTCTCGTCGTGAGAACACCTGAATACCTCCCAACAGGGAGCTGAGTCCTCGCCAGGCTTTCATCCGTCACTTGTAAACCTTCATTACAGATGGTTCACTTTCGCGTATTTGACTATGTGTCTCTCATAGTCTTGAACATGATCTTAGAACTTCTTTCCCGTGTCTTGTAGGTATTGTTCGGGCTCCAAGCTTTCAATGGCTCAAGTGACGGACGCAGCAAAACACCTGATCCCGGGTCGACCACCGCAAATCGAGGCCATAAGAGCAATGAAAGAAATCCACGCTAATTCTGTAGTTATTGAAACACTGTCTTGTATGAAGATATTCAGTGGAAAAGGTAAGGTGCAGCTCCGCCACGCATATTGAACCCCCAAATGCAGCTGGTGTCTTCGAATTGCAGCGGAAAGGAAAGAAGACATGAAATAGGATCAACACTGCCTGTCCATCCATCTAATTATAGTGGACTAGGCACGGAACGTAGTCAGGCAAGGGATTCCGGGGGGCTTGTATGGATGCTGTTCCATTTTTGGCACATTCATAAGTGAGGTTTATCTCGATCATTGAAAATTAGATCCCGACCGCGGTAGTCGTATCTTGACAGACGCCAACCCGGATCAAGACAATAATCGATTTAGAATCAGCAAGCCTTCGTCACTTACATGAACCAGGGAATCTGTGAGATCCTACTTTAGGTACGGCAGACAAGAGGTAGGAGCGAACAGCAAAGTTCACCTTCCCGGCATTGTGGTTCACATACCTCAACACTGAGTGTCAACACGCGACGCGTCTCACTTCCCACCCATTCTGATTCCTTTTCCCCTCAACCATCCACCGCGATCCTCCCACTTCTACTTATCTTTCGCGCTCACAACTCTTCCATCCGGAGAACTGTCTCAACAACAAATCACCACGCCATTCAAGTGTCAGCACACCAGCTCTGCTCAATCCCAGGTGTGTTTCATCTCCTAAACGCCGAAATTCGCAGCTTCTCACCTTGTCATCAGCCCATACCACCGGCACGCTTTACTCCGCCTCAATTCTCAAGCCTTGATCTGTCGTTGAGCCAAGACTCCCGCTACCTAGGAAAGATCACAACAGTCTCACATCCTGAATTTCTGTTCTTCTCTTGATTCTATGGCAAATGTTTGTACACTTGTGTTCTAACTAACCTTCAATTCCAGTACACCATGTCTACCCAAGGTTATATGCAGACCGATCCCGCCGCTACCGCTACTTCTGTCGGTACCACTTCCGCCCCAGCTTCGTCCGCGCAGATGGACGACTCTTCTCAGGTTGGACTGGCTCAGCTCGCAGCCGCCACTGCCACCCTCTTGGGACCGCTGCCCGCCTTCCACCCCCAGGCTGTCGCGATGAAGCACATCCAGGATGTGTGCGATGCCCTCATGGCCAAAGACCTTGACCTTGTCGTCAAGACTTGCTGGAACTACGAGAAGATGAAGACTCTCCACGACTCTCAGAAAGAGATCAAGACTCTCAGAGCCAATATCGAGAAGGTCAAGAAGCAGCGCGCGAAGGCCAAGGACGAGCTCGACAAGGCCAAGGCCAAGAACATTGCTGCTTCAGCCACCGCTGTAGCCGCTGCCTTGTCCAACCAATTGGTCGGCTTCGTGGCTGATACCGTGATTGAGACCGATGAGGCCGAGCAGCGTGGCAGCATCGATGGCCAGAAGCTTCTGTTCGGTCACATTGTCAACGACCTCAACGAGCTCGAGGTCGTTCGAGGCTCGGACATGGTGTGTACTGCTGGTGATCTTGAGCTGTACAAGAAGAAGCACAACATCCCCGACTACTGAACGCTCGACTACAATATCCTGATACCGGTATTTCGATGAAGAAAGATGGAAGGCTTACTGTTGTACTTGTGGGCGCCATCGGACAAACAAAGGATTGGGGATCACGGTAATCAGGGATTGGAGAATCGCAATTGGAGTTTATCCATGTAATGAGGTAGCAAAAGCTGATGTTTCTATCGGTACATCCGTCTCTGTCATGGTCTATGACTCCGTGACCTCGCTCATCTATCTCATGCTGTCCTAACCTGAATAGTAGCTACGTGAACATTCCAATCAAACCTTCTTAAGCTCAAACCCACCAGCCTGAACATATCTTGCCGAAGCAAAAACACCCGCCGACGCCAAAATCGAAAAACCACAAAACAGCTGCAGTCCCAAATAATCCCCTCCACGCGCATCTACAATCGCACTCGCAATAGGGCTCCCCGTAAGCGCGCCCAAGGACTGGAAAGCGAAAGCCGTACCGATCCTGGCGCCAATCTCTCGAATGTCTGATATCTGCGCAATCAGCGTCGGTCCGATGGACGTCAGGCCCGACGAGAGGAAGCCAAAGGCCGCTGTGAAGACAAGGATGCCGGCGTTGCTCTTGATTGGGATCCAGAGGGCTAGGCACGCAATGCCGGTGAGGGTGGCGAGGATGATCATGATGTTGTAGCGGCCTATTTTGTCAGCTACGAGGCCTGGGATGACGCGCCCGATTAAGCTGGTTTGGATGTCAGTTGGCGTTCTTTGAGGTTATTGAGGGGGGTTTTGGGACGTACCCTACGGCATGCATGATAGGCAGCAAGTAAATGACCAGACCGTCGTCCATTCCCTGCGCCTTTGCTTGTAAAATAACAAAGGCATAGGGAATAAAGAGACCCCAAAAGACCAAGAATAGACCGAAAACTGTCGACATCATGGTAGACTCCCGAATGCCCCGGAAGTACTCTTTCATATCTACAGGCTTCGTCTGCGGCTCCAAGTGGGACCTTACGGTACAGCACGCGATAGCAAGGAGACAGAGGAACATGAAACCGACAGTACGCATCGCCCACGGGAACCCGACGCTGTTAATCATGCGCGGGATCATGATGGGTAGGATAACGCCGCCGACAGAGGATCCAGACATCATGATACCGAAAGCCGTGGCGCGGCGGCGATGGAACCATGTTACGAGGCACGACATGCTCGCGCTTGTTACGGCGCTGGCGCCGATGGGGCAGACGATGCTCTGGGCAAGGAAGAAGTGGTAGTATTCGGATCCTAGGGAAACCATCATGACGCCGAAGACGTAGATTATTGATCCGCCGATGAGAAGCCATCGCGGGCCCCATTTATCAAAGGCGAATCCCCACTGAGTTTAGTGTCAGTCGGCCGTTGGCTGTAGGAGCATTGGTGAAATGGACGTACGATGATGGGCATGAAGTTGAGAGTCCATTGCATGAAACTGGTGATCCAGGATATGGTGGAGGAAGTATACTCGCGTAGGGCATCGTTGACATAGTACGTCTGGAAGACACCGATGCTGTTTCCTAGGCCAAATGTACAGAAGAGAACGCACCACGTCCCCAAGAGCACAGTCAGAGCCTGCCTCCCGCCCTCGGGGTAGGTATCCGGGTTTGCGCCGGTGTCAGTTACGGATGTCGTCGTTGAGAGACCCTGCGCAGTAGCCGCTAGCCGCTCGGGATGACTCTCCAGATCCGTGCGGGGGTGGGATGCGGAGGAAACGCGCCTTTCCTCTAACCGGCCTGGCTGGTGGGGTTCGGGAGCAATTTGGCGGGTCTCGGGCCCTGGTTCCGAGGAAGCGGCTTTCTCCATCTGCAGTTTGTGAGCGCGGGGGGAAACTCTTCGGAAAACGTCTATGCGTAAAGATACTGCAGCTTGCCCCAAGAAGCCGGCGGGATGGGATGGGGATGCATCGTTTGCTGCCAACTCTAATTCTGGCAAATGGAGTCTTAAGTAGTTAAGCAAGAGCAGAATCCGGAGAAGATTGTGGATACATGTTGTGGGGGGTCTGGGGATGGCGATCCTCTTTGCTCCGTACAATGCAAACTATTACCTAACTTATTGTTGGTTCAGTGGCTTATTGGGGTGAACGTATTTCCACCATTCACAGTGTGTAAGCGTGGTCTTGGAAGATGTCTGCGACCAAGGATGACGTGATTGCTCGGCATTGGGATTGACAAACACAGACTTCTGTAAGGTTTGATAAAGAAATGAATAGTCCCGTTGCTTCGGATCCCAGCGTCGCAATTGGGACAATGCCTGGTTTGTAATTGCTCTTTCACGTTTGGGTTGGCTTTTGAGTTGCTGATTTTGGAAACCCATCTGGTGTTCCCCCTATCAGAGGTTGACCTTGGGTAAAAGATGTTGTTCTCTAGTTGTGCACCTGCAAGCTAGTGGACAATCCAGTCTACTCGTGAAGGTGAAGCGGGTACATTGAGAACTGCTTAAAGACGGCAATGCCCTCAAAGGTCGAGACGCTTTGGTGATGGAGGGAAGCAACGGAATTTAATTGGGCGTTGGCAACTTCTTTGCCGACTTCGTGCTGCTGCTATTGAGGTGAAAATTCCCAAATAAGGACCGGCCAGGAAGAAGGAGAGATATCAACGGACCTCAAAGCATCAAAACAATTACAGTCGATTATTTTCGACCAAGATAACTGGGTTGTCGTCCTAAGGTAGATAAATTGGTCTCCCTTGTAGTTGTTAAAGCTATACTTTGCAAGGGCCATCGTGAAATCTTTCCTGAATCTCGGAAACCTACCTCTCTTATAGCTATATTCCTTATGTTTTCCATCTCTTACTATAATTCTTCGCCCATATATGGTGCACTACAGGCGAAAGTGCAGACAACCTTCACCAGAAAACTGGACGTTTAGAGAAGCCGCATTTTTGACCGCGAGGAAGGCACCTTCCAACTTGATGCTGTGTCATGAACAGTGAATGCTGTCTGCGCGCCTAAAGTGGGGCGATTCGGAATAGCTTCTTGGGAGTATTCAGGAGTTGTATTCCGGATGGCTTAAGCCCTACTGCTAATCATTCACCACAAGCGCCCGGGCCCTCTTTTTTTTTTACATTCACCTTCGTGTGAGCTGCCGCCTTCCACTTTTTCCCTCCAACTTCACTCTCGCATGACCGCTTGACACGTCGGTCGTCGACCCTTAAATATTCTCCCCACAGCACACATACACACACTCTTGTCCGCTTCCATCTTTCCCACTACCATCTCCGCTCTGCAGTCATCTCTTTCCCCCGCAAAGACTTTTCATCCACGCACCTTTCCCATACCACCTCGACTTTTGCAAGACCGTCATCTACCTACCTACTTCGACCAAGTCATACCTCCAGTCCTAAACCAATCGTCAATCAAGTCTAGGTAAGACGACCCTGCCAGATGAGAGCGCAATTGGGTTCATCCCATACTCATTTCGAGTTGAAATATCAGACAAACACGCAATCAACATGGCCCCCAACGCGACTGCCGCCGACCTCGCCACCCCTCGCGAGATGGGTCCTGAGCACAACACCAACCAGCCGGGCCCTTCCACTGGTTCTGCTACCAGTGGCAATCCTGGTACAGCCGCTGTCCAGGGTGTATCCCAGGGCGACCACCATGGCGACGAAGAGAAGGCAATGGAAATGCAGAGAATCCATGCCGCTATTCAGGAGGAGCGCCGAGCTCAGATCGAGGAGGCGAAGCGCCAGGAGGCCGAGGATAAGGCCGAGAAGGCGAAGAAAGAGCGCCTGCAGAAGGCAGCTCAGAAGGAGCAGGCGCAGAAGGCGCGCATTCAGCGAGCCCTTCAGGCCACCCCAGAGGAGGTTGCGAAGCACGAGGAGAGGATGAAAGATAACGAGGATGATAGACGTCGCGAGCGCCACCAAGCTGCCATTAACAGTAGCATTAACGGCTACCTTGAGGCCATGGGAAGAAAGCCCAGACGCTAAGGGATCTAGCACTCTGCAAGGAGTCTTGTGATGCCTTTCCCGTCTAGTGTTTTGAGGTTTGGGTACGTGGAGCAATGATTCAGTAGCGACTTGCATCTTCTCACGGCTACCTAGTAGAGGCATTTTCTGAGGGCCCCTAAACAATACCAATGCCTCCCGTTAACCAAAGTCCAAAACGTGCATAAAGAAAATAGGGCGTATAGATTTTATGTGAATGAAGTGTGCGTCTTTAGTGCTTCGGTACCTTACCCGGAATCATCGCGACTAGATCACAAAGAACGAGACACCTTTATTCCAATCTCATTTCTGATTTAGCCATGGCGGGATTATCTTATGCATCTCGAACTACTGACTTCACCTATGAGCAATTAGTATCTACAGTGAGGGTTTGTCACTGCTACTGGCACAGCTAAGAGACTATTCAGACAACATGACATGGCCAGTCCATACAGTACAGTATGGCCAAATCTCTTTCTTTTTCGTTGTGGTGATATCTGTGCAGCAAAGTCCCGGGAGGTTGACGCGAATATGGAGTGCCGAAGGAGCAAAACGTCAAGACCCTCTTCCCAATTGCTGTCTAAGGTAATTCCAGAACACTGTTAAAAAATACCGCCGTGCGGACCGACAAACACCTGCCGATATCTCATACCCAGACTTAATACTGTCTAGTGAGGATGCCCGCACGCATTCATGCCTGCTATTCTTTGGTCTGTGTTCTTCCCATCAGATTTATCGACCGGCGGAGTTCCATCCAGCTATCCTTGGCCTGGAACCACTAGAGGTTGGAAGGGACCGGTTTGTCCAGCTGATGGATTATAATCCACCGATCGACTGCCTCAAGCAGACAATAGTCCTGGTGGGCGCCCCAGTCGTGTGGAACGTTAGGTTCGCCTTGTGGGTGAGTTGTTCCTTGTGGGTGAGTTGTTCCTTCCGGCTATTGACGTAGAGTTGGATAAGGCCGTCCATGCTGCTCTCGCGGATACCAGCCTCCCAAGCCGGTGGCCGTATTGCGCTTTGCGCAAAACTTCATCCTCTGCACAAGAGACATAAAAAATAGTTGATAGGAACTAAATGCAGACGATTGAGCGATTATTCATACAGTAAGACCTGATACCCTCCAAGTCTTGTCTAGGTGGTATGATTCATTCATTAATAACAAGAGTGGTACGTAGAAGTGTCTAGTGTACAAAAAAGGCAAGATCTAGCTAACGCCGACCTCCATAAAACGACGGAGGTGTAGCAATCAAAGCAACGATAGCTTCCGGGGATAGCATAGGAGCCGTAGAAGCCATAGGAGACATCAAAGCTGGTGGGGCAGGTGCTGGGTGTGCAGGGCCGGCATCTTGGTGACGGTGATATCTTCTCACTCGATGGCGATTCATCCATCGATGCTTTGCCGGAAACTGCAGTAGGTCCGAGACAGAGGACCTATCCGCCTTGAAATCGATATATCGGTCGATTGACTTGAGGAGTCGGCAGTTCTGACGATCACCCAAGCGTGGCAGTCTTGAGTTCGGAGCATTCTCGAGATAGTTGATCCGCGCATCGGCAAACTGCTGGACAAGATCCCGAATCTTGTTGGCTGTGACGTCTGTCTTCCAGACCTGGTTCTCTTTGGCAAGGAGTCGCTGAACCTTGTTCCAAGCCTGACGCCAGTCCATGACCATGTCTTTGTTTGCATAGAGAACCCCAAAGACGGTGGCAAACAGATGTTCGACTTTGTAGCAGACAAAGGACTGCATGCTATCAGGCGCAACAGGCAGGTCTGAGGAGCCGGGGACGAGGAGATCACGATCGAGGCTGAGGACAGTGACGAACCCTCGGTTCTGCTCTGTAATGACGACTTCCGGCATGTCGAGCCCCGGAAACTTCAGATACTTCTGGACTCGAAGAAGGTCTGGATCGATAACAGTCTTCTTGGGACCATTGTTGGGACCCGGGGTCTTTTCGAAAGCCCAGGAGGGTGATCGATTGGGTGGCTGTCAAAGGGATTAGTGTTTAGTATATGAGATGAGCCTGGCGAAGAAAACTTACAGCCGGGGAGGGCCTGAACGGCAGCGAGAACTCGCGACTGGGTTCTCGACTCGGAATAGGGGTATCTTCGGGCTTTATGCCAGATGAGAGGGTTCCAAGACTGGCCATCTGTAATATATGTGATGAGTTCACAGTATTTGATGAGATGATTGGCGTTGAGAGACTTACCTTGAACGCGCTGGGCTGCGTGAGGCCCGTGGCTGTCCTGTGAAGACTAAGTGAGGAATTGCTGAAAGAAGGGCCTAAAAAGAAGCAAAACTGGGCCAAGGAGGACCTTTTCCAAGGCAACTGGTAGAAAGAAAACTTCTGTTTCTTTCATTCGCAGTAGGAACTCGTGTACTAAATGTGCCCGTAACCAGGAGGAAGAGTGAGGGCAACAACAGCTGCTAAGCACGGGCCCTCACGATGGGATCCACAGCTTCACTTTTCCCTAAATAGGAAGGAAGTGACTGGTGACAGGTCGCACCTTCCATTGAGTAGTTCACCCACAAGCCCCATGTTCTGCCTCTGATTATGAAGTCATACAATGTTATTATTTGGGAAGGAATCAGCAGATCAATTGCTTCTTTCTGCTTAAGGTCAGTCTCGACTTCATCTCTTCATATCCACCTCACGCCGACTTCCTCCACCACCTAGCTCAACGAGCCATCTGTGGGCTTCAACTTGAAGATTACGGCCATAATCCAATGGAAAGGCAGCAATGTATAAGAGCTAATTCAGATCACCAAGGAGGTATTGGATGGCTTAGGTAAGACGTCAGAGAGGTAAGCTGCCCCCATTTGTGTCACTTGGAGACATGATTGTAATCATTCAGTGTTGGATAGGAAACATACCAAACCATTGCACGCAACCGTTTGTCGCAAGATTAAAAACAAGACGCAATTACATCGGAAGAGTCTTTACAAGCTATTCAGCAACATGTCGATCGATCCGTTTGCCTGAAACCAGAGGGCATCGCCTACGCAGGACTCACTGCAATGGAATCGGAAGCGACGCATCTCAAGTTCACCTTGCATCCGAGTGCGGAAGACGGACTCGCGGTGCCTATTCGGGCTTCATAATTACAGAGTCCCGTATTGACCAGCAACGGAGTTTTGCGGAGGCCGAACAAATTTTACTCCGGCGGGCCTCTCCTCCTGAAGACAAGGCTGTCTGAACGTCGTTGTATGGGAGTGCGCACCGATCGCAGTTGCAAGATTCAGCTTTCAGCCCGATGTCATGACTCCCGTATTCGGAAGCCCGACCCTTCAAAGAACAGTAATGGGCAGCAAAAGCCTTTTGGCTTCGTTTTCGTTGTTCGGTGCTGCTTGGACTCAGTTCAATTGCACTAGCGCTGTTCGTCTGAGACGTTCGAGACGAATGTTCCTCTCGTCTGATACTCCACGAGAGAGTGAGAGAGCTCATGCAGTGCGCTGCACAAACGGCCAAGGACCGTTCCTCGTGGCGCGAGCATAAAGTGACCAAAACGTCCATGTCAGTATCTGGCGCGGCAACGACTCGTCTGGAAGGTCCAACGGAAATTGTCCAAATTGGCCCTCAGCAACATACTTAATGGGCAAAAGCGAACAAAACCTTCTGGGCTGCCCTTTTCGACGACACCCTCGAGCCGAAGCAACGAACACTTGATCTAGAAGATGGGTGGACCCCTGCAGCGTGACAAGCTCTCAGACTCGGGATTTGACCACTTGAAAGGTCACCCCCCCCGTTGTCGGAAAGTCCAAAGAGATCGCGTACGTGATCTCCCGATTGGCTTCCACCCTTTGTTCACAAATCGCGACCTTTGTCGAGGTGGGCAATGGCTGACGGGAAATACCAGCAACAGTTTGTGAGACATTTGATGGTTCTCTATCACATCGCAATACTCTTTTCCCCTTACTGATCTGTAAACGACCTCAAGACCAGACCACTCGAGGATCTCAACACTACTTGCGGATGAGACCCGACAAGGAGAAGAAAAACCCGATCCATCAATCAATTTCATTCCAGAAACATGACATCACGCGTCGCCGTTACGCTCAATCGCAAAAATGTACCCGCTAACTGCCGATGGCACGGACAATGGTTACAAACGCCCGAGTTAAGCTTTCCTAAGCTTTTCTTCAGTCCAGACACAAGCGCCAACCTTCTTGGCAGCCTCACTCCCCAGGCCAGCCACACCACACCATCTTGTACACCGTTGCCAATCCTTGCCGGGTTTAGAGTTGGGGAATCTGTGTCATCCGATCAGATCCCAACTCAAGATGCAAGGTTGCATTATTCCGCTGCAAGAGGCGAAGGAGAGAGGTTGCAGCAATAACATAAAGCTATTGGGGGGGAAGCATTTTGTCGTCCGAGGCCTTGTGCGTTCTTGTTCCTGTTCGTTGAGGATGCACATCTCTCCTTGCCGCATGAAACCTTCAGCCAGTTTGTCAATATCTCAACGGTCACCAGCACGATGTTGGGCGATTCAGAGGCCGGTGCGGCCGTCGCGGCCGGTCGTGTACCACCGGAAATCAGCCTCGCCTACTTGGAGGAAGACAGAGACGGACCTTCAATGGATGCGTCAATCTTCATGTTCGCCCTCACACTAGTGGTTGTCAACGGTCGCGCCTTTTCACGATTCTTCCTGCGGAAAAGCTTTGGGATAGACGACACGCTAGCAGTGATATCAATGGTGAGCGGCGTGCGCAATATGTCTGGAGAGATTCCGAGAGCTAATTACGGCACCAGGCAATGTTTATAGCCTTCGTTCCACTGTGCATCATCCTCATCAACATCGGTTCTGGTCGACACTTTGAATTCATCCAATTCGTCATGACCCAAAATATCCTGGAAGAGACGGAAATTCTCGACTTCACCGCCCACCTGATTTACACAAGCGCGCTATTCGTCTGCCGGTTCTCGGGTCTAGCGTTCTACTACCGCGTGTGCGGCGTTCACAGCAGATTCCTTCTCGCAATCAAGGGAGCCGCGCTATTTCTCATTGCCGGCTACATCACCCAGATGCTTCTCATCATCTTCCACTGTCTTCCGGTGACAGCAATATGGCCTTACGAGTGGCAGTCACAGTTTAATCAGTACAAATGCCTCCCGTGGGGCTTTGTCTACGGAATTAACTCGGCGGTTTCTTTGCTTTGCGACTTTGTTCTCTTCGGGATACCCGTAGCGATGTTATGGATGTTGGAGATGACACGAAAGAGGAAGATCCAGCTTGCTTGCATTCTCTTGCCTGGAATCTTGTGAGTCTATCCCAATTGTTGCCTACTCGTACGTGCATTTACTAAAACTCTTGTAGCGTTGTTGCGATCTCAATTGCCCGCCTTATTTTGGTTATCAACGGACAATGGCAACCTGACCAGTCATGGATCTACAGCCCACTTCTCGCGATCGAGGTATCAGAGATCGGCGCTACCCTCATTGCACTTTCTATCCCGGGATTCAGGCCACTAGCCGAAGAGATTTTCAACAGAGTAGTCGCGAAGCTGAGACAGTGGTTCCCCAAGTTCTTCAACAAGCGCCGGCGGAATTCCACGGTGCACCCCGACCTATGGTACGAAACACCACCATGGCAACAAGACGGGACACCGATGACAGGGGACTTCAAAGCGAAGGACCTGGAGAGAGTGGTTGGATTGGAATTAAAAGAGATCAGGAGCCCCGACAAGGCTCACCAAAGCCCCATCGACAAGTACGCTCAATCCAGCAAAGGCAAGGCAAGACCTGAAAGTACGAACATCTGGATGTTCGAGGACCCGGTTAAGGACAAGGATCGGATGTAATCTTGGACAACAAAGCGAACACGTCTAATACTTTTCTGGTCCATCCCACATCGAGTGGACATTTGGGTGGGGGGGACATGGGGACGGACTCTAGCAGCCAAACACGACGACGACAACAACAACTCTAACAACAATAACATGAAGAAGTACGGGAAAGTAGACAGACATTCAGGCGCAAGCACACTGCTGCGCCATGTATACAATGAATTATGAAATACCAAACATCATTCCTTCCATTCTTTGGTGTTCCTGACAAGCTGTGCCACGATGCCGTGATGGACGAACTGCTTGGGGAAGCCAAGAATCCCTTGGTGTGTCCCACCACCAAGTGGCAATATTGCGCGACTTGGCAACTTGTCAAGAACAACAAAACAGACTCAGCCAATCGCTTGCTATGCCAACAGTCAGCATCCCAAGAAATCAGTCAACTCAGAACAAACAAAAGAGACACTTTCGATTGTGAAGGCTGAAAACCAACTCCCGAAATCGACGCGCCAAATGTCGACGGGTTTGAGGACCAAGATGAGCAGAGTTCCGTTTCTCATACACACGCCCACACAACTTCTTCAGCTTCGGGGGCAGGCCAAACACCTTGGGGAACGAGACTATCGTATTGGCAGGTGCTGTAGCGCGGATAGGGGGCAGAAGGAAGAGCAGACTTTCGGTCTAATTCGCCAAGGTGTGTTACGGATGCTTGAGTAGAAGCTTGCTGGGCCAAATCCCCTTGGAGATCTTGCCGGGTGAACCCAAGCGCGAAGAGACCACAAATATGACTAGCGCGGCCTTGCGAAAGCTTTTTTCGACGGTGTGTGGTTGTAGCGGGTCTCTCCGCGTTTTCCTCGCTGGGCTGCATATTTCGTGCCGGGACACTCCTTTCTATTTTGCTTACATGTGTTTCCCAAATCGTACATTTCTCCGTCCATCTCTCACGTCCACTTTCTTCATCCGTCCCTTTCACCCGTCCACCCACCGTCCACCTTTCCATCCAATGATTTTCGGCGTCATCCATCTACCCGCCATACGCCAAGTCGCCAACGGTGTTGCAGGACTGGCAGATACTGATGTTGTTTACTCATCAGTCCATACGCGCATCCCATCTCGATGGGACTTGCTTAACGGACACGAGTGCGTGCGGTGTCTGGCCTGGAGTTGTGGGAGACCCGCGGAAGTACGCACGTGCGGCAGAGCTCGGACTGGATCATGTGGAAGAAAATGGAATGTCTTTGCACAATTGTTGCACATTTCCCTTCATAAACGAATTATTCCATTGAAGCAGCTGTTGCACCCTCCTCAGAAGGAAGATTCCCCCCTTCGATGGGCAGAAGTTGTCCAAGCGGATGCGCTAAGTTTGGGAATCTCTAAACCGCACAACGTTGACAACTAGAACACCGCCTTAACCGCGCCCTGCAGTCTTACACAGCCTGTTCAACCATCACCAGACCCGATCCGCGGGATTCTGTTGGCTAGAGATCTAAATCCTATCTCATTAGAGTCAGCCTCCGTAACGGTCATTCGGGTTATTACCCCGCCTCACCTCCACGTCCAGGTTTGAGTAAAGGAGAAACATTGGCCTCAGAGTTTTCTCGATGCTTGACTCGTTTGGTGCATCTCGAGGAGAATTCCCCCTTGTTTCATGTTTCAACATGTCTCTCCTGGGCAAAAGAAGGGATGACCCCCGACACCACCCCACACCTTCTTGCGTGATAAAGAGAGGTGCTCCCTGGAAAGGAATCTCAGGAACGATCCACTCGGCAACCCATGATCAACAATTTGGCATTGGCGCCGTGAATCGCGCAAGGGCAGTGTGTCCATGGAAGTGGTCTCGACTTGTTCTTGGCTGACTGCTGCTTTGCAAAAAGTTAAGAACAAACCCGCCAAGCAAAGGCCAAGCCGGTGCCACATACTCCCTTGGCTTCCCCCCTTTATTCTGCTTGCCTTTTGCGGGAGGAACAAGCTTTGGGCGTTTCTCGGCGCTAAATAAGCTTGCAACGCATCCGCCCCCTTCCCGTTGTGGGGTTCCTGCGAGCCTACGAGCCTACCTTTCCGCTTTGAACCCTTGTCCAGTTTATTTACCGCTTCCGTGTACGGGGGTTCTCCTTTGTTGGATCGGGACAGACGCCAGGCACATACATCCCTTGGTGGACTTGTAGCCTGTCACTATGTCTGGGTGTTTTGCCCCGTTTCGGTTCCTTCCTTCGGGTAGGACGGTTCAGAGACTGAATGTTGTTCGTGTTGTTTCGTTTCGTATAGCGAGAGAGACGTGAGGGCCAGGATCACGTTGGGGGGACCAGCGTTTCCTTCGGTGAATGTTTCCTGGGTTGTGGGAGTTTGATGCAGGTATGAACTTGCGTGGTCGGGCCTTGGCGACGACTGTGAGGGATTCGGTGAGACGTTCTAAGAAAGGGTTGATTATGAGGTGGTCTGTATCACGCCGGAGATTCTCGTGGAGGGAGTTCGCGGGAGACACATGACAGGCCTGTCGGAGTTTAGGGTTCGTTGGCAGATAGGCGCAGTCTTTTCATGAAATTTGCCCTCCATCAGCCACCGGCGCAGTAAGCTTTGAGGCTACGAGATGATGGCTTCGGTATCCCACAGTCTGCAGATGATGAGAGATGGATGAGGTAATGTCAGTTGGGGGTTGAATCTTTGCCGCCTTGGCAGCTGGTTCCTCGCCGTTTAAGAACCGACTTCGCCGAAGATGGATCTCGGGGTGAACTCACGCGGCAGGTCGCCGGTCGCCGGTGATGATTATCTGGACTTGATTGTTGTTTCCGTACACAATCGCTCGCTCGACCCACATTAACCTCGTTCTCGTTATTCTTTGAGAGAATTGCCAAGGCTTGGCGACTACAGCATGCCGAAGAAGCAGGGCGGTCTACACTCTGTTGGAAAATCTACACGACGCAGTATCTCGACCAACAACTCCCAGTAATTAAGTACGATTTCCAAAAACGACTCCAAAGGAAATTCATTGGGCTGTTCGTTGCGCCTTCCCGATCTGGATTTGTCTACGAACTGAGAGATCTTCTGCCTCGTTGGGCTGCGGTCTGGGAGGTCGGCGATGCCGTTCTCGGTATTTCTGGGGATGAACTCTCTTCAGTTTTCAACAATGAGTTTCAATATCGGCGGTCTTTCGAGCCTTTGTCCTTTCACGGCGCTTTATTGGGTCATACCTTTTGATGCTACGTACCTCTAGGGTTGAACTCGGCTCTCCTTTGCTGCGTGTCTTTCCGCCAAGATAGTTGAGCCTTTGACCCCTGAACTCTGCCGTTCGTATCTTGCGATTGGAGGAGTATGGTAGCTCGGTCTGCAGCCAACAACTCATGATATGGAGTATTGTTTCGTTTAATAATACCCGCTTTTACCCCGCACTTCAATCGGTACAAGACGAAACATCATTTACCTCTATGTTTTTTTGACTTCTATCACCACCAAAACCATCATTTTAACCAATGTTGCGATGTCTTCTAATGATTCTGATACTTCCGATGCCTCGTAGTAGTAGTAGTAGTAGTAGTAGTAGTAGTGGTGTTTTACATCATCAGGGACAGGTGCCCAGCTATCTATGTAACTAAGCTCCGATCAACCAGAGCGCCCTTTGGGCATATGATGTGCCGTGCCGCCATTATAGCGTACGACAAGTCAGGCAGTCTATAATGTACACTTTTCTTCACGTGCCTAGAGCAGTGGAGTTTAGTATCTAATCCCCAGGGTCCGATCAGTTCCAAAAAGCACGCCAGCAGGGGGTCCCTGACTCGGCAGAAGCGAATGGGTCTCTAGCAGCCCTACGCCGTCCACAGACGGCGTTGCCGCAACAAGTAACCGGCCCTCGGAGGCATATTTGCCTACGCGAGCATTTTTCTGTTTTCTTATATTTTCTTATATAGAAGATAAAGGAGGAAGGAAGAGAGAGGGGTGTGGTAAGGCCGGGGCCTCAAGGCGTCGGTGGGTGTGTGAGAGAGTTGTGAGGCGCGGGATCTCGGGCTCGCTATCTTTGCAGAGAGTGAGCCTCATAGTAGCGCGTCACACGCTCGAACTTCTCAAAGGCACCCGGGTCTCTGACCAGGGCGTACCAATAGGCTTCGGCCAGGGGGTTGTAATAACCATAATTACCCTACTTCCGGTAATAATCTACCACGTCTTTCTAGATAACCTCTTTTCTTCTGTCCAGCTCTTCCGGGCTCTCCGGAAGTAGCAAGTCGGAGCTTCTGGCACTTACCGGAAATATAGCGGGATAGATAAGATCCTTATTGCCGAGAAAGCAACTGAAGGACAAGATATCCCTTAGGGTAAGAAACATTATATTCCTACTTTATATAGGAAGGTATAGTATTATAAACTACCTTCTAAGGATTTTTATACCCCTCAGTTCTTCTAGGTTAACCAGTTTACCTAGAAAGATAATACTATTATAATCTTCTTAATAACGGTCTTCCGAGAAGGCCAGGATGTTATCCAGAGCCGGCGCCGACCGGCCGGAGATACTGCTACAAAGCGGGCTACCCGGAAAGTCTTCGGCGCAGACGTCCGGAAGAACCTGCTAGTGCCGGCACCAATAGACGAGTATAATCATAAGATGAACGGCGTTAATATTAGTAACCAGATAAGGTCCTATTATCAATAGGGCCACCCTATCCGGCGAGGGGGCTGGCAGGCAATTGCTTAGGACTTTCTGCTAGAAGTGATAGTTATGAACAGCTATCTGCTGCAGCTCTGGGGCAAGCCTAGTTGGCGATCTATTAAAAAGCAGTATCAATGGCGGCAACTGCTTGCAGCCTAGCTTATCTAGCAGTTTAGACTATGAGCAGGAGGTCGGCAAAGATCACGACCTGCACAAACAAGAGATTAAAAGAATACCTCTATTCCTTGACAGCACCATCGCAAGGGATCGAGAAAGTCCTGTTCGCCTTGCTCCTATTACAGCAATATAACAGCATTACGATCCCGCCAGGCTCTAGGCGAGATATCTGGCAATAACCTCAGAAAGCTACGAAGATATACTCGAAAAGAGTACTTAAATTACAATATATCGTTATGTAAGTTACCGACCGAGATTACCAGTACCTTTAGCATAACCTAAATATATAGACAATATAAGTAGTTACCTTAAAACGTGCCTAATTATTGGCTGACATAGATGAGCCTGTATGCCCTTATTGGCTGTACCCCGCACAAGGGCTCCGCTGACGTTAAGCAGCAGTCAATGGGATAGGAACATATGAGAGAATCACGTGATGACGCACGTGATGGGCTGATTACTGAGTGCTGATGCTATTTCTATTTCGTGACATTATACCAAATTGATCGAAAAGTTTACAACCCAGGGAAAGGGGGCAGGTTAGAGTCGGATGGTGCAGATGTAGGGCCCCGCTGCATGAATCGCCGGCGCCGGTAGCCCCCTAATACTGAGATGTGCTTCTGAAGAGGCCGGGTTCGAATCTCCATTAGAGCAATTTCTTTTTGGATCTTTTGATACCTCACCTTCTCTTGTTGCCTGTTAGAGGGTTTGGAGCGCTTCATCTATCTATCCCGCGTAAGTGCAGCCCTGACCGCTCAAGGAAGCGCACAGCACGATGGGAGGACGCTAGGAACTTGGAAAGGCAGGCTTTGATGTCTCATTAGGGACTTATCTGTCTACCCGTGAGAATTGCCTTACTAGTCTGAGGCCTTTCATGCTAAGAGGTACAAGACTACAAGTCAATCATGACGTCTCTCCAGTGACTAAGGTTGTTGCACTTCGTGACTTCGCGGGCTCCAAAGATGCCGTCGCCGATTGCCAGAAGAAACGTGAGGCGTCTACATTGTTGCATGTTCACCGGGTCAACCATTTTCGGATCAAAGTAAAGTAAGGTCCCGCACCTGCGAACCTCTACTAGGGATTCAAGCCCAATGCAAGGCAGCCGCGTGTCTCGCATTCCACAGCAGGCTGCCAAAAGTCACGCTGGTAGAAGAATCGAGAGTGAGATTCAGTTGACTCTGGAAAAGCCTTGTTGGCGCACCTCTTGTCGTCGTTGAATCAAAGTGGTGGAGCGAGAAACGTGACAGTTCAACTAAAGTTTATGGATGCAGCGCCGCGCCATGGCTTGCCCCAATCCTTGGACGCGACACGTCCCAAAAGAGTATTCGCCCCTCAGCGCCCCACCCGGGGCGTATTCCCCGGACCCATCCACGTGCGGGGGCTGCCTGCCCACAACATGACAAATTGGTCGACCGCTGTACTGCGGTAAATTGCCATTAGGCCAAAGTCGATGGCCTCAATCATATCGACACTATGTCAGAAACAAGTCATGGATCGTATCGAATCACCCAAGTCTGCCATACGCTTCTGTAACAAAGAATAAGGTAGTTTATGAGCGACGCCGCAAGAAGCATCCGGGTCCAGGTTTTTGTCTCCAATCGTCATGTCCATTGGCAGCATCGTCGAAGGCACGCCTACCTTGGTTGCGCGCAAGCTCGACTCGAAAAGAACAGTATTAGTCATTTTGCATCTGCGGCTTGTAGTACATGTGTGCTGTTTGTTCAAATGAAACACTGTAACCGAGACAGAAAAGCATCGTGATCGCGATTTAGCAAGAGTATCTGGCATCTCCAAGGTCTTGTTGCAAGGACAAGACATCTCATATTTGAAAGAATGGTTGGCCATCATTAATCACTTATATCAGCCAACCTGTAGCGGCCGCGGTCGATTGGATCCAAACCCAGAAAAAGAGTAAAAAAAGATTTGCTCCAAGGGAGCCTCGAACCCAGCCTCATATGAGTGGGACTAGGGGGCTCCCGGCGCTGATTATGCCTGCAGAGGGGCCCAACAACTGCAACATCCGACTCTAACCTGCTCCCTGTCCCACGGGTGGCAAACCTTTGGATCGTTTTGGTACAAGTACCCTACCTGCCACACCCTTGAGGTGAGGTTCGTTCACCTTCTATTGAAGTGCGGCTCTCACTCACTGGGGGGTAAGTACGAAGTACATGGACTCAGTCAAAGACGAAAAGCTTAATATTTGAGGTAGGCAACGATTCAAAAGAGCGATGGTACCCAAGCTCGGAAACTCAATGGCCTGTTGTTTTTTGGTTCGTCTTTTCATCGTCTCGTATAAACTTCATGAGAGGTTGAAAGTGGAAAATGCGTTGACATGGAATTTCAAGTCTACCAGCAGCATTCATTGCCTTTAACAGGAGAAGCCTTGTGAACGGTTGAGTCCACTGGCCTCTGTGGATTCAAGTATGGAGCCCCAGGCTCAAAGCTTGCGCGCTTAAAATTGCATGATACATGTGCAAGCAATGTCCTTTGTCACCCATAGCTTTCATGATGAGCCGCAGCGGCCGGCCTGGTGTCTCGTCACACTCATATGAAACTAATATCTTATTCCAATTTTGCATACCAAGTCCTCCACATCGTTTCTCACTTGGGAGACAACATTTAGCTTCCTGAAGCTTTTGGCTCAGCAATTTCACGTGCCAATGAATTATACCACCTTCCCTATTCATCCTCGGTGTTCAGCTGCGGCTGGTTAGCTTATCCTAGTGAAGTATGAAATATTCATCTTTCCTTTGACCCACAGGCTCCTACGTTGTTGATCAAGTAAGTAATGCCACGTCCAGCCGGCCTTCCCCACGTCTTGCTTGTGAGTGGCCATTAAATTCCACAATGTCGCATAATTACTTGACTGATTACAGCTTCATCCAAATCCATCTCTTGATTGTCAGCTTTGCAGAGCGTAGACATCTCAGTCACCCCTGGCGGGGTCTTGCGAGACATGGACCCGAGAGTTTCTCCTTTACCGTGGCTCTGGACCATTCGATCCAATTGCCCGTGGCTTCTAGGTAGGTACGCCCTGTGATTTGGGATATAACATCAGTCATGTTCGAGTCGAGACTGAGCTCCACACGTCAGGTGACCTCGCCGAAGGGCGCTGTCGATGGCTTGGACTGGCTCTCTAACATTTGTGGCAACCCTCGCACCTTCCTCCCGAGATTTCATCGCTATCAAAGACGAAGATCCACTCTTCATCTCACCCACTACGACAACAGAAAGAACTGACCTGACAATTCCTTCTGTTTCAATTTTTTATTTCATCCTTTTCTGCCTCTTTCATCTGCAGAATTTTCCAGCGAGGACGGGAACGTTTTGTTCGAACGCCGAGCCCTAATTGAAATTTCGCCTCACCTTTTTTTTTCAGCTTTCAAGGTTACAACCAATATCTTGTTCCTCTTCTTCTCCAACCCGCTATTCCTTCTGAGCTTCCATCCAATTACCAACAAGCCACCGTTATCGCCGTCGTTGTCGCTGCTGTCGCCGCCGTCGTCGTCACCAGCACTCCTGACTGGCTTTTCATCCCTCCTTCTTCGCCCCAACCATCGGCGCATTCAATCGAACGATTTTCTTCAGAATCAAACCACATCCGTTTGTTGCTTCCGGGATCCTACCTTACTCGTGTGAGGGCTAACTAGTATCATCAGAAGCGATGCAATCCAACGAGGGCCCTTCCTCAGATCTTCCGGTCGCTCCTTCCATGCGCCGGTCAAGTGATGCTGCGGAACATTCTGGACTGACAGACGCCCAACGCACCCAATACCTCGCTCAATTTCACATCATTGAGCTCGAATCCTACCTCAAATGCCAGGAAAAGGTGTCTCAGGAGACCAGCTTGAATACTCAGGCACTTGCCTCGATCATCACCCAACTCCACGAGGTCAAAAGAAAGGGACCCATCTCGGCAATAGACATCGAAAATGTCATTGAGAAGGTCAAGGCTGCCATCTCTGCGACAAATGCCAGGTCCAAGGCTATTAACTTGAAGGAGGTTGAGGCTAGAGCTCGAATTTGGTCAGAGATTGAGGGGGAGGACCGTCGCTGCCAAAATTTGAGGACCAATATCCCCGCCGCCGCTGCCTTCCTCCACGTTGTTGACACCCTCGATGGTATCTACCACAAGTTGGCAATGGCTCTTCGGGCGTCTCAGCCTCAATCTTACTACACTTTGAAGAGAGAGAACACCCGGCTTCAGAACAATGTGGCGGCTCAGGATGACACCATTGCTCGCTTGGAGCAGGAGATTGCGGAGCTGAAGGTATGTTCCCTCGCTCAGGTTGTCAATCGTAGGACACTACTGACTGCATACAGCAATCCAAGGAAAGTTCGTCTGAAGGGACCCTGATCAACCTGCTCGACTAGCAACGGAAAGGTCTATTCCAGTGGAATTGATGGGAAAGCATGACGGTCGTGGGTTCGGGTTCATGTGGCAGTATTCTTACAATTAGGGTGTTCGAGAACCATATTTCCAAAGTCCTTCGGCGTGGGAAAAGTCGTTGTATTTTACGCTGTGGTCTTCCACTGATTTGGTTCGTCTAAGAACAACACTGTTTCAATTCAAGTCAAACGTTGGGATAGACCGAAAACACAACTCATGTGGCAAGACTGTTGAGCCGATGTTATGCTAACTTTCCCAGTCAACAGAATGTACTTTATTGAAGCTATGAGACACTACGATGAAGCACATCTATCTGAGCTTTTTTACGCCAAGATCTTCTTGTGGCAATCCATGACTGATTATCAGTGATGTTCCGAAAAGAAACCCACCACAGTATCGCATCTGCCCGACCTAGAAGCCCCTCTTATTTGAGTCTTTGCCGAAGTAATTTAGTCTGAGTCCGAGTATAGGCCTGTGCTCGTATAGAGGTCTGTGTCCGTATATACGTCTGTGTCTGTGTCCATTGTTTCGCTGCTGGAACTTGTTTCCTCATCCGAATCACAGGCCACAGGCTCCTTCACCTCATTCCACTCAGTACTCACAACTCGAGCAGAAAGAATAGCCAGCGCCGCATGGTTCGGCCTCAGTGCCGCGCCAAACGCCCCAGCCAAGCTGTCATGAATCGATGTCCTTTCCGTCTGAATGCTGTCGGCGAACGAAGTAAGGATACCATTCTCACAGTACGGTCCGGAAGTACCCCAATGCCGAGCTGCCATGAGGATCCCGCGATGTAGCAATCGTCGATCGAAAGTGTCTCTGCATGAATCCAACCGCCACGCCGCCGCCGTGGCAGAGGAGAAGAAGCTCCACCACATGTAGCGAGCCTGCGGGCGATGCGAGGTGAGGAAGATGAGCTTGCGGTTGTGGAGATGTTTAAGTTCCAGGAGACGGTGGCCAACGTTGATCATCTGTGACATCTCGGCCACGCTGGGTGTATTGTCGAGAACGACGACCTTGTAGTCCTTGATCTCGGCATTATCCCATTCTTTTAAGCGTCGTGTTCTCGCGTCTTTGAGCTTTCTTTTTGTCTCGTCTTCGAAGTGGATGAATGACTCCTCGATTGGCTCCAAGTCCACATTTGGAACGATTGCAATGAAACCATGAGCCAAAGCCCACTCGATAGTTTTGTGCAGGAACAGCCCGTTGTTTGGATGAACAGTGAGGAGTATATCCATAGAATGGCAGGAGCCAAAGACGGCCCTCTTGTTGGAGCAAGTTTCGTCTGGGAATAGAATGGCAGCTCTGCAGTCTGCCACCTGAATCCAATTGTGCAGTATGGGGTCCCAATACCTATAGCTCCCAATAACGTACTTGGAACTAGGACAGTAGCTGTTGATCATCTGCTCTTCGAATTGGCTTCGCATATGCTTGTCCCTAATTCCCATGCCGGTTGTCGTAATATTGCCTCTAAGATAGAGTCCTTCCAAGAAGTCACCGAATGGACTTTGGTCGATACTATGCCCAGATTGCATATCTTTTATTGTATCGGCAAGAATGCCGGAGAGCGCTTGGTGAGCCGAGTGTATAGTGACGCATGTTTGTCCATCTTTTGTGTTGATCCAATTGTTCCAGGCTTCGATTTCACCTTCGGCTTTGGAAACTAGGTACTCCAGATGGGCTTGGGCCGCAACACCGTGGATGCGAAACTTTTCCAATTTTATACAATCCATCAAGAATAGCAAATTATATTGCGGCACCTGATTATTCTTGTATGCCTTTATCTTGAGGAATAGTCCATGTCGTACTCGAAGGAAGTCGTCCTCGGAAAATCCCCCGAGAGGGTCGTGTTCCCAGTTGGCGGATTTGCTTTCGATTACAGTCGCTGGGGCCATAGTGACGGAATTGCTACTGATTGTGTGTATTGGTTTTACAAGAGGGAATAGCAAAGGAGGATTAGACCTCTCTATATACACTTTCAAGAGGCTACCGGAGAAAGGTGTCTGTGGAGGGCGTGGCCCACGGCATCAAGGTCTTCTCTTCCAGATGACGCTACTTTGAAGTATAATCAGTCGGCCACGGCATCTCGTTGGCTGGATTAAACCTGATAGCATGAAGTCGAAGACCTTGGAGTACCTCAAGAACTAGATATATGAGAGTACAAGCTGGTAACTCAGATGACTATGGCTTTGCTGGTACGGTGTCCGCGGACTAAAGCCTAGGCAGGCGTTCGGGCATTGAAGATTTCATGAACAGGGTCACTGGTGTCCGTTCCCAGCGTATACGTCGCTTTGAACTCATATCAATGAAATCGATATCTCGCTGCAATGATTTGATTATGAGAATCTTCTGTCCCCAAATATCACGAATCAAATTAGACGGGGAAGGAGCCCGGTGTCAAATCCACAGTCCAACGGAAGGGGCGACCGCTTCATCGATATTCGACCGCACGGACTATTTTGCGAACTTCCCTCACCTCACTCTTTCCCCTCATCACTTCTCCCTCTGCTCAACCTCGACATGAGCCTGAGCTTACCTCTTCCACTTCGCTTCAGCAAGACCAAGTAACAGGGACAGAAAGGGCATCGAGAGCCTCACATATACATCGATATATGAGAATCTCTATGCTCGTCCTCCACGGTAAGCAGTGCTTCCTTTTCATCACCTTCCCCATGCCCCAGATTTCATTGTCCCGGGCCTCTGCACGCTCCTCTCATACGTGAAAGCTGCAGTCGTGAAGCCAGAACTCATAGACTTGGGCAATACACATCATCTCGGATATTCATCCTCTTCATCAGGAAGCTGTGGGCGCACATCACTAACGATATCAATATGTAGATGCCTCCCACGCATAAGGGAAGGCAAGCCAGTCCTGGCCCGATCGCGCCTGCCAATGCTACGACGCCCAACGAACGCTTCTCAGTTTATCAGTTGAAAGTCATCGATGTCTGCCTTCGCCAGACCGGATTCGACTTTCGAGGCTATGCTTGCGGCCCCGTTGCCGAAGATGAATGGGATGCCCTCAAGCTCCTTCACCTTGATTTCGCACTTCCAACAGCCGATCCTAGCTTGACTACGACTGCATCTCGTCTTTGCACCATCATCCATGCTGCTGCTCAATGTCTCGAAGGCGCTGACTACACCGTTCGTGATGCAACATTCTGGGAGGAAGTGAAGAAGCTTCTGTCCGACGACAGCACCTTCCAGGCGGCTTTCACCTCCGACTTTGTCAAGTTCGACACCGTTCTCTACCGATATTACTCAGCATTTGTGACCTTCAGGGACCAGAACCCTGGCATGTCTCGCACACTTATCAAGGAGCCTTATACTACCAGTGCCGAGAGCAAAGCGGTTCATCAGCTGCATCTAGCCATGTGTGCATAGGAAGATATCATGGAACTCAATGGAACCACTGTCGAACCCCACCTCTCCTCCAAGAACGAACTCCTTGCGGCAACGGATGAGTACATTCGACAGACTGTACGTGGCAGAAGCCGTAGTATCTCAATCGCCAGGCGTCATTTCAAAGCTGGCTACCGTGCTCATCACAAGCCCAAGCTGGAGGAAACTTACAAGGAAGCTTACAACAAGGGAAAGCGCGAGGGTGAAAGTGCGTCCAGGATCAAGCTCCAAGAATTGAGAGATCAGATACGGAAGGAAGAGACCGACTTGTTCACACTGAACAGGACAACTATGGATCGAAATCGCCAGGTGATACAGGAGAACAAGTGCATCACAAAGGAATTTGAAGATCTGCGTGCTGAAAACTATGAGCTTCGCAGACTCAACAAAGAGCTCATTGAGCTCCGAGAGGCATCGCCGAAGCAGATCACAGCCAACAGGCCGGAAGAAAGCACTGGGAAGGGACAAAATGACTTTGCTTTCGGTGAAGTGATTGACCTGTTGGGTTAAAACTTCGATAACTGGTTTCTGGCTGTTACCTGCCGATGGTTGGACGATGGATCTCAATGCTGGACAAACGAAATCGAGGATTCTGGACAAGGGACTTTCTGTAGGATAGGATGTCAGAGATACCGGCTTTTTGCTCTTTTATCTGCTTGCTAAAGTTGGTCACAGACCTCTAGGAATTGAACGCACTGCTTCTTCATACCATTCCCTTTGCTACTACCTAGTCTTGATATGTATTGGGGTCCAAGTCGGCTCTGATGTCACTCTTCGCTTCATGCAGTTGGAACTGAGTTGCGGGACATTTCTTTTCCCGTTCCTTCCACGACAAAAGAAAGCACTAGTCATCTGCCCGGCAGTGATTCGATTAGACTTGGTTTGGATCCCTAACATTTGTCCCACCTTTTTACTCCTCGAGACCTCGAGACTTGTGGACTCCGACCACGCTGCCAAATGGAACAGACTTGCTGTCGCCTGCGAGATGGCCATGCCTATCAGAAAGCTCTGGGAGGACGATCAATAGTATTCTCTAACCGGTGGTGCCTGACGATAGAGATCAAAGCAGACCGGCCTTGGGGCGCCGGGATTGTTCTAGAGCAGGTTCAACGATAAGCCCGAAGTTCAACGTTCATATTTCCAGGCCTCTTTGTGACGGCCGCCATCTTGCGGCTAGCCATTCCGGGTATGCCGCTGCTCAGGCTTTTGAGTCCAGCCTTATTGTCTCGAAACGATCGACCTCGATGTCGAGCGCCACCCCGCCTCAGACCAGGACATCCCGTCCGTCCTGCATCACACCACGGCTTCCACCACTACCTACCTCGTCATTGTCCTAGCCTCTCGACCAATAATCGATCTGGGACACTGCGCCTGCCATCCAATTCCTACCACATGGTCGAAGCCTGCTTGACGCAGAAGCCTAGCTCATCAAGTTGCCACGATGGAACGAGGCATTTCGAGGACTGGAAAAGAGCAACATTGGGTCTGGCTCCTGTTTGTCGTAGAAAAACGCGCGCATTGCATCGTAGGATAGCTCCACTACCTGTAATCTCAAGAGCCGGCAGACGTGGAACTCCTCTCTTGAGCCTGTTACTTTCTGGCCCCCAACACGTTGGGCTGCCGCCCGAAGCTTCGGTCAAGCTTGCGACGTTCTGCAACGTGACGCCTCGGGCTCCGCTTCATGTCTCACTCTATGTCTCACCGTCCCTGCCTCCCTCGTTCGTGGCGCAAGACTTTCCCGTTGAGAAAATGATCGTTCGTGGCTTGGTCACAAAATTGCTGATGGCCCTCTCAAGACACCAACGTGGGCAGTGGCTCTTGTGCTCTGTCTGATGATATTTCACTGAACGACTATAAACACTGCTCTCAGCAGCTGACGGTGAGACGCCCGCATCAGTTGTGAGTAGCTTATTTCGGGCTTCAAGGTGAAGGTTAGATCTGGAACAGTCTACTGCCCTCGCTGCTTACTACTGGCATCTTCCATCGAGACTGACGCCCGTCCTCGGTACTCCGGATGAGACAGCAAAAAGAACACCCTCACAACCAAAACCACGACGCAAAATGAACAGGTGGTATCCAGGAGGCTGGCCCCCCAGCTCGCAGATCACTCACGTTCCCACCGCGGATCATGTCCCAACTGCCCTTAGCGCTCAGGACCGGCCCGTATGTCGATCAGTCCAGACTTGGACCCGCGATCCCAAGCTCCACCGTTGTTGCGCAACCACCTTCATTCGTCCGCCCCGCGTGGCACTTCACGGACGGCCGGCCATACTTGAAACCCCCGCACATGCAGGAGGTCAAGAGCGGGAGAGGATTCCAGCCAATAATGGATGAGCAGTATGACTTCGTTCTCTCAAAATAAGAATACTGCAGCTGTGGGATTTTGGAGAGAGGTGGGTCATTTTTGTGGTTCTTTTTCTGTGCTTTTGTGCCCGTTCTGCATTCTGCATTTGGTGATGGAAACTAGGCCGTGACATCAGCAGCTACTCACTCATCACTCAGGCTTGCGAAAGGGCTGTTTGTGCTACACAGCTCACGTGGATACCGCAGGTAACAGGAACCAAGATTGCAGGGTGCGCAAGCGTCCAGATTCTGTGGGACAAACAACGAAGAGTTTGCAGCACGACATGCGGCGCGAAAACCTGCCCGATTGCCAAACAACCAGGACAGAAACAGGCCATCAGTTCAGACGAAAAAAAAAAAAGATCAGAGGAGCCTAATGCTGCGTTCTGTTTGTCAACCTCAGATGGTGATACCGCTGTGCATTCGCAGCGGCGAATCACGTCCGCATCAACGTGCGCTAGCGGGAGATGCAAACTGAAGCATGACATCGGAGGGATCTGCCAATCAGAAGGCGAGGATGCCAACCGGCAACGTACGATGGCGAGACACTCTGAGCAAAGCATGCCGGTAATGACAACTGCTTGTTCCCATCATTATTGCCATCATCATGGCACATTGTCTTGAGGCCGGCGGAGAGTGTGGCGGATTGTGGGGGGCAAAGAAAGCCGGTCTAGGTCTAGCCTTTGACATCGGCTCCGAGGGAGAGGACTTCGGCCCCAGCGATGTTCAAAGTCTCAAGATGAATTAATTCAGATTAACTCTTCGTTTCTTTTGAGAGGCTCGGCTCTACAATCCGAGACTTCATGGGGAAAAGGGTTTGGTGAGACTGGCCGTTTTTCCTGTACCCCCGGTTGGGCGGCAAGACGCATAGTGCTGGTCTGACATCGGAGCAACTTGTCCGTCAGACGGGTCAAATCCTTTGTAGAGATCATCACTGTGATAGCAAGACATACAGATTTGAGCCCAATTCTGGAGGAGCTTTACACGGTCAGGGTCCCGAAAGCTTAGACCTAGACAAACGGTGCACGTTGCGCGTGCCCGCACGGACTTGGCATCGGAGACAGAGACAGATCGGACATCAGAAAGCGATCGCGGAGGAACGTCATCTCAGGCTCCTCTCTCTGCGCGCGTACGTTTGTAGACAGGAATACAGTATGATCCTTCAGCACCTTAGACTGTCGTCCGTACAGACTGTAGGAGCAGGATGGTACTTGGCTTTCCGTAGGCATAGTAGACCAATGCGAAGTATCGGGCTTCGTACATCTCCTTCCGCTTTCGTGAACAACTGCTTCCATCCTTGACCATGCTGGTAATATACGATTGACAAAGGACTCATTCGATCTCAAGAGTCAACTCAATATCTTGAGGCGAGACACACAGCTTCGAGCCCAACATCGTGGCGACAGATCCATCAGAACAGGGAGACGCTGGTTAGGGATCACGACCAAAACAGCGAAACACACAGATTGGGGCCCAACAAGGGGAGCAGCTCGACCTCGGGATGGTTGAAGTCGTTCGAGAAGATGAACACGGCAGGACGTAATGGCACAGCATGGCGATTGGTGCCCAGGCAAGAGTGACAGGACTCTCAGCGTAGCTCATCGCCAAGTTTGCAAGTACACCCTTCTCGATTGGAACCTTGTGGTCATCGATATGAGGGTACAGATCCTCGGGTCTTCGTGGTACAGCATCCCTCGTGCCGAGCTCAGTACTGCTCTCGTGTACTCCAACCTCCTCGTCGTTGTACTGACGCTGTCCCTACCACTTGGTGCCCAACTGGAAGAATCCGGCCCACGGTGATGCGTCTGATCGTGGGAAAATTCGCCTTCGCCGATAGTCACGGCAGAGGTTTGGATGACAAGCACCTTCGACGACCGCCTCACTTCTCGAGACCAGCCATCGTTTACAGCCGTGATACGTATTTATAGATGGCATCGACTCTCACAAAAGAACTCTCTTGTTCAAGCCCTCAAACAATTCAGTCTCACCATCCTCTCGCAGTCATCCTTCCATTCTCGACACCTCCATCGACCATCACTCACAAGATGTCTACCACCAACAACCACCACACGCCTATGAAGCAGGCCATCGACGCGCTGCACGCCACCAACCCTCCCGCGGGACAGAGAGGCTACCCCTTCTCACTCCCGCAGCGTAACCTCCTAGTCATCGTGCTGGGCGAGTTCTGCGGAACATTCATGTTCCTCCTCCTCTCCTTCCTCGGAGCCCAGACCGCCATCGTCACAAACAACCCCGACGACCCGACGGCTACGCTCTCCCCTGATAGCTTGCTCTACATCGCCGCAGCTTTCGGCACAGCCATCACCGTCAATGTCTGGATCTTCTACCGCGTCAGCGGCGGCATGTTCAACCCTGCGGTATGTTCCACTCAGTCATCTCCCATTCTCTCTACTTCAAACACTCCCTAACGTCCCCATAACAGGTCACTCTCGGTCTCGTTCTCGTCGGAGCAGTCAAGCCGCTCCGAGGTCTCTGCATCGTACCCGCCCAGCTGCTCGCTAGTATCGCTGCCGCTGCCGTGGTATACGGAGTCCTCCCCGGCCCTCTCCGCGTCGCCAACACTCTAGGCGGCGGCGCCACCGTGCCCCAGGGCTTCTTCATCGAGATGCTCTTGACCGCCCAACTCGTCTTGACGGTATACTTCCTCGCTGTCGAGAAGCATCGCGCAACTTTCCTTGCACCCATTGGCGTCGGTATCTCCGTCTTCATCGCCCACATCACGGCTACCAACTGGACCGGCACCTCCATCAACCCTGCCCGCTCATTCGGTCCTGCTGTCATCATTGGCTTCGTCGAGTACCACTGGATCTACTGGATCGGCCCCTTTGCTGGCGCCCTCCTGTCCTTCTTGGTTTACGCCTTATTCAAGTGGCTGGAGTACCAGACTGCCAATCCCGGACAGGACGACGACATGGAGAAGGCTCTTCACCCTTCTCTTCCCGTTGACTCGGCGCACAGCGGTGGAACTGAGCTTACTGGCGAGCACGCCAAGGTTTAAGCGTCAATGAAAAGGGGAATACTAGTGCTCTTCAACACGCCCGGACACAGGCGTATGCGCTGGTAGATGTAAACTGTATGCTGGATCGTACTTGATAAGGTTATCTTGGGGCGAAGGGAGTAGATGAGAAGGGACTTTGCAGATTGTAGATACATGTAGTGCTAGATTATCTGTTTAAGGTGGTGATATGTTACTTGCTTGGAGTAAATGAAGTATAGGTCTATTGAGGTGTCATTCTACGTGTGTCTCTTCTTTGCCCGCAACTCAGTTGTCCCTCCGATCTTCTAGCCTTCCAGCGCGCTTGTTCAATGGGTACCATACCATGTACCCGAATAACGACAACATTTATCAAGTACCAAACTCCAGTGAGAATTTGGATTCCTTGCGTCTGTCGCGGAGATCACACGTGCCCTCGCATTTGGTGGGCGCTTTCCTTCCGCAAAATGACTTGGTGAATATGGGTCATGGGGACCTCAGCTAGGGGCTGTAGTTAATCGCATTTGGAATACAAGCATCTTGCTTAAATTCACATGGAACCCTTGCGCCATGATCGACGGAGAAAGTCTTGTTGTTGGACCTCATCGTCGTCCTTTCGAGTCACGTGACAGCAGTGCTTACCTGAGTAAATGATACTATCACGAAGATGACTTGTTTCTTTTCTGGTCACCTGGATTATGCAAACACTGCCTACTAAATTTTTATTTGAGAAGTCGTATGGTAACTTTGGGAAAGAGCGCCTTGTTTGAGCTTGAATGGTGCTTGCATTTACTTCGTACCTGACTGACCGAACCAATTTTTGACCTTTGGCAATCCGTCGTCAACGTGAACCTTCACCTTAACGGGTCCCACAAATTTCAACCCGTCCCGTCTCCCACCTACTTCACCTGAGAAAATAATGAGAAGTAAAATTCTTTTACCCTTTCCTCTGTTTTTCCTTCCTCCTCACCGGTTGCGATCTCCTTATTTGCATGGGCTTGGAGACCGACCTCAGCAACTCTGACAAGATGGTGTTGTCCAACATAGTCGAAGACCTTGGCAAAGGCGCATACCCAGCCATTTCGGAAGTTTTGGAAGACATGGTACAGGCAACTGTACAGCAGAGCAACCACGGAGTCATGATTCCGTCCGCCACGCCCATCAGCGACCATGCTCTATTTGTCCCACCTTATGATAACGGCATGAAATATATCACAGCCGGCGTCGATAAACTACAAGTCCAGTACGAATTACTGAGTGAAAGATTGTCGTTATTCGAAAAGAAGCTCAGCACTGCCGAGAAGAAACGCAAGAAGCTGGTCAGGGTCTCCAGCGCCATAGAGCGGAATATCGAGGCCAGCAAGGCTGAAGTCCAATCACTGGACATCAAGGTTCTTTGCGGAGGGATTAAGGACCGGGATTTGGAGCTTTTACTTGAGATGGAAACTTCGGAGCTTTGGGGCGCCAAGACCAGGAGAAATATGCAGATGAAGAAGATCGACAAGAAACTGAATGAAATCGATCGCTTCATTGAGGCACACGAAGCAATGTAAGATGCCTCACTCTTCCCTTTCAGATTCATTCCACTAATCCTGAAGCACAGACAGCGCAGCCGCGACGACGACAGGGTCAAAGACCTAAACAACTGACTAGACTCTCTCGACCTCACATCGCGACCATAACCCCAGCAGCCACGCCAGCAGCAACACCAGCCATAGCCATCCCAGTACACTTTGGCACAGCACCGCCCTTGGAAGTCTTGGTCGCCGCCGTATTATCCTGCCACGCTTTCTGCCAATCAGAAAGATACGAAGAAACCCACTTGTCGTCCTTGTCCGGCACGTTGTCCTGCCACCACTTGGCCTCCTGCTGGGTGTGCAACCTGAACCCGTTCACCGCCATCGAGGCAACGACGTCGGGCGCGTCGGTGGCCTTGGCGGCGGCGGACCATATGTGGGAGTAGACCGTCGTCCACTTCTTGTCGTTGAAGTACTTTTGGTCGACGCTGTACAGGGCGGTCGCGAGGGAGGTTGCTACGGCGCCTGTGAGGGTACTCGGGACGGATTTGATTTGGGAGAGGTATTCGTCGGCGGCTGTGGAGGTTGGGAGGGTGGTGCCAAGCCAGAACTGGGCGAAGGCGGTTGGCGCGATGGCCGTTGTGAGGGAGATGACTTTGAGGAGATGCATAAGTGAGTGAGGTCTATCTTAATAGAGAACCTAGTCTTGAACGGTGTGGTTTTCGGCTCGTGATAGCGCTCTTTCCGCTTCGAGTCAAGTGTTGCTTAGAAGTGGCTTCTGATGCCGAGAAACCTCGCCAAAAGGATCAGTTATAAAGAGGGATACTACTTCCCTTTAAATAGTCCAAGTTGGCGAACTTTCACCCTGAGCCAAAGCAAACGCCAAGCATAACTTCCCCATTCCTTCCTCATCGTTTCACCAACAAAACACTGGCGAACCATTTGTTTGCTGTGCCGTGGTGCCTTGCGGCACAGCAACATGTCTGCTGCCTAAATTTGCGATGCAATTTCTCTCGAGTCACGAAGCTAAAGCCAGGAGGATTGGCCGCTTGTAGATTAGATGTTACATTGAGGAGACCATGGGGAAAGTACCTTGCAATAGTTCTCGGCCATCGGGCTCCCTCGAATCCTTCTGTGGCCGGGCGTGGTTAGCTTTCCTGACGTGTTTTCTCCGCGATACTACCGTCGGGAGGGCGGTGTGTCACCCCACTTCGATCGGCGAGCTGGAACGGGGAAGTGGGGCACGTTCGGGCGGGGGGCCTCGGCCTGGGGCCGATGGGACGTGATTTTCGCTAGCATTGGCGCTCACTCACATGATATTCAATGCGCCACAGCTTCTGTCATGCTTGCAGTATAAATCATCCCTGATTTGATCTCTCGACATAAGTCTGGAGGGATCCGTACGTTCTGAAGACGTTTTGGCCTCAAAGAGCGATCCTGGCCACATGCGAAATCATGCCTCCCTCGATCTACCATGCCGGGACTCGACTGATGCCGTGTCTACGAGGTGTGTTCACCGTTCACAGGTCGTGCTCGTCTAGCCGACGAGGCGAGAGTCGCGTAACGATCTCCCAGCTTGATAGGTAGATAGTCGAGACTGACAGGCTCCAAGAACTCGTCGGGCGGAGACTGAATCACCTTGACTTTTCTCTTGCTCGTCACTCACCAAATTTCGTGAGTGAGCTACCTCCCTTAATCATAACCTGATGTCGGAATTCACTTGGCGGAGAATGGACCAACCAATCAGTGGAAGTCGTAAGCGAAGATCGGCGGCCAAGGTACTTGGGTATGAGAGAGTGGGTTTCCAGACCTTAAGCATCTTAAGTCCTTGACTGAAGTGCATCATGTGGAAGAACCAAAAAAGAAATATGACTTCTCTTTGCCTTGATCGACTTAATAAGCTCTTGATATCGCTGTTCTAGATTCTTTGCTTGGATGCAGCCGGTGGGAGCCAGCATCAGTAAGAACGTGGTGCGGAGCGGTTCCGCAATGGCAAAACCCCTCATAAACCTTAGGAAGGAATTGAATCGGCGTTGCGATCTCCTGATTCGGGCTTCCATAGCCCCCGTGGGGTAAGGCAGCCAAGCTGCCAAGTCTGCCCAGTCTGCCTTGCGACTTGACGTTATTACCTAACTTGCATAAGTTGCATTTCAGCTGCCAAGGCGACTCGCTTCTGCTTTCATTCCCGTACTGTCATTCTCTTGGCCGCTCTTCGTTGTAATCCTTGGACATGCCGGCATCCGAGTTGTCCGCCCTGCCAGGGCTGTCTCGATTATCTCACTCGCGGATAGTATGGTATTCTTTATATTTCGCCAGCCCTACGCAGCTACTATTTGGTCAGAGTTACACTTTTGCACATCTCTGTTGCCATCAGTTCAGAAGAAGGGGCCGAAAGCCCCCTTCAGTCCATCGGGCACCATGGCTCCCCTATCCACTCTGGCAGAAGACATCATGCACGGCATAGGCGAATACCTCACTGTGAACGAGATCCTTCAACTCACCCTCACTCAAAAACGCTTCGCAACATCATTCGAGCGTAGTCTCTTGCTGCACCGCGATCTAGCATTGCAAGGATACAGCGCAATGATGTCAGCCATCATCAACAAGAACGTCGGCAGGGTCGAGGAGCTATTGAAACTCGGCTACGATGCGAACTTTGCGTGGGAAACGCAAGCGCTTGCCTGCTTGCCTGCCCAGCCGACTTTGAATTCCCTGTCGACAATCTGACGCTTCAAGCGCCGTCAAACGTTGCCATCAGACACGGTACTCCGGGATTCCTCGCAACTGAACGCCTGTATCGCCCTGCGTGCGACTTACACAAGATCTTCATAATCCTACTCCGTGCTGGCCCACGCCATCTTGGAGGACCAGATTGACATCGTCAAACTCCTACATAAAAACGGCGCAGACTTCGAGAACCCGCTGCTGCAAGTCTTTACGTTCCGTGGCACGCCGGTGGACGTTGATCACCAGATCAGTCTCTTGCACCTGGCGAACAGCGGTGCCATGATCGAGACCCTTTTAGAGCTTGCTCCAAACATTCCTATCGACAAGGACAGATGCTTGCAAACAGAACCGCTACTCCTATGGCATGTCGATAGAGGCACTGATATCAAAGGCCTCCGTCGACTGCTGGAAGCTGGCGCTCATGTAGAAGGGGCACGTCCAGCGACGCAGCGACTTCGATTTTGCCAGTGCGAGGAGGATGACCCGCTTCACGTCTTCCTAGACCATCAATCACCGCTCGAGGCCGCCATATGGAACTTGGACCGGGATGCCGTTGAGCTATTGCTTGAAAGCGGGGCATTAATGGTATACCCGCCCAACGACGAGGGCGAAGTAACTTGTTTGCAAGAAGTGACCAAAATCTTCCTCATGGACCACAAACCGGATGATCTAGAGGTCAGCAAAGAGATTTTCCGCCTCCTTCTCGACCGAGGGTTCGACGTCAATCGCGAATACACCGAGTGGGCGGGGTGGACAGAAGAGGGTACGCGCTGTCACGGACCGATAGCATACAAGGCCAACCTACTGGTGGAAGGCCTGATCAACCCCGTATCGGCCGAGATGTTCCAGTTTCTCCTCGATGCTGGAGCGGATCCATATAACGCCTCGCCTGGCATACCCGCGGATGGAGGTCGCCCCATCCTGCTCGGCTTGTCAGCCTCAGCAGTGAGGCTCCCTTCCACCAATATGACCGAGACGGAAAGGAGCTCGTTACAAAACGCGAAGCTCAAAGCCCTGCTCGCCAAGAGGGCAGATCCAACCGGCTTCGACAGGTATTTCTTATTCGTGCTGCCCTGGAAATTGCAGGGCCGGCGAAATCGTACCAGGCGTTTAAAGTTCTTCATGATATCTTCGGTCCGTTTACTGAGGCCATGTATAAAGGTCTCCTCGCAGACTACATGCACCTAGCCAAAAGGACCCCAGGAGTCCTTCACGCGGGAGTGGAAATTATTGAGTTCCTCATCAGCTGTGGAGCCTCCGTCAACGGCACCAATGTCAACGGGGAGACGGCTTTGCACGTTGCCTATACCCTCTCAAAAACAAGCCCCTTGCCCATCGGGGAAAAGAACGACGTACTGGCGTGGGACCTTGATGAGGAGCAGGGCTTCACGGTGGGCTGGGCCGTCGGAACAAACAGCATTGGCCAACAGACCATCGATGGATTCCTGAGCGGGCTCCTTAGTGGTCCAATGGAGGTAGAGAAGCGGGTGAAAAACGCGACCGCAATTTTTGACATACTGATCAAGGCTGGAGCGGATCAAAGTGTTGTGAATGATAAGGGGGAGACGCCGGCAATGGTGATGTATCAGCACGGTTGGCTCCAGCTACCACCTTCTCCCGGTTCCGATTCAGGAAGTGTACCTATGGCTGAGGCCAAATCGGACTCAGCGCAAGACGAGAACATCTTGTCTAGTGCCTTTGCGATCTACAAGAGGCTTCAGGAACTCGTCGCGGCACAGTCGGTTACTACTTAGGCTGTTAGCTTACTATTACAAGGCGGGACTTGAATACCATTGCAAAGTCTTCATGATATGAGAAGCTTCATGACCATTTCATTCTAGTCAGCGCGTTACCTTGAGATCCTTCCAAGTTCTTTCGTCTTCGATGTTTTGGGTTGAGCGTCATTGCTAGTACAAACGTCATGCATCCCTTGGATAGAGACATGCTTGTCGCACATCAAATTGGTTAAAACCCGTTCTCTCCACGTATCCACAAGAAACTCTTTGTTGTGGGTGTTAGTACTTAGGTAGTTTCGGTTCATCTCCCGGCGACTTTATCGCCGAACGCCGGCGCGGAATCGGTGGAGACTGGTACGTAGAGCCGTTCCGCGCAACCATAACAGGCTTAGCGGCGCACCCGCTGACCGAATTAGGGAAAGCGCACATCGCTTGCTTATTCGCTCAATCTGGGGCGACTGATCTTCACTTTCATGGCTCTCTGGCGCGCATTCACTCGATATTCTTGGCATTCGTCCTGGCCGTTATTCCTCTTTGCATACTCTGTAGGACTCAATGACGTACGGAAAGGAGTGCCTCTTCTGTTTTCTGATGACTATCTGAGCAGCTTGAACAGTCACCAGCTCCACCGACCTTAATGTGCCGCCAAAAGCTTGGCTCCAACGGTCTCCGCCTCGGCTCGACAACACCCATGGAATCCTACTCTTCCCGCCCCAAAAAGACTGACATTGTTCGCAAGCGAACAGGGTGTCAAAATTGCAAAAAGAAAAGAAGAAAGGTGACCACGCATCCCTCACTTTCTTCCTAATCTACCTGCCGTTCCCCTTGTTTCGTTAGAAGTCCTGATCAACTGACTCTTAAGCCAGTGCGACGAGACGCGCCCGGAATGCCTTGCTTGCGTGAAGAAAGGAGTGAAGTGCAGCGGTTATGAGCGCTCCGTGACCTTCAGAGACGTCACCACGCGGGCTGCCGAGTCTTCGCGGAAGTTCGAAGAGGCTAGATGGGCCGCCCTACGTCTCGAGGATGAGCGAAGAAAACATCGCCGCCTCAGCTCAACTGGGGGGTCCTCCCCTGCCCCTCGGGAACCATCAACGTTGAAGGATGTCATAGAACTACCGGCGAGAGATGGTCCGTTGGCAGCTCCGGTTCCGGCACCTTTGCCCCCATGGCACTCGACGAGCGCCGAGGACTGGCTCGCTGGGTCCTTCACGTTACCGTGGCCACTTTTCGACACTTCTAGTGCTTCCTCCACGGTGCAGGATGCATCTCAACAACAGCACGGAACGGCACAGTCGAAGATCAACTCGGTTGAACTAGGACAACCTACACCGCTTGAAACCCCTGCTAGCCGCTTGATGCCGACAAGAGGAGAACAAAACAGCTCGATACCGACCGTAGAAGCTCCAAGCCCGGCCTTGACGACTGGCTGGGACGAGTTTCTCGTCACCGACGGCTCGTCTCCAGGGTCCTCCACATCTACCTCATCTCCTTTAGGCGAACCAACAATAGACTGCCAGCTACCGATACCTCTAGAAGAGGTCCTCATCCAGCACTTCAATAGAAACGTCCTCCCATCAATTCCAGTTGCCCTTTCCTTTCCGAACCTCTTCCGTCAGAGCAGCTGCTTTCGGTCGGCGGTACTAGCCCTCTCGGCCAGCAACATCAAGCTGACGCAGCTTCTGCCCATTGATCCGCTTGTCCTCCGCCGAGTATGTGACGACAGCAGCGTCTGGATCTACTACGACACAGCCGTCAAGGGGCTCCAAGCCCAGCTTCAAAACGTGGAAACCCACCGCGGCGAAGAACTCGCGGGCGCCGCCTTATTACTGGCATACCACGAGCTGGAAGCCGGCACCGCTCTCGGAATCAGGAACCACGCCACTGGCCTCGACGCCATCGCTTCCAAGCTCGACTTTGCAGCGTCGTCTATCCCCGACCTCTTCAAAGCTTGGCGAATGCTTCGCTACGATGTCCGATTCATGATGACGCCGACGCGATCGAGTTGCAACGCCGTAGATAGTTACGATGTGTCCAGCTTACTAGACCCGCAACTAACCATTCGGGATATCCTGTCCAGGCTTCATGGTCTTCATGCACGGTATGCAATGGAAGCCTCATTCAGCCAAGACACCACCGTCGATGGCAGTAGCGCATCAGAAAAGGTCGCCGTGTGGCTGATATCCGTCCTGGGCCGCGAATGCGATCGCCGCAACGTCCGTCTCAAGGACTTCCACAAGGAAAACCTTACATCAGACACGATATTGCGGCAGTGTGATGTCTTTTCTCACAGGCTGGATAACTGGCACAAGGGGCTCTGCACCCATGATATGCCGGTCGTCAAGCTCGGCACGGATTCAGATCTGATTAGCGGCGCCACGTTTGAGACTTTCGTAACCTACCGTTTCGGTGACACACGAAAGGCTCTCGAGTACGTGATTTATCTCGTGTGCAGGATGACGTGCAGTTACCTCCGCTCTCTATTCGACCCGTCTGTCCAGTCTTCTGGCACGGATGCCCTAGCCAAGGTCATTCTTGGCATCGTATGCGGGATGAACATGCAGCAAAGACAGCATTTTACTGTTCTTCGGGTGGATGTCCTGCTCAGAATGGCTGCGGGTTTGTCCGAAGACACCAACTTCATCACCACCGTCCTTGACTACCTGCTTCCGAGGCTGATTTCTTCGGGTCTCACGGGTCCTGACATCGTTGCGTGGATTTACTTGAAGTCGGCGTTAGAGCTCGAGCTCAGAGAGCGGAGAAAGGGCCGGGCAATCAGAATGACCATCGATGGAGTCGAGGAGGACTGTGAGATGTGGCAACTGGTGAACAGATATCCCGTCGCTGCCTTTGGGGATTACAATGGGAAGGGGTACTTCAGGGATTGCTACGTGATTGAGTGTCTAGGCTGAAATACGTCTGTTGAATATAGTCGGCATTGTCTTTGTTCCAAGCATCCTGCAGTCTCTACCTGACCAGAACCTCAATACGCATAAAACAGAATATTCTCACTCTCAGATTGCCGAATCTTCTTGTTCTCACTCATGAGCCAGAACCGCATCGCCCAGGCACCCATAGCAGTCGCAACGCTGAGCGCCGCGCTCGAAGACATCGCCATGACGTATCGGGGCTCATCCGACTTGGGCCACATGTAGGGTGTCCAGATGAAGGATGCGACGGCGATGCAGTTGACGATGGCCAGGGAGGACGCCTTCTTTTCCTTCGTCTGGGAGCAAGTCGCCGAGACCCACCCTAGTATGATTGAATTCACTGCATATGTGCCGACGGAGAAGACGACCATGGAGACTGATAGGTTAGTAAATCTCTGAGGACTTTTCCCCGGGGAGAGTTACGTACAGTATCTGGCACCAGTGTTGAGTGTGGCGCAGCCAAGGATAAAGCCAAACACAGCAACTGTCTTTGCTATGGTGATGTGCCTTTGATCACAATTAGCGTTCAATCGAGATTCTTGACCCCTTGCTTCAGACTGACCAAGTACGTTCATTGAACCTCCCAGAAGACCAAGACCATGCAATCGATATTATCCCAGCAATGAGATACGGCGGGCAAGTAAGCACCAACGTAATAGTCTCATCAAACCCCAACGTCTCAACCGCAGTCGGGAAAAAGTTCTTGAAACCGTTCGCGCCCAGGTGGCAGTGCTGCATTACGGTGAAAAGCCAGACCTTGGGATCTTTGGCAGCCTCGAGGAGACCAGACCAGGTAGTCGTCTGGCCAGTGTTTCCGACAGTATCTCGTAGGATACGCTCGTTGGCTAGGATGCGCTCTTCAGGGGTGAGCCATCGCGTCGTGAGGGGTTCGTCGGGCAGGATGAAGAAGGCTATTATGGCGATTATGAAGGTGACTACGCCCTGGATGATGAAGAGCCATCTCCAGCCTGCGATGCCGGACTAGTCATTTGTCAGACATTGTACTAGGATATTGGGACTTTGAAGACGAACCATCCCATGCATCTGGAAGATTCCTAGCGCGATCAAGCCAGCAAATGCCGTTGCGAGGATATTTCCCGTATACAGGATTGATATCCTCGTCGCCAACTCTTTGCGGGTGTAGAACGTGGCGAGAACGTAAAGAGCACCAGGGTAGTACGGAGCTTCGGTGATGCCGAGGAAGAAGCGAGTGAGTAGCAAGCCCGTGTAGTTCTGGCTGACTGCGGTGAGGGCGCTGATGATGGCCCAGACACCCATACAGGAGCTCATCCAGAGGCTCGGGCGGACGCGTGTTACGACCATGTTGGCGGGAATACCGACGATGACGTATCCGACGAAGAGGATGGAGACGCATGTTTGGTATTCTGTCGAGGAGAGGTTGAGATCTTCTTCGAGGGTGTTAAGTCTCGCGAGGGCGATGGCATTACGATCCTTGGACATATGTCAGAGATTTCAATGAACAGTCTTAGGGCTTGAGAATTCTCACCAAGTAATTGAGCCAGTACATGAACCTTGAATGTTCGTTAGCAAAGATGTGCGATAGGCAGTGACAGCATGGTTAGTAGACCGAGATTCGTCGGTTCGACGGCCGGCGAATCGAAGATATAGTGAAGGGTACCAAGATTGGGGGAGAAAGTCCGTAAAAGCCAAACTTCAAATATGGGGGCACCTTCTTACCAGAGAACGGGCATGATCATACAGTCGAGCCGGCGTACTAGGGCAATTTCGGCTGGGTCGTACTTCGCATGCGCTCCAGCGTAGTCTCGAACCTCAGGGGCAACTTTGAGAGCCTCCTCAACTTCAATCGGGACAAATGTGGGACCTTTGCCATCTGATTCGGCCTTTCGGTTGTTGAAAGAGAGTTTCATGGCAGCGGAAGTGGCCGAGAAGGTTCACGAGGCGCCGAAGGCAAATCTTTAATAGTCAGAGTTTGAGCTGGAAGCAAGAAAGCCGGATACCAAACTTGCATAAAGGGAGATGAGTATTTATAGCCTTCATGGCCCTCCCAGAAAAGAACATACAAACACCACCATCATCTTCATCCTTTGCGGCGTGCCGCTTTCGTAGGCAAAAAGTTGCAAGCCAGCTTCCCCGCACTGCCAAGCATCTTATCGAAGGTGTCATGACAATTATGGTGGTCTTGGTCCCAATCTTGCGTCTTAGCGCATCGTTTGCCTCATGATGTGCGAGAATCGGAATGAGATATGAGTGGAGAGGGGAGACTTGGAAGTCTGGGCAACGTCTTGGCGGGACAGGGACACATCTCGGCATCGCGAACGGCGAGCCCTGGGAGTAGTCGTGACTATCAAATTCGACTTATTATGGAGTAAGCCGGAGTTCCGTCGCAAAAAAAGTATTCATCCTAGAAAAATAATCATTTGGCTAAAAGAAACGAAGGGCATGTTACACCGCAAAGGTATGCAGTTGTGATAACATTGTGGAAACAGGGTCCATTACATAATCGTGCCCGCAAACCTTCTTCTCTGGACGACCCACTATCCATCCATCCCAAACAGTGCTTCGAGGCGTGTAGGCGTAGCGTACCAGGCAGTACAACGTTGTTTAATGATACAGGACCTTTTTCAAATGTTAGTGCGCCTGAGGAGTGAGATACGAGCGGCACGAAGTCGATGCCTGCATTGACATCTTCGATCGAAATGTCCCGGGGATGCCTGTATGTATGTAGAATGGGCGGTTCCGGAATATTGTGGCGTCGTAAAGCCATATATACAGCTTTTGCTCTCAGATTGTCGCTATCTGATGAGACTTGTTCTGATCTAGTATTTACGAGTGCCTCGTAGCGAAATGAGAAGGACCTTGACTCTCCGGTGGCAATTTATTTTTGAGGTCTTGAGGTCGAGCCCCCCTCAGACTCTGGGTTTTCTCATTTTGTCTGTCCCCTACCATTTTTGATCTCATATTACTTAGTTAATTAGGTATTATGGGTGCCAAGCGGACTGAAGGCATCTTACTCAGCTCCCCATTGAGAGAAACATCGGGTTGCTAGATGATTGCTTTCTCGATCTCTACTGAAAGCTTACCCGTGACGACTGCTCACCTATCCACCGCCACTTATAACAACAGCCGCGGTCTTCATTTTGTAGATTCACTGCATTTTAGATGTATGTCCCCATAGATACGGTCTCTTTTCCATGCTGTTGAACTTTTTCCATCATAGATTCAGGGCTCATTGTAAGCATCTCCACAAAACCTATCCTTCAACTCGCCACCTTTTACCGGAGTCTCGACCTGCAGAGATACATACTGAAGAAACAAAACATGCGGAAGATTACATGATACTTAACGGTGGGACTTTTTTTTTTCAGACTTCAGGTAGACCCATGAATGCATGACCGGGAGGTAGGAAGCGAAAGCGGGGAGTTGAAGTCGAAATTTCCGACTGTGGCAGGAAGCTCAGGCAGCATTTGCCATTCTTGACGGTATGAGCCAGCAAGCATGCTGCGATTGCAGCCTCAGGAATCTCGCGTAGCCTCGAGGCTACATGTGGGAATTATTCCTCTCATTTGTCACCATCGGACGAGGAGACCTCGTGGCGCAACAGTTGGGACTGCTCACTACCGGTTACAGCGCCACCAGCTTGACCCCCGGTGCTTTTTGAAGGTCAGGAGTTCGAATGCCTCTGTGGAATCTATTTTTTCGACGTTTTCTTTTTGATATTTGTGAAACTAAAGTTAAATATGCTAATGCGTGGCAAATGGTGCTTCATTTTACATTAGTCCAATGATAGATAACCTTGTCCATGTCGAGATTTCATCGTGTCTGACTGAGTGAGCATGGTGGGGATTTACGTATAATGGCATATTCATTTCTTTGTTTACTTCTGTGTATTCACTGATGTTTGTTTGACACAGCCATATTTCGATGGCCCACCTGCGTCTGGTATTAAGAGGTTTTTTCCAGCCCTCAACGTGAACTTCCCACTCACGTGACAGATATCTCATAACAAATCTGAACTTGCCCAAAAGAATGAGCCCATTTTGGCCTGGCCTCCTGAATGTTCCCCCCTTCGACTCTTTTCTTTTTCTACTTCTCCTTTCTTCCAGCCAGGGCCTTTAGCAGCAACAAAAATAACATCACCAGCTACCAGCTCAAAAGTATCATGGCTCCTCATAATCGCCCTTGGGTCAAAGCCATCATGGACCTTCCAGGCCTCGACTTCTACGTCGAAGGCGATGACCCCCTCTTCAATCGCCGAGTCAACGCCGTCTTCCTGAAGCTGTTCGCCAACAACTATTTTGTCTACGGCAGAGATCACGTTGCTCTTCGCCAGCATTATATCGCCAATCGGGGCGATGCCCTTTTCCGTGCTATTGTCAACCTTCACATCTCCGGCAAACATTCGAACTTCAGCACTTTGTACGGCGCTGCTCTCACTGGCCTCTCTGAAGACTCTGGATCTTCCCGCGAATGGAATGATTCTGATGAGCTCGGAATCGACTCAGTTATTTTCGTCATCGACCGCATTATTCGCGCCCGCCTCCAGCATCTGAGAGCCAACCACACTAACATCGACGAGCCCAACCCTGTCATTGAGGCCTTCCTTGCCACTCTCGATGAGTGGATCGCAGTTCTTGACGAACACAAGATGAATGCTGCCATTCCCTCCGAGTCCGACGCGTCTGACAGCAGCCAACCCTCTCTGCCGCGCAGCCCTCATCCCGACAACGCCGCTGCTGCCTCCGCGTCCAAGGCGTCTACTGTCAATCAGATCATTTTGCCTTACCGTCCTATTCCTGAGAATGAATCGGGTAAGTCAACTTTTGCTATTGGATCGAAGTCATATTTCGAGGCCTTACACAGACGTACTACAGGTAAGCCAGAGCAGGCCAAGTCCAGCACCCAGGACAGCCGTGATCAGACGATTCAGGACTTGCGATCCCAGATCCGGGCATCTCAGGCAAAGACCGAGGAGCGGGCGAACCTTGACATCGCCCGTCGTGAAGAGCAAGAAACTCTTGAACTCGTCAACGAAGCGCTCCGAGCCGAGCTCGATAAGGCGAAGAACGCCCGCCGTCGAATCTGGTAACTGGAGGGTACATCTAGCCAATATCAACACAAAAGATGAAGTGAGCTAGAGGCTGGATGGTTGAGTTTGGAGGTAGTCCCATGCTTTTAGTAAACCAATCCGTCAAATGTGATTATCCTCCTGCGCCGAAAGAACGTTTGAATGAATTATGATGGGTACTCTGGAAAAAGGATACCCTGCTGAGATTTGCCTTGTTGATGCTTTCCCTTTTTAATGATGACACCTACTCCTTGGAGGCCATCTTCGCCGTCGACTGGAATGTCTTGTTCCTTCTGCTAGATTTCCTCGACGCCCGCGAGTGTCCAGTTACCTGACTCGTGGCTATTTCTCTCTAAGATATATGTGTGGTATTGAACGGTAAGAAGGCACGCCCACCGGTACGAAGCACACAAACTACCTTGGAGACATCTCTGACCCTACGTGTAAGTTTACATGATGCCTAGGCGAGGCAAGATTAGGCGGGAGTGTATAAGTAGAAAAAGGTACGCTAGCTGGAATCGAACTCAGAACCTTCAAAAAATGAAGCCACCGGGGGCCGAGCACCTTGCGTTGAGGTCGGGAGTGAGCAGTCCCAGCTGTTGCGCCAAAGCGGTCTCCTCATCCGATGGTGACAGTTTAAGCAATCTACCGACCTATAGACCATAGGCGGTGACTGTATGACTGCTCCCAGCAGACCATGATCCCCACTTCATAGCTTCACATTCACCATCGTGTCCCTTAGGTACCCTCTCATTCACCATCGCGCAGATTCCATTCCATTCACCTTCACATAGACTCCCTTCTATTCACTATCGCGTAGATTTCCATTCACTCTACCTCCCCTCGTACCTCCGTATTGGACATCTCAAAGCACTTATCTCTCGCACGTCTGTCGTCTTCTACTTTCCTCTTTCTTCCCCATTCCAACATCCCAACCCACTCGAGAAAAGACGCGCGTCAAGAGCTTCTCCTTGTATCTCTCTTGTGTATCTTGCACACCCTTCATATCTGGCACCTCTGTTGTGCTCTGCTTTCATCTTCCTTCCCTATTCCAGTCTCTCAATCCAGCCCAGAGAAAGACGTCTCGACTCAAATCTCTGCCACTCCTCCGATAACGCTGCTAAGCATTAAGGTAACAACTTCCCCAAAGGACCTTTGAGGGTCAGTGAATTGCAGGACTAACTCGTTTCTGAAAGACGCAGCAACTATGGCGAACAAGTCCCCCCCTTCCACCCGCAAGATCGCGAACGGAAAGTCTATGCAAATATGGCTGGGATCGCTGAGCAGCATTCCCGGCCTGAAGTTCGGTGCTGGTCTTGGCGATGAAGCCTTCTCCGCTGAAGCCAAAACATCCTTCCTCGAGATTCTCTGTGCCTGGTGCGGTAAGCACGACGACACATTGCCATCCGAGATGGGTCGCAGGATCTTCATTGCTACTCGTGGCACATCCCTCATCGCTTTCGCCCTGATGGTGGCCAACGAGCCGAACTACGTCTTTGGCGGTAATCTCTGGGATCATGCTATGGAGAAGCTCATCGGCATTAGGGGCAAGGCATTCTGTAACGTTCCCTTCTATGGCAGAGAGATTGCTCAGTTCATGAGTTTTCTTTGCGGCGCTCGTTCGACCTATCTGAAAGGTCCTTCCTCTGGCAATCCGACCGATGTCAAGGAGCTCAAGCACTTTCTACGCGCTCTCGACAGTTTGAGAGAGTTTGTTCGAAAGTACAACCTTTCCGCAGACTTCAAGGCCAAGGGTCTCACTTCTTACAATCAGCAGACTCCAGTTGCTGGAGCCTCACGAGGCACCACTGCTTCTAAGAATAACAACACCAACACGGGCTCCGTCCCCAAGAACAACAACACGGGCTCCGCCCCCAAGAACCAGCAGGCCGACGAGAATCATCTATGTCGTGAGGTCAATAGACTGCGCGCCGAGAACGAGACTTTGCGATCCATGCTAGTTAAATCTAATGGCGAGAATGTGTCGCTGCAGTTGGATCTGGTCAAATCTAGATCTCATGAAGCGGAGCTCATGATAGAGCTACAACACAAGTGACTGATGGCGTATGAGGAACAGCAACCGACAAATATTCACAGGATTGGGACGATAGGGTGCTTTGTTTGTTAATTTGGTTTTTGTTATGAAGTGTTTGGGTGGTATTAGTAGGGGCTTGGTTTGCTGGGTAGAGTTCAATCACGGACAATCTGACAATCACAAGAACACACGAGCTGAGCTTGATGAAGAACGCGAGAGGCTGTGGAAACAGGCATAGGTAGTTTAACGTCAATAAAAAGCCTGGTCAATGAATATGAAAAGTTTAATGATGGTGTATATCTCCAAGTAACTATATGTACTTAGCCAATAACTTTTGTGCTCAAACAAAAAAAAAAGCCATGGGCTGGCCCTTAGTGATCTTGTGGGCGCCGGTATTTTTTCAATTTTCCCTACGAAGTGATGCGAGATCCTCACAGTCTTTTCCCATAAATCAAAATACAATCAATGATGAAAATTTCTTCTGTTTCTGTCCGGGAGCTTCTGCTTACACCAAGACACTCTTCATACGCATGGTGCGGCGGCCATGGCGTCGATAGAGATGAGATTATGAGGGGAACAAACTGACTTCATATACCAACAGCCAAAACAGTTCTTGTCTATTTTTCAAAGCACTTCTTTCCTGGAAAGTAGGTCATGGCTCGTGGCAAGCAAAGTTCCGCCCGGGACGATGGTTGCTCTAACCTATGTCTTGTTGAGGTGAACCCTACAACAAGGAAAAGGCTCACAAATTTTGATCTCCGGGCCGACACGATCAAAAGATCTAGGCCCAACTACCTGTCACGTCAGAGAAGCCCTTCACCTTTTCCCCGGCAGGCCCACTTAACGTGTATACTTTTACTTCTACCACTGACTGCCATCCACCACCTGCCTCTTTTTTTCATCAACGCATATCAGCCGCCAGCGATAGTCATTACCAACTCAGCCTAGCAAGTTGCAGTTGCCCCAAATCCCATCTCACACAGCCAATTCCCGTTTCTTCCCTCTCGCCGTCTTCTTCTATTTATCTTCTGCGAATACCTCACTAATAGGTCGCGATGGATCCGACGGCCAGTAAGCTACCTGACGGTACCCGCAGATCCTGGCGCCATCGGATGCAATCTGGCGACCCTCGAGCCGGCAGCAAGGCTGGTTCGATGGATTGTGAGCGGGTGTTGACTGCCGCCATCGACACCATCCCTGGCCTCGAATCTGGCCATCGACTGATCATCCCCCGGGCTCTGAGAGCGGCCTCCGTGGCTCTGCTCACAGATATGATGGACAACCCAAAGAGGATGTCGAAGCTCGATCATAGCCTGTCTGCAGCACGACTGGCAAGAGTCCTTGTCGAGACAGCTACCTCAATGATCCGAACCGACCCCCCACCCAGCTACACGTACACGTCTGGATCCCGGATATGGCAAGAGGTCTTGGTCGAGCTTCGCCGAAATCGCAGGTCTTGGAACTTGAAAGTCGCCGTTTCTGCGAACAAAGTTCGCGATATAATTCGCGCCTTCACCCGGGCCCGCAAGGCGTTTCTTGCCAATGCCGGCAAATCCGCCTTTCTGACCGCATCTGTGCAGGGCTCCCAGGGCTTTCATAGCTTTCTGACCGTCCTTGACTGTTGGACTGAAGTATCAAGTCAATCAGATGCCATGAGAGCCTCTCGTGGGCAGAACACAGCTATCGTGGCCGTCAAGAGGGAGGAACAGGTCGAGCATCTCTTTGGAATGGCCAGGGAGCCTGTCAACCTCGCGATTCCGGTTCGATCTACTGGTCGTCTTTTTGAGCAACCAGCGCCTGCACAGACTGGCAATTCCACTCCAGCTGAATTACGCGAACACGACAACCTAGGTACGTTCCCAAAGGAATTGTAGCTCTTTTTTGCCAGATCTTGTTACATTTACTCTATGGTCATGAGCTAACAGCTTTGCAAGGCACTGGTAAGGGTACGCGGACGGGCAGCTTCGAGGTTCCGGGGCCTCAAGAGCGTGCTGACTCTGCATTCACCGATAACCTCGATGAGCTGAGAGCTCTTAACCTGCAAGTTATGTGTCTCGAGGAGGACAAGAAAGTCCTTGCAGCCGATAATCAAGCTCTCAATGCCGAGTTGAGGGAACTTCGTGTCGAGATCTAGAAGATCTCCGACAAGAATGAGAAACTCACAACGAAAAATAGCAGTATCAAGACTCAGGCAAAGAATCTGAACTCTGTACTCGACAAGGCACTCAAAGAGAACGACGAGCTTCGTACCTCCGTCCAGCCAGACCTCACACCATTCCGCCTTGCTTTGCTTGAAGAGCGCAGCAAAGAGGAAGTGGACAAAGATAACACCAAGCTCCGTACTCTTGTCCATAAGACCAAGGAGAAGGCCAAGACTCTTCCTGTTCAGCTCCGGTACGCCCAAACCGCGGGAGCTGAGGAACGAAAAAGGTATCAAGAGACCCACGCCCAGTATCATGTTCAGAGATCCCGAGCCCTTGCATTGGAGCGAGAGCTTGAGAAGGTGAAGTCTAAGGTAAATTGTTTTCCATGAAAAATTAGCTACGTGGTCACTAACTATACTCGCGCACAGAGAAGCGAACCTACCTCCTAAACGCGTACCGATCCTTCACATCGGCCTAGTTGGGATAATAGAAGGTCGTATCTACTCGCCCTACGACCGATACCACGATTCCTCCTTTGATTACACTGACATGGATCCTCTCACTCTTTCATTGGCTGTTACAACTGGTTATGCTGTCTCACATATCGCCGAATTTGTAAGAGTAATAGACGACTTACCGAGGCAGCTAGCGGCATTACAACAAGATCTATCTTTGTTGGACCTACAGGTCGAATCCATTTTAACTCCTCTCAGCGACTTACCAACCATCTTAGAAAATCAGAACACCGACAGACATCGAATCCGCAATGCTATTGAGAATGACCTGAGGAATCTGGAGCGTCGAATTGACTTTATGGGCCATGAGTTCAAGTTGAAATTAAGGCCCTCAGATGGGCGACTACGCAGCTTGTACAAACTTCATTCTCGTCGCGGAATGCTTCAAAGGCTTTTGAGATTCAAAAACTCTAATCTCCTTCTAGCCATGTTTCGCGACACAAGAAGACTGATCTCGGGCATCAGTGCCAGAATCACAATGATGTCAGAGCTGATGGAGGGACCAGGAGAAGCATCATTAGAGATGGCCAGTGGCGAGGAAATGATTGAGCGTGCCTGTGCGATTCTATTGGAACCATCAAGACAAGACTTAGAAGAAGAGTGGTCTGAATGTCGGATTGGAAGTCCAATTCGACCGCGGATAAGGACAAGAGCATGGGCCACCTCGAGGGAGTACAATTAGACCGCGACTACCCAACCAACCTGCGGTTGGAATATCCCTTTTACACATTTTGCAGAATCAATCAATACAGAGATATTGATACTTCGTCACCCCCAGGACCCTACGGTTCGAACCAAATTCCCTGTGAAAGGAATACCAACACTGAAGCATTCCAAATCCCACTTCTCAGAACTGTTTCCGAATTCGTCGACAACCCTTCAAATCCGGCACAGGTAGCTCAAGGGAATACGTCCGAGATTATAACGCGAGCCTCATCCACCATCGCCCCTCAACACTTGGACACAGCTCATAGTCCTCGAAACCCACAGTAAGAACAGCCCGTTCCATAATCTCCATTTCAGACATTCAATCAATTAGCTGACATCACCGCCGTCACACACAGGGGAGCAATTCCAAACGTCATCGACACATTAGCCCAGGACATCGAGAGCCAAAGTTCGTTGGCACTGTTGGTATCCCTATCACAGGGAAGTTAGTTCGAACCGTAGGGTCCTGGGGGTGACGAAGTATCAATATCTCTGTATTGATTGATTCTGCAAAATGTGTAAAAGGGATATTCCAACCGCAGGTTGGTTGGGTAGTCGCGGTCTAATTGTACCACCTCGAGGTGGCCCATGCTCTTGCCCTTATCCGCGGTCGAATTGGACTTCCAATCCGACAGGCACAGCTCGCTGACTTCAATCAGAGGCTGTTAATACCCAGCTGTTATATCCTCATGTTCATTTCGGCCATTGGGATTATTGTCAGCCTGGCCATATCACTTTGGTGGGTTTTTGATAGGGGGGATGCTGGAGGCGGCTTTACTATTGGAAGTTACGTTATTGCGGTTTTTTGGCGTTCTTGTGGCGATCCCATGGTATAAGCATAATCAAACTTGCAGGTGCTGGCAGCAGGACAGGGCCGAAGACGAAGGATGATGGGTCACGGAATGCATGCTGTCTTGAACAATTATCCAGATAGCAATTATCGAGTCGTTAACAAGGTCCGATTGCAACGTGAAGTGAAGTGACTATTCATGGATAACAAGCACATGAACGGTTCTCAACTTCTGCCTAGGTTTCTGTTGTATATATTGCTGTGAAATCATTTGTACGCAGCCCAGTAGGCCAATCTATTTGTCTCAACTGCCTCCTCTGTGCTATTTCAATTGAGTGGTCGACAAGGGCCGCCTGTAACACCGCATCTTTTACCAGTTGTTGAGGTTGAATCAGCTACATCAATACACGGTTAGTAAGAGCATTCAAGCAGCCAAGATCGTTTATCTGAAGTGGTAGAGGGGGCAGTGTTGTCTACTTTTGCAGATGAGTGGTGTGACGCCATTCACGCATCGGATACAGTCGGCGTCATTTCGACACTCCCCTAGAAAACTTAGTGTCAGTACATCACCCTCACATTGGAATTGACCACATGATAGAAGTTGAATGTACCCTTGTCACCCTTTTGCTGGGCAAGAGCAGCTGTGATCAAGAAAGGAAGAAGGCTTACGACGGTTGGGAAACGCATCGTGGCTTATGGTGGAAAGAAAATGTAGAATTAGGTGTTCAAATGCCAGCAGTTGAGAGATTATGGACAGAAATAGAGGATTGATCAGTGTCTTTGGTTGACTTAATTATTGACTTAGGTACATGTATTTATACCATCGCCCCGTGTGAATAACTTGACTTACAGACCAACTTGTTCGTGATGACTTCTGACTCGTATTTCTCAACTGGAACCACACGCAGCTCCACAGCTCAGTACAAGGTGCATTGACTCGAGGCAACTTACTGCAGGGAGTCGTCTTATATCAGGGTAAACTCTAAATATTACGGTCCACATTGTCAATATGTCAACGACTTTGTCTCCATGTTAGCCAGAGAAACAAGATGCAACTCACAGATAATCCGCCAGTTAAGAGACCGCAAATACGTCGGGTAACAAAGCTTAAGCAACTCTAATAATTTCACATTGCAACTTCTCAAAATCTTCTGTCAAGAATGACATATGGTTCAGTAAATCTCTTTCTCGCCGGTTCCGTACACAGCTCAGAAACCCGACCCAGAAGACCGAAGAAAGCGATTCAGACGTCGATCATGCAAGCCGGCATCAAGTCCGAGATCGACATAAAACAGGACGAACGCGAGGAAATCATGGGACAAAACCTCAGACGATCCATAAAACTCCCCCAAAACAAGAATGAAGAAACCCGACACTTCGGTCAACGCCGTTGATCCCAAACTTCAAAAGCCTCGCTTCCCACCAATCAGTTTCCAAAATAATGCAATATTACCAGAGTAATGTGTGTGATGCAGTGCACACACATCAGCTGGCAGGAGTCTCGTCCATCCAATACTGCCTAGTGCTGACTCAAAATCTCGTTATTCCACCGGCTGTGTGCCCCGCAGGGCTCCAGCGGCCGCACCGCGACTTGAGAGAGTTCGGGCCAATCTCGCCGCGCCAAGTACGACGACATCGGCTTCTCGGTGGTTGCTCTCAGCCTTTCAGGTACCTCCACCCTGCGGCGATTTTTTTTGTACTCGAAACACCAATTTTTCCGTTGTTCCCTCAAATCGCGACGAGATGACCCATGCCTTTTGGCGGCGGGTGATAGATCCCAGGAAGGCCGATCGTGGGGTCAAAGTGGTCTTTGCCGTCAAGCAGCCTTAGACACTGAAACAGCCTTTGGAGACCAAGCTTGAACGTTTCCTTTTCCCCGCCAAAGTTGAGTCGGAACCATCCCGCACGCTTGGAGAAGAATGCCTGCGACGCATCAGCATCAATCCATCGTTAGCGACCAAGCCTCAGACGGGACGGCTGCTCGAGCTTCTTAGCACCCCAAGATATTGAACTCACCTGTCCGGGTTCAAGATAGACGCGGTACTTCATCAAGTACTCCAAAAACTTCAAATCCCCTTCCTTGCCATGCTTCTCGAGCAGGAGGTCCACCCACTCGGACAAATTGACAAACACAAAGAAGCCCGCCTCGGCTTTGACATGTGGGATATCGTACTTTTCCAGCTCTTCCTCGACAAAGGTGCGTCGTTTGGTCAGGCGGCGACGGAACTGGGGCAGATATTGGTTGCGGAGGTACTTTGCGTCCGACAGGAGCTTCGCTGCTGTTGATGCGCTGAGTGCAGAGACCCATCCGAATGTGCTATTCGTAGATAACAATGGTTAGCCTGGTTGGGCGTACAGCGTGTTAGTGTTGGTAAAGCGAAGGCTGTGACTCACCTCGACGCCCGCGTCGCCTCGTATATCTCCCGGTTGTATGTCGCGAGGAAGCCAACCCTGAGCCCACCGAGGCCGAAATCCTGCAAGGGTGAAGAAGAGAGTCAGTCGGTTTTGTTTGTGATTCATCATGCGAAGCCGAAGCCGAAGTAGACAATGGCCCCACTCACGGCAGCACGGCTCAAGAACAGGCCTAGACGGGAATGACTGCTCACCCTACTCAACCCCCATAGCACATGAACATTCCTAAAGTTGACATCGAGCCCAAGACTCAATATACTCGAAAACCGATCTCCAGCGCTCATGGCGTAGATCTCATCAACAATAAGATGAATCTTATGCCTCGCGCAAAGCTGGGAAATCTGTAACAGCACGTGTGCGGCGTAGCACCGACCCATCGGGTTATCAGGATTAGCCAATAACACGCCGCCGACCTTGCGCTTCTGGCTCAACTCGACCTGGATCGCATTCTCCAGACGTACGACCAGCTCAGGAACCTGTATGGGTCCGTCCTCGTGCGGCGGTTCGCCCCAGAAACGCTCTTCGGGGATGTCGTCGCAGGGTACCTCGACGACGCGGACGCCGTTGCGCGTCCAGACGTCGCGGGCGAACATCCCGTAGCTTGGTGTCGCGAGGAGCACGGCGTCGCCCTCGTTGGTGATGTTGTATGTGAGGGTGTCTAGTAGTGTTGTCACACCGTTGGCGGCGAGGATGTTGTCGGCGGTTAGGGGTAGGCGGACTTTGAAGTGCTCGTTCATGAAGGCTGCTGCTGCTTTTGGAAGCTCGGGGGAGCCTTGTGCGTCGCCGTAGCCAAGGGCTGTAATCGCATCAGCAAGCTAGCGAGCTACGCATGAACATCAGCGTTGGGCGGAATCACTTACACTCCTTGAGCTGGCTCTTCTTGACATTTCGCTTCGTCCAGCACGCCAAGTCTTCCAGCATAATCTCATTGACGGCTGACCCAAGATCAATGATGCCCTTGGGATTCTTCGTCGCGTCGTATGGGTTACTTTCGACTCGCTTGCTGAGGTCATCCATCACATCCGACCGGGCGGTCTTCTGGCCCCGCTGGGTTGGAGGGAGAGCGGCGTTGACAGACATGATGCGTTGACACGGAAAAGGTTGAAGTTGTTGCCTGCTTTTTTCGGCCATATTGTGGCGAATCGAGGTCCTTATATGTCAGGTCTCCCCGAAAGGAAATAAATAAATAGAAAAACATGACAGCCTGATGTGTATACGCAGTCATTGGAAATCAAGGGCGAAGGAAAATGTTTCCCCGGACTCGCGGCAGTGTGGATACCGGACCAGGTACGCGGGCCCGGCTTGACTGGGCTCCACCCTCGGAAAAAAAGGTAAGGTGCGACCCACACCCACCAGTGACTCCTTCGCCGTTGCCTAATCGGGGAAGCAGATACGACTGTGCTACTAATAGTACAGTCATCCTTTTGGGTGCCTGCGAAAAAAAAAAGGGACTGCGCATTGCGAAAACAAGTACTTGAACAGGCAATCAAGACTCACGTAAACACGCCAATAGATGAAGTGGATTGCCCTGAATGAAAATTTCCGAAGTTTACTCCGTCATTCGGCTCGGCTTTCTGGCGTCACTTGCGCGTCGTCTTGCCTAAGGTAGCTTGAGAGCGAAGCAAGCAACGCCATCTTGGCATAATTTCCTGAGTTCCTCTGCTTACGTTTCACCGACGTTCACAGTCTCACGCACACCTCATGATAGCAGCACCAACCCCTCTCTGCGCAGATCTACCGTAAGCAGAGAATAAATTTTCATGGCAAATGCTCATTGAGTTTGGTGTAATCCATACCCTGGTTGTCGGAAAGCTTGTTGGGTGCCTGGAAAGTTCCTCCGATCTCACTAGGCATCGGCTTGGCTCGTGCGTGACAGGATTCTCAGTGCTGACACCCCCACACCATCACTTACGCGGCATTGGCCAGTAGTCAAAACATGAGGCCGTGGCCACCCAACACCCTCAACGGGGGATATGCAAGGCTTACGATGCAGAGCAGCGTCGTAGGAGGCGCGTCAAGTGACTG